AACGGSTGGATTGTTCGGTCAGTGTGTTATGCTGGACATTGGCCAATGGTGCGTCTGATTCAGTGATGATGGCATCGTTGCTGTGATGTGCCAGGGCGGGGTCCTCAAAGATCTCAAAGTCTGGCGACGACGACGGCTCTTGGATGATGGCGCCCGCGTAACGCTCTTCCTCCACCAACTTCTCGTTGTGTATCTGCACCACGGGCACCGTGTCAAACTCGCCAGTCGCGGCATTAAAGACTGCTCGCTTGGTGGTGGCAACGTTGCCTAGTGTCGACTTTGAGGTTGGCCTGGTGGCCGGGTCGATGTTCTCCTGGTTGTCCAGATGATGTTGATGATCAACGCTATCGAGGCCCAATTGTGAGACGGCGGCATCAACCGATGTCTCCGAGTTGTTGTTGCTGGCGTTGATGTTGTCGTCCGACAACTCAGTGCCATTGAACCATGACATGACATGCTTCAATGCCTCTTTGGTGTGGAAGGTGATCGAGGGTGAGGGAGGTGCGGCAGCAACAACAGTTGAGATTGTGGTGGCCTTTGGTTGTGGAGTGGTATCATTCAGCAAGACATGGTGGGTCACATGTTGTGTCTTGGGCTGCGGCTGGAGCTGGGGCTGGGGCTGGGGCTGAGGCTTGCTCAACCTCTTCGCCATCCAATGTTGTGCTCGCAGCTCTTCGAATGAGAGTTTGATCTCAGTGTCACCCTTGAGCAGCAGGAATAGTTCCTTCTTGTATCCAACTCGCTCGGGTCGTGCTGCGCCAGTGCTCGTGCCTCCGCGTCCAACAGACGGTGACTTGGGCGCCAGAGGTAAGGACGCTGCTGGATCACTCTTCAATCGCTTGTCCGAGCTCTGAGCACCACCAGCAGTAGCACTTCGATCTGGTATCAGTTGGTCCCTCTGCTTGCCCGCTGGCAACTCCTGCCACTGCAGTGGCTTCTTGCTCACACTGAGAGGGGTGTTGTTGGCAGCATCCTCGTATATCTGGAATGATGATGAAGACGAAGAGGCGCCAACACCACCATCATGCTTCCTCTTCTCACCGGCATGTTGTTGATCCTTGATAGTGCTACTGCTGTTGCTGCTGTTGTTGCTCCTGGCCATGTACTTCTTGTATCTTAACTTGAACTCACTGTATCTTTGTTTGATACGATCGATTGGATGTGCTGAGCGCTCAACACCGAGTTGATAGCAAGCATTGGCCTGTTGGAAGTTGCCCTTGTTCTCATGCACGATGGCCTGTGCTTCGTAGAGCAATGCCAGTCGCACACCTATTCCATTATTCTCCAGGAATGTGAATATATCAATTGGATCAGCTGACATGTCGGCCTTTATATATGTTTGTTGATCAATATAGTGTTTGGTTAGTGATCGATTGGAATGATTCCAGTGCGTAGTTGATTGATTGAATGAACATACATAGATGATCCAAATCCTGAGATATCTGGTGTCGTTCTTGTAGTCATCAGAGTGGACATAGAGTCCAGTGCACCTTTGAAGTAGGGCCAATAACTCAGCCTTCATTCCCTGACCTTTGTAACTCTGTTGAGCCCACTTGATATATGGAGTCCAAATCGCTAATGGATCATGATGTGTACACTCTGCAATCTGTCTTTCGAATTGGCTATATCGATTGATTGAGTGATTGAGTGAGTCTTGGGCGTGTGATTGATCGAGTGATCACTCTGAGTGATTGATAACATACTCTCTCTCAGTGTTTAATGACCAGACAGGTGATTGAGCCTGTCCAAGTATCTTTGGAGGTGCATTCTCTTTGAATGATGATGATGATGATGATGACGATGTTGAGTTACTCGCGTAACTTATTGTTGATGTCATTGTATGTTTGATTGTTTGACTGTGTATGATTGATTGAATGATTGATCAGCTGATCAAATGATACCTATATATATTGATTGATCGTCAATTAATATTAATAAAGATTATATACTGTTTGATTGAATAGCCTCGCGCTTACAACTGATGATGTTTGATTGGTTGGTTGATTAACTAATCAAAGCATACTATCTTCTCTTTCATTAACACAATGAATAAAGTATTGTTTGGATCAATAATAATAAATAAACTCCACTACTCACATCACATTCATCACGTGAGCCTAATGATGCAAAAACATAAATGCGTACTCATTTGAAGTTAGGTCACTCTCCCGCCCTTTGACTTCATTGGCAAGTGTGGGTCCAAATTGCCTTGTCGGTTAAATGATCATTTTTTGTCCGTTTGAAATCAAAAATTCAAATTTGAATTGTTAATCACTATCTTGTTTGAAGAAGTTCGAGAAAAGGTCAAAATCAACACTTTTTAACAGTCCCATCAATAAACAATGATTCGTTTTGAATGATTAGGACAAGTTGCAACTTTTATGAAGGTTTAAGTTATAACGTGAGGTATCTTACGGTCGAGCTGGTGCAAGTTATTTGATCCAACGCATTCAATTCAACATTACCTCACTAGAGTATATGTACTGTGATCTTCGTCTTTGGGCAATTGAATATCTGCTTGAAAATGGATTGAGTACGAAATACCAATACTCATCATAAACAATTAAAAAAGATAAACTTAAACAAACAAATAAATATAATATATATTAGTTATATTTGCTACACCCCTATGATAAATGTGGGATGGGAGTGGACTGGATTGGATTGACCTCGTCGGACTCCCTGATGAAGACGAGCCAACCAACCCCATGGCATCGCAAATGTGTTGACCAAAATCGGAGTCGATGTAACCAACACCCCTCTCACATCATCATTCAGTCAATCAACATACATTCATTCACTTTACATTCATTCACACATTCACCATCATCAACAACTATGATATCTTAAACATTGTTGTCATTGAACAAACATATAATACAATACAAACAGATAGATATACTTACTTTACTACTTCAAGTCAAGTCATAAAAGACATAGAGAGAGATGGATGATACAATATTGATAGACGATGATTTGGTATCATCATCGGATAATGAATCAAGTTCATTACTTAATAGTAGTAACAATCATAATAATGATTATGATGATAGAAAGAATGAATTCAATATGGATACACAGACTATATGGGAGAAGTTATCAAACAAGTATACACTTTACCAAATCTATTCAATCTCATTATCAATACTATTCCTAATTGTATGTTCAATATGTCACGTGATCTGTCAGCTGACATCATTTCAATCAGCTGACAATATATTAATATTTTCTGGAACGAATGAACTTTGTTTGAATGCAGGTAGCCATCATCCTACCATTTGTAAACAAGAAGATATTCTCTTCTTATGATTATCCGGTCACTGGATCCTTCCTCCAGACACTTGGCGCATCAGTTCTATTACTTATACTCAATGTTATAATGTACCTCAGTCACCGCAATGACCTCGTACCAAAGAGCAACATCTTTGATCAAAACTTCTTAATGAAGAGGTATGTTGGCTGGCTGCTTTGGCCGATGCATTTGGTCATCCATTCAATCTAACTAACTATCCAATCATATGATTAGCCTGGTCATGATACCAGTTTCAGTTTGCTTTGCAATCGTAATATCATTGACAAACATTGGACTATCAATGATACCTGTCAACTATCATGTTGTATTCAAGTCCACCAATGTATGTTATATCATTCATTTCCGGAGAAGTTGATTGACATACCTAACCATTCTATTCCATTTCAGATTGTTTGGATTGTACTTTTCTCATTCATTGTTCATAAGGAAAGACCATCACCGATCATTCTTGTCAGCATCGTTTTGCTGATGGCTGGTACTATTCTCACATCATTGGAATTCTCCAAGAAGAATCAGTCCACTTCATTCTGGCCAATCTTTATCAATATCTTGGCCATCTTCTTTGAGAGTGTCACACTGGTAGTCCTGAAGTGGACGTGCAAGTATCTACATCGCAAGGATAGTACTATTAGTGCTCTTGAAGTATGTGTATCCATTACATTCCAATGGTGTAATATTATACCATACTCACTCGCCAATCAAATCTCCACCTTAGATTACATTCTATAAGGTTGCAGAGGGAACGATCGTCATATTGATACCTCTGTTTGCCATCGAGGGCGTACGAGGATTCGGTGCGCTTAACAACTTGCCAGCATCATCGATATTAATGTTGCTGGCAGGTGTAGTTGTTACCATGGTTTATCAAGGTTCCACAGTTGGTATGATCAAGACACTTTATGTTACAACAGTTGGTGTAATCAATCAAGTAATAATGTAAGGAATCATCATCAATCACAGGATCAATCAATCATTCAATCAGTCTATACTTACATTTTGTTTCTTATACTACTAGTATTCCACAGCTGTTCCTGTCGATGGCCATTTATCATAGCTTCTCATACGATGCACTACACATAGTTGGTGTGGTATTGTCAGTACTTGGATGTGTTGTGTTTGCTGGCTATCAATTCTATGCCGCCAACAACAAGAACAACAAGCCAGATGCACTTGGCAAGCATATACAATGAACAACTTCCCTCCCCTCCCTCCATCCATCCATCCATCCATCCATCACATCGATATTAGCCAACCAACCTCCCAACGCGTTGTCATTGGCGATTGGTGTTATTGCCAGCTAGGGCTTGACTTCGTAGGATGTTTTTGAACAATGGGCTATTGCACTGTTTTGATCAAACGTGTTGCTTCTGGAAAGAACCTGGTTAGTGGGGTAAAGTTCCCACCTTTTTCAGCCCTGGACAATCAAAGAATTAATTTCGCTTTTGGTTGTATGCGATCCACTTTGATGTTGATTGATTGTTAGTATCACTTCAACATTGCTTTGTCTCTCTAAATATAGATAATGAATAGGTAGTGGAGAGGTTAAGTTGTTATCATATTATTAAAATATATAATCACATTTACAGCAAAAGACAATCAAATCAATCAAGTCAAGTAGGTAGTTTGTTACCTTTAGTGTTAGGAGGATAGAGTCTTTCCAAATTGAATATTACCCTTTGATTATATATTATTACAACTTCAATATATATATATTTTGAGTGAGTGTCCACAATGGAATGAAATGAAATAGTTGTCTTCCAAGTCATACATACTTACCTCAATCATATCCCATAACATGTCCACTTTAGGCCATAATCAACTTATATTCACTTCCACACACACCATCACACACACACTTATAAAGCTAGCCACTCCGTCCATCACTCAATCAAACACTTCTACACATACACACACACTCAAACAAATACAAACAGAACACATTCACACCACACACACACAAACAAGCCAGTAGCAAGTCGCGACTCTGACACCAACGCGAGAGAGAGTTAAACTGGGCGACCTCCACTCATCAAGGCTTTTTGGATTGATTGATCAATTGTATGTTTGAGAGAGTGCACCTGCGCTCCAATCACCATCCATCATTCATCCATCATCCTAACCTTATTTGACACTCACAGTCAGTGACCTACTTTGGAAAGATACCTTAATATATAATAGTATATATAAATACATATATATAAATTATCTTTATATATATATATTATATACCTTTAAATATATATTCACCATAGATAGACAATGTCCAACTCTTCATCATCAACAACAACTCCCAACTCATCACCAACACAGACATTATCACAATCACAATCATCATCAATAACAACAGAGACTCGAGGTTGTAGTAATAGATTCCAAGATCTTCCTTTTTATCAACAGTTAAAAAGTAATAATAATAATATAGAGTTAATGTTTAAGGAGATGGGAATATATGTACAGAACAAAGAGAAGGACAAGGCCACCCAAATGGACACCGACCATTGTCATACAATCAATCTGTCAGACCTGGATTGTCCATCAACTACACTTTGGCGTCCTGGTGTGGCCACTACTACAACTAGCACAACACATACCACTACTCCTACTCCCCCAACTACTACTGATGTCCACGTGGATGACCAAGAGGAAGACACTGATGATGACATATACAGCACAAATGATGCCAAACAACAGGAACAATCAATCACACAATCACCAGACTACACCAACACCAATGACTTGTATGGAGAATCATCCAAGATGGAGTTGAACCTGGATGACAACCTCAGCGAACTCATAACATTCAGTCCAACAACATCAACAACCTCAACTCATACACCAGCCACAAAGGAAATGGACAATCGAGAAGAGATGGACGAGGACGACTTATACCTGGACGATTTCTTTGAGGTAGCGGCAATGGTGGAGTATTTGAGTGAAGTATGGGTCTGGGATGTCGATCAGCAAGTTGGTGCGGGATGTTGTAGCAGCAGCAGCATCAGTCTACCCTGGAAGAATGGAGTCACTGGAGGCCCAACGATCGTGGAGGGAGAGTTTGAGTGCCCCATCTGTCTGGACGAAGTCGATCGTTCGGTTCAATTCCCAAACTGTCATCATGGATATTGCCAACCATGTGTCAGTGCTCATCTTCGTGAGCAAGTCTACCGCAACAAAGGCAAGAAGCTCACATGTCCCTTCCCCAAGTGTCCAAGCACTGTTACACACAATGTAGAGTTCTATGTATGTATACTATACTTACTGTACTTGTTGACTCTTGGATCACGTATATTAATCATCAATCATCAATCAATCAATGAATTTAGTCACAATTCCTGGACAAACAATCATTGGACAAACTCAATATATACCTGATGATCCAGTCCAAGTCATTTGGATCATCTATGGCAGTCATATTCTGTTGCAACTGTAACAATCCATTGACTAGGACTGACAGCAAGGACTTGAATGTTATATGCGACAATGAGGAATGCAAAGCCTTGCTCTGCTTTGAATGCGCAACGTTTGCCCACGATGGCATGACATGCAAGGAGAATCTAAAGACCATCAAGGAGAACATGTCAGAGGATGATAAGAAATCAATGGAGTTGCTGGAGAAAGAGCAGTTCAAGAACTGTCCCAAGTGTGGCGTGCTAACATTCAAGGAGGATGGATGCGAGTATGTTTGCTGTCTGACTTGTGGCCATCAGTTCTGCTACTACTGTCTGGACCCTCATGATCACAACATATCCACTCATGTTCATGGCCCCAACTACATTGCACCAATCTATCAACCTTATTATCCCTACCACCGAAGAAGAGGCCAACGTGTAAAGAAGGTGGCGACAGTGGCAGCTCTGACAGTAGGCGCCATCATATTTGGACCACCAGCGGTCGTTATTGGTGCGCTGCCATATGCCGCCTACCTGGGTGTCAACAAGTTGCGTGTATGGAACAAGCAGCGCAAGCTGATCAAGAACAAGAAATGCGACTACGCTATGTGGATAGTTGCCGAGAAGAAGAGGCGCGAGGACCTGAACCTCCCTGTGTCCGAGTACATCACTCAACAGTTTGCCGCACTGCAGTTGCAGGAATAAATGAATGAATGAAAGATGGATAGATGGTGATCCATGGACACCGTTGTCTGTCTGTCTGTCTGTGTTATATAATATATATCTCTATCTCGATCTCTCTCTCTTTGATCATTTATTGGCCAATGAATCCTTCCTACGTTGTCCGCCAAGTACAATCTTGGATGATATCCACTTGATTCCACTCGACTTTAACGATGGTGATAGTGTACCAATGCTCGCTCTATTGTCGTTATTGTTGTCTCTGTTGATCATCTTGGTTGGTGTTGACATATAGTTGTTGTTGTTATTGTTGTCGTCAAAGATGGTACTACTACAGCTACTGATATCACTGCTAATGCTACTGCTGTCAATGTTGTCAGAGATATATCGCTCGATAAATATGTTATCCAAGACAATGTTATCCTCTAAGAAGGTCTGGAATGTGCCTTGATGTTGTGAAATGCGTTTGTCGTCTTCCTGTTGTTGCTGATGATGTTGTCGTTGCACATGATGATGTGGTTGGTGCTGTGGCAACAACAGTTCCTCCGCTTGGTGATGATGATTGATTGATTTGTTGTCATCCAGTGATTCGTATATATAGTTGTTGTTAATGTTGTTCTTCTTGCCATTTCCATTTCCATTGCCATTGCTAGTGAGCTTATAAGGGTCGGCTAATACATCCTCCTCATCTTCGTCGGCATAGTTGACGTCAGAGAAGTTGAGGGGCAGATAGAGAAGGTATGATGCAGATCGTGCATACTGCTTTCCGGACTTGTTGTTTGGCAGACCGCCGGCGTCAAGTTCAGACTCAGAGTCCGACGAAGAGTCAGAGTCCGACGAGAGCATCTCTGTGTCCGTGTCGATGTAGAGGAAGTTGGGCTCATCGGGGAGCGAGCTAGGCATGTAGCTGAACAGGTTGGACGTGCTCTTGGAGACGGGGAGTATCTTGGGGCTTGGTACGGCATCACTGCTGCCATAGGATGATGAGCTGTTGGATATGTTGTGGCGTGGGTTGGTCGTGGTGTGTGAAGAGCCCGATGTCAAAGTGTTGTTCGTGTTGATGCTCAAGTTGCTGCCCTGTGTTGGGGAGTCTGGTCGTGATGACCCGATCGAGAGCAGGAAGTTCCTGCGATGTGCACTCAGTCCATGTCGCGATGTACCGCCAGCTGCATGAAGGTTGTCCACAGAGAGTGAAAGCTTCCTGATGACGCCAGGTGATGAGAATCGAAGATTGTTGTTGTTGAAGAGGTAAGGTGATGTTGGTAATGATCCAATTACAAACTGATGTGATTGTTGTTGTGACTGTTGTTGTGGTTGTTGTTGTCTGTTGTTGCTTGTTGACTCGGTGGAAGTTGTTGATGATAGTGATGATGTAGAGTCGCTCATGTTGATATTGTTGGTGTTGTTGGTGCTGATCTTTAGTTTGTTGAGCTTTGGTGGTACTGGAGGGATGGGCAACTGTTTGATTGGATACTGCTGCTGTTGTTGTTGATATGTGGACCTCTCAAACAGACTGTGTTGGTTACCAATGGTGATCTTTGAGGGGCTGGGATGATGAAGCGAGGGCAGGGAGTTGCACATCTGCACGTGATTATGGTTCCTGTGCTTGTTTGAGATGTCTGGCGACTCGCATCGCGATGTTCCGCTGCTGACGCTCTTGGCTGTCTTGATGCGGGTCCAGCCTCCTGCGCGTGGAGAGGACGCCGGCTGGTAGTCTTGCACCTCGACTAGGAACAGAGATGACACAGGTCGGTGGTCGCTCTCTGTCAGCTCGTGGCGCTGGTAGACCAGCGGCTTGATAGTATCGCCTCTGTACAGAATCCTGTCGCAATACGATGGAGTCCTGTTCTTCTCACTCGAGTCATATTGATTGGTGCCAACATCATACTTGTATGTTGGAGCAAAGTTGATTGGCTGCTCCTGGAAGCCCAGGAACACGCGTCCAGCATTGCGTTCATATGTCAACTGATCGTTGGCCACCAACGACTGCCAGTTCTTGGCCTTTATCTTCTCCTTGCACTCCACAGGGTTCAAGTCTATCCTGTAGTTCAAGTCACCGAGCCATATCAGACATCTAATGTTTGTAATGGATGGTCATGAGTGTCAGCTAGCGTGTAATTGAGTGATTGATTGGAGGGATGTGGATAATACGTACTCATGATCCAACATGGATAAGTTTCCATCGAATGACATCATCTGTATCTTCTTGAAGTCTTGCGCTCTGCGCTCCAATCTCTCGTTTGATTCGCCAGCCGCAAGATGTGAATTGATGAAGCAGAAACCGGTCTTGTACAATGAGAACCTGATTCCAACACCACCTTTGTTACCCTATAGTTATTGATTGATTGATTGATTGAGTAAGTATTATGATTGAATTACGTGGATGGATGAATGAATGATACATACTATTTTACCCATTGCTCCACATGGGACAATGGACCCACATGCGTCTTTGACATGTGGCGCATGCTCCTCCTTGACAAAGACAAGTAGCATCATGCCGACAAGGATCTTGTTCTTCACCTTGACGTACCGACTGCCTGAGCACAGTGATAGGGTCTGCTCGATGGCGTGCTTCCAAGGATGATAGGTGTTCTCCTTGTTGTTCTGTTTGTCCGCGGCAGTGGCCTTGACAATGGCGCCAGCCTTCATGTCTACAATCTCCTGAAGGCCAATGACAATGATGTCGGGCGCAAACGAGTTGGACAACAGCCAGTTGGCCAGATTGTTTGATTGCTTGCCGTTGCAGTTCCACGTGCCGACAAACACTGACATTGGCTTCTTGCCCGCTGCGCTGATACGGCTGGCTGCTACGCGCGCCATATCTGTGAGGAGCGACTGCTCGTTTTGAACAAACAGCGCTGAACAGTCGCCCGCGGCAAAGATCGCCGACGCCTTGATCTTGGGTCGGACAACTAGTGAGGGCCACATGCGACTGCGTGTGTTTCCGTGGCCTAGCTGATGATTCTCGCCGTTGCCAAAGGTATATATGTCACCCGATTGAGTGAGTAGTATGCTGTGATTGGTGCCAAGTGCTGCGTGTGATATCTTCTTGTCCTCAATGTCGACCTTAACGCGCTGAGGCGTCGGACAATGGTCCTGCTGTGGGTTGTCGTCACCAATGCCAAGCTGACCGTGCGAGTTGGCTCCCCACGTGAAGAATGTATCCATCTGTTGTCAGCGCAGCTGAGTGGTATCCGCCCGCCGTCACGTCCTTGATGCCACTACCATTGCTAAAGTCGTTGAGCTTGACGGGCACCAGCTTGTCGTTGCAATGGCCCAGACCGAGCTGGCCGCGACCGTTCATGCCCCAGGCATAGACGGCATTCGAGGCCGCCAGCGCCACTGTGTGTTGCTCGCCAAAGGCCACCTTCTTCCATTGTATATGCTCGGATGGTGCTGAATCGATTGGCATCAACACGATGGTAGGGGTGGATTGATGCTTTTCGCCTCGACGTCCGTTGGCCAGCTGTCCGTATCGCGCTGTGCCCCATGTGTATAACTGTCCATTGGCTGTGATTGCTGCCGAGATCTGATTGCCGGCGACGATCTGTGTCACCTTGACGCGATTGAGTACGTTGATTGGCAGCGGCACTGCCGAGTCTATGATGTCGACACCCAGCTGTCCCGCGCCATTGAGTCCCATGGAGAACACTCGTGTGTCATCCGTGAGCAGCAGTGTGTGATTGGTGCCACACGACACACTGATGACCGTCTTTTTCCAGACGATCTTGAACAGAGTTGTATGTCGACGGCCCATCACCTCGCCCCACATCAAGCACTCGCCATTAACAATCGCCGCCGAGTGATTGCAGCCCAATGACAGCTGATTGAGATTCAACGAGACCAAGACAGATGGAGGTGTTGGTATCTTCTTCTCTCCATTATGGCATGTGTTACCTGTCTTGCCTATTGATTGAGTTTGTCAGTTATTCGTTTGATTGTCACTCATTCAATCATTCCAATGGAGTTGCCTATGATATCTACCCTTTCCCCAAGTGTATAAGATCTTGGTCATTGTGTGTGTGTCTGTCTCTTCACTCGATCACTCCACCTAAGTTATCGCAGTGATGACTCTAATGTGTTTTACTTCTTGTTCCCTCTTTCGCTTCTCTCTCTCTATTCTTCTGTGAGCAAGAATAAGGTGTGCGCAACTCTTTGTTCTTTCTACAAATCTGTAATCGATCGATCTGTCCCGTCTGTCTGTCGTCTGGTGACTTTTGCTTTGCAATTGAAAAAAAAAAGTAGTAGTAAGTTACAAAGACATGTAATAGTAATGATAATGATAATGATAATAATAATAAATAATAATAAATGATATTACAATGAGGTGATAATATAATAGAGTTAATTGATTGAATGAGTGAATGAATGATTTGATTGAAGGGAGACTCCAAGTCAGATTGTTTGGTTGTTGTTGTGGAAGTGGGTGCTGTGTTGGGAGAGACGAGCTCAACAACAATGAGAAGAAAGTGTGTTGGATGGGTGGATTGAGGACTGGGTGTGGATCTTTTTTTGATGTCGGTTGGGTAGTGTTGACTGACCCCCATAAAGATGTCCTGAATGAATGCATGATCGTACATCAATGTATGAATAGAGATAAATAGAATTACTAATAATGTATTAATGTTGACTTCAAGATCTCTGTTTTAGATTAAATTATTATTTTAATTAATTCAATTATTTGTATAGATCAACTTGATTCTCTTGAAGGTTGAAGGCAAAGAACAATGCACTGGTATATAGCATTGGAGCGCATCATGTCATTCATCATATCACGTGTACGCAATTTGATTGGCACCATCATCAAGGATGATCAAGATCACATCAAATGTGTGCACACAGATTGCTTCTGCATCACCAATAGGACTGGCTTCCACTCCTTCACCAAGCAAGGTGATTGGTGAGTTTATTTATAATCTTTAAATACATATACAATGGATTTAAAGATTGATCACGGAGATAGGTCTATTTCATGTACAATCTAGTTTGCCAAGGTATATTGCCAAAGTACCAAAGAACGTTGCCTATGTAATTTCCAGAGTATACTGTGGTGTTGAGTGAGTCAAACATACTTAAGTGATTGCCAAAGTGACATGTTAGGGGACAATCAATAAGAGTCTTGGTTGATAATGGAGGTAGTAGTACCCCACCTTTATATAAATAAAAATAACATAGCAACATATCTCAATAGATAGATGTAAGAAGAAGAAGAAGAAGTAGGATGGGTGACATTGATGAGATACTTGATGATGAGGACGATGGAGTGATATATAAGACATTCGCTGCAGGTAGAGAGGCTGAGAAGAAACGAAAGAGAGGTTCGTCATCAAATGCTTCATCAGCGACCAAGTCAAAGAAAAAGGCATCAACCTCATCATCATCGACATCATCATCAGCCACAAAGAAGAGGACATCAACTTCAAATTCAACATCAAAGTCATCATCAACAGCAACAGGCAAGAAACCGACTACTGGCACAACGAACAAGTCCTCTTCGACCTCCAGCACAAAGACACACACCACACCACGCAGCAACAAGTCTGCGGCTACAACTTCAAGGCACGAGCCAGACGAGGTGGTCGACATTGTGGACTCTGCAGACGATACATATATACGTGATATAACAGACAACGAGTCAACAGAGCATGAGTTTAGCGATCATGATCATGATTTTGGGAAGGATCACATTGACGATGATATTGACCATGATAATGATAATGATAATGATAATGATGATAATATAATGGGAAGTGAGCCTGGTGACGAGACAGACGCCAAGCTTAAACAAGCAATGTTATACTCTGTCGCCAAGATATGCGAGAAGGAATCAGAGTCCCTTCCACACAAGCCTATCCTCTCGACGCAAACTGTCACTGCCATCACTGATCTTCTTTACGATTTGACAAGGAGTAAGTTATCGCTCATCCTAGGATGTGACTGTCTGTGTCACGTGACTGACTGACTGACTGACTGATTGATTGATTGATTGATTGATCATGGCCCTACAGAGCAAATTGCACGTGACCTATCAATGTTCTCTAAGCATGCCAAGCGTCAAACGATCACCCCTGATGAGTAAGTAGTAGTTGAAGTTGTTGTCGCATCGCCAACTTATTAGAGTCCACTCACTCACTCATTCCATTCACTCACTCATTCAACTCGATCGATTGATCCAATAGCATCCTCTTGGTTTCAAGGAATAATAATGTTGTATATAAGAAGTTACTGGAGAAGAGGAGAGAAATACTGGAGGCATCCAATCCAAAGATTGTCACACCTCCCAAGTCACGTCGATATATTGATGACGATGAAGATGAAGATGAAGGTGTCAATGGGATATATGATGATGATGATCCTGATCTGGACACATCAACAACAACGACAACTACAACAACATCCAACTATTCCAAAAGATTCGACGCTAGTGACTTCCTCTCGGACGACTGAGTCCAAGATACCCTCACAGACATACCCTCACATCGATTCACACAGACATTCAATTTAATTTCAATTTTATTCGCAAACCGAACGAAAGTTTGGCCCTCCATCTCATCCCATCAATCACCTCTCACTCACTATCTATTTGTTAATCACATTCACCCATTCACTCATACATACATACATATACTTTGTTGTATTACTTTTACATATATATATAATAAATAATAATGAGTGGAAATAATAGAATAGTTGATCTGCTACAATTGCAGAACCTCACAAAGAGGGATCCAGCTGCTTATAAAGAGGAGTTCATGATGCAATACCAACATTATCTCACACAGCTACAGATATTCCAACTCAAACCAACCAAAGATTACAAGCACTTCTCACAGTTGGTCAGCTATCTGAGTCATGTATGTTTGATTGATTGATCATATGTTTGATTGATTGAATGATCACACTCGCTCACTCAATCACTCACTCAATCATATTAGGTTTGCCCTCTTTATCCAAAGGAGATGGCAGAGTTCCCAAAACAGATTGCAGACTTGTTGGAGAATAACTGTAATAACTTGGAACCAGACTTGCGTAGGATATTATCAAAGTCACTGATATTGATGAGGAATAGGAATATGATGCAACAGATTCCTCTGTTGTCACTGTTCTTCAAGTTGTTCCGTGTGCAGGACAAGCCACTGCGCAAGCTGATCTACTCTTATATCATCACCGACATCAAGAACACCAATCTCAAGACAAAGAACGTCAAGCTGAACAAGACGCTGCAGAACTTTATGTTCACGATGATGAACGACAGCTCCGAGGTGGCCACGCTCATGTCGCTCAAGGTCATGGTGGAGCTGTTCCGCAAGAAGATCTGGCACGACACCAAGACCGTCAACGTCATCTGCAACGGTGTCTTCTCAAAGAACACCAAGATCGTCGCCACCACGCTCAACTTCTTCCTTCACATCGACAACCCCGACAAGAAGGACGACAGCGACGTCGAGGAGTCCAAGCAGCAGGACGCCGCCAAGCGCAACATGAAGGCCGCCGCCCTCGCCCACAAGGTCGCCAAGAAGACCAAGTCGCGTGTCAAGCGTGCCGAGAAGGCCAAGACCGACTACAAGAAGCTGATGGAGGCCAACGAGAAGAAGTCCGATCCCAACTTCCCAGCCATCGAGCTGATACACGATCCCCAGACCTATGCCGAGCGTCTCTTCTCCGTCCTCCGTCGCACCACCGACAAGTTTGAGACTCGCATGCTCATGATGAACTTCATCTCGCGTCTCATCCACACGCACAAGTTGTTGATCTTCAACTTCTATCCCTACATCCAGAAATACATCCAGCCACATCAGAAGAATGTCACTTACATCATGGCCGTTCTGGCTCAGTCTTGCCACGAGCTGGTCGACCCAGACATCATCAAGCCAGTGATCAGAGCCATCGCCACATACTTTGTCAACGATGGATGCAATCCAGAGGTGATAGCCATTGGACTCAACACGATCAGGAACGTGTGCCAGCGTTGCCCACTGGCAATGGACACAGTGCTGCTGAACGATCTCATCCAGTACCGTCACAAGAAGGAGAAGGGAGTGATGATGGCCGGACGCAGTCTGCTGCAGTTCTTCAGAGACTACCATCCCTCGATGCTCAAAAAGAAGGATCGTGGCAATCGCTCCGTCGAGAAGGTGCCACTGCAGTTTGGACAGACCGTCGTCAGCAAGGGTGTGGAGGGCATTGAGCTGCTCTACGACGAGGAGCTGAACAAGAAGCTGGAGCAGTACGAGAATGGCGAGCTGGATCTTGACGAGGACGACTCTGACGATGAAGAAGGATGGGAGGATGTCAGCGGTCAGGACGACGACGACAGCGAAGAGGAAGAGGAGGTTGAAGGTGAGGATGCCGAGATGGTTGTCGATGGCGAAGTAGCTGTCGATGGTGAGGAGGACGAGGAAGAGGATGGCGAAGAATGGGTCACCGACGATGAAGACGAGGAAGATGGTGATGAAGGCGAGTGGGAGGATGTCGATCAAGAAGATGATGTTGACAAGGATGGAGAAAAGATACCCAAGCTCGTCAAGAACAATGCCAAGAAGTCAAAGAAGGTCGTGGAGGAAGAAAGCGACAACGAAGGATGGGAGGATGTTGACGATGAACTCATCGACGAACTGAATAACGGAGAATGGGAAGAGGTCGACGAAGACGAGGAGGACAGCGATGAATCAGAGGAAGAGGAGGACGAGGCTGACGATGAATCAGAGGAGGATGAGCAACACGAGACTGGATTCAACGAGAATGAGGTTGAAGGACTCGAGGAGAAGGTCAAAGAGAAGAAGATAAAGAAGGAGGAGGAGATGGACATTAGAATCCTGACCGACGAGGACATTGAGAAGATCCAGAAGCTCAAGATGCTCAAGGAGGCCCTGGAGAGCAAGGACAAGAAGAGGAAGAGATCACCATTGGAGGGAGAAGAGGAGGACTCGGACGAGGAGCCCAACCCATTGGGCTTCATCACAGCTGGCGATCTGGTTGGCTCTCACAAGAAGAAGAAGCACAACTACGACGAGAGAATGGCCATGGTCAAGGAGGGTCGCGAGGGCAGAGAGGAGTACAAGAGCAAGAAGGCACGCAAGGAGAAGTATGGCAAGTCGATCAGAAACGAGCTCAAGGCCAAGCTTACCAAGCCGTTCATGCTGATGAAGCAGGCGCAGTCCGTCAGGGGCAAGCAGTTCCTGTCGCTGCACGACAAGCAGATCAACAAGCAGACACATATTCAAGGTGGTGCAAGGAACTACAAGTAATAAAGTACACAGCTTGTTGGATAATAGAGATAGAGATGTTTACTTATAACTTATTGTTGGTTGTTGTTGTTGTTATACATTGAGTCTTCGTCCTCATGAGATATTACTCTATGAGGAGAGGAGGTCAATGGTTGTTGACTGGAGAGTGTCTGGAATGAGTGACTGTGGTGATGATGATATACATTAAGCGAGCTAGTCATGTGCCTTACATGATGGCGTCCATGTTTAACTTCATGGGACTGCCATCAAACTTGGTGGAGACGCCGCGAAGCTCAACACCTCGACGGGTAACTGAGGGCGATGCATTGCCTGGACCTCCACGCACACGTGGAGTCTTTGGTGTCGTAGGCTTGGTGATCTGTCCACTGGTCCTCAGCAGAGTGGTCGAGGAGGATGAGTTCAGCGAGTTGGGATTGTTCTCATCGACAACACTGGCCAAAGAGTCGGAGAAGCCTGTGTACTTGGTCGATGCTACGCGACTGCGTGCTGGAGAGAGCGCTGGCGTTGAAGAGCGCGAGGGACTAGATGATACGGTCATCTTGCTCGTTTGCAGCACCAGATCATTGATGGATGCCCTCTTTGGCGACATTGGCTTGAGGTCGTTGAGGATTGTCGTGTGCTTGTTCTTGGGCGAGTAGTTGGAGAGTGTTGGCGACGACAAGAAGATGTCGCGGCTCTTCATACCGCCAATCCTCTGAATAGGTCTTCTCTGTGGCGTCGATTCCTTTGTTGGCGTGCCATTTCCATTGGTGGACAGATCCGAGTTCTTGGTTGGAGTGTCAAACATGTTGGGCAGCAATGCCGATGTGACCGATGGCTTGGGCAACTCAGTGGCGCAGTCCTCAGCCGTGCTGGATGAGTGTGGGTTGAATGGAATGGGCTTGTCCATTGGGGTTGCTGGAGCGTAGTCATGTTGCTGTTGAGCCACGTTTGGTGTCATTGGAAGGCGGTCAGCAGTCTCTGTCTGCTTGTGTTGTGGCACTGGAGTGCGAGGGATACTGAGCGAGGGCGATCTTGGATCGACCAGACTCTGGTTGAGTGCTCTGTGCTGCTCCTGAAGCTTGAGGGCCAGTGTTGGAGAGCGTCTAGCTGATGGCGACCTTGGGTCAAGCATTCTAATCTCCATGGATTCCTCCTGGAGCAGGCTGGAGATTGGCGCCTGGGTAGATGACGTTGTCGTTCGTTGTGTGATTGGTGAGCGTCTGAAGCTGGACGATGGGGATCTTGGATCCATGGGTGCGCCACCCGGCACACCATGACGAATGAATGGTGTTGGCAAAGGACTCCTTGGCACGCGTGTGCTACCAGGCGATCTTGGGTCGGCCATGTTGTTGTTAGTCTGCTCCTGTTGTTGAATGCGACTAGTATGCATCTTTACTGGTGTTCTCTTGATTGATCTCGATGGTGATCTTGGGTCAAACTCTGATTGTTGTTGTCTTGATATCTTCTTCTTCTTTGTCCTATTAGTCATCTTTGTTTGATCCCCTGCTCCATTATCATTCTCATTGTTATTGTTGTTGTTATTGTTGTCATTGTTGTTGTTGCTGTGAACAACTCTTTTCAATAATGAGAATACCATTATTATTATGTTATAATATATGTACAAGTATAAATATGAATGTAGATATGTTATATATTTATATATCTATCTTTGTTGTATAACTAACTAGCAAGTGAATGGATGTGTTCACAGCTCAACAACAATGTGCCACGCATCGTTCCAAATTGGGCAAGTGGCGGTTGGTAGTTTCAACGGCTAGTTGATTTTTGGTTTCATTCAAATTCAAATTTTTGAATAACACACTTTAGGACCGAAGTTCACTTGATAGCTTGAAGGTCATTGTCATGATTGATGCACATGTGACATTCAGGATGATGACGATGATTGTTGCTCCTTCTTCATTCCACCGAGACATGCAGGTGACTGAGGTACAGTTGAGTTCTTTGCCCATGATGCTGGTGTTGATGTCTTGATACTTAGAGCGTGTACACCTCCACTCAATTGTTCTTGTAATGTATCTTGTACCATTCTATGTTGTTCCAGTAATGACTTGCCAACAAACTTATCAGATACAACAACGACCTTTAATGTTTGATTGATCAAACGAATGAATGAATGATTGATTGAATGAGTTAGTCGTGTGATTGATGTCATAACTGATCATCAATGATATGATATGATATGTACTTTGAAATGAGTCTCAGAGTCCTTTGGAACAGAGTGCATGTAGCTCTCATTGATTACATCGAGATGTGATGGTTCAAAGCGTGTGACTAACTTTGATTCTATAGTTGTTTGAATTGCACCTTTGATTGCTGCACTCATACTTGTATAATATCTTCTCAAGTACATATAAATATAATATAATATAATATAAATATCTAGATCACCTGTATATCTCGAATGAATATATGAATGGACGATTGAACTAATGACAATCTTGAAAGAGATGATTCAAGACTTCAACAACATTCATTGTGTCATCACACATTATTACCAAAAATGGGTTAAAGTGACGGCGAGACCCCGAGATTGAATGAATGAGACTAGGCAAGAGGGGGGTTGGTGGATGAAAGAGAGAGAGAGAGGGATGAAGATACTATTATGAATGACATTCATTCATTCATTCAATTCCATTTCATTGTACTTATACATACATATATATATACATACATATATTACTATACTATTAGATATTTTCAAAAATAAAGAAGATGACAAAGACAAAGACTTTTGGACATTGTGTTGTAGAGTTGGTCAAAGGAACTGATGACGTCTACTTCCTCAAGCTCAATGGTGATGAGAACAAGTTCAACCCAGTCAACATCAAGAACATCAATGATGCATTGGACTATATTGAGAAGTATGTTGGGATGGGCTGAGACTTGGTTGATAACTCACTCACTCATTCAATCAATCAAACATGAATGTAGGATTGAAGAAGCATCTTGTTTGATCACAGTTGGTACCAACCAAAAGTTCTACTCAACTGGTTTGGACTTGGATTGGATGTTGCAGGCACCAGTCGAGGAGAAAAGATCATTCATCGGATCATTCCACAAGCTCTTGGGTCGTTTCTTGACATTCCCAATGCCAACAATCGCAATTCTCAATGGTAATGGATCATCATTCATATCATCATAATCATAATCACTCGAATCGTCAACTGACCTCCATCATCTCATAACATCATATAGGACATACTTATGCTGGAGGTGCAATGTTGGCCTCAGCACATGACTTTAGACTAATGAGAAAGGATAGAGGATTCTACTGTCTCCCAGAGGTCGACATCCACATCCCCCTGACTCCAGGAATGAATGCCATCCTGCAGTATGTACCATCCATCAGACACCCAATCACTCCATGAATGGAACTATCCCACTCACTCACTAACATTCAATCAATCAAACAGGGCCAAGATATCAGACTCCGCAACTTATAGAGATGCAGTTCTTAGAGGTATGAAGTTCAGTGGAAACGAGTGTGTCAAGCATAAGATTGTGGATGCCGCTCTGGAAGAGTCTGAGCTGGTGCCACATGCACTTGAGCTGGCGTCAAAGGTGGCACCAAAAGGCAAGGACAGAGACACCTTTGGAGGACTCAAGAGAGAGATGTACAAGCATCCATTCGCCGTTCTCCAGTTGCCCACTCTTGGTGAGTCTGAGAAGCTTCTTGGCGCCAAGTTGTAACACTTACATAGAGATTAGAGCATGGCCAAATGAATGAATGAAGGAATGTAACCTATTTCATTTAGTCCGGAATCATTCCCTGCTGTGTATGTTGGTTCACCAGTTTGTGCAAAGGTTGATCTGATGATCATTTGTGTGAAATTTCCCCTGATATAGTTGTTTGAGTGATCACGATGGAGCACTGAATCTCGCTGTGACATGTGGTTAGATGTAACCCAATGGTTACAGGACACTAATACATCACTTCAACGTGTACACTAGATCAGTCACCTGTGTGCTATTAATAAGTGATCACTTTCAATTATTCAATCAATTAAACAATCAATCATACAATCAATCAAACAAACAAAGAATGAGCAAGACTTTTGGACACTGTATAGTGGAGTTGGCAGATGGTACAACTGACATCTACATCATCAAGTTCAACCAAGATGAGAACAGATTCAATGATGTCACCACAAAGAACATCAATGATGCATTGGATTATGTTGAGAGGTAGGAATAGTTCCAGCCCCAGGCCCTCACCCACTCAATCAATCATACTCACTCAATCATCAGCATTCCAGAGGCATCATGTTTGATCACTGTTGGAACCAATCCAAAGTACTACTCGATGGGACTTGATTTGGCTTGGGTGATGAGCATTCAACCGATGGAGGCTGCTGGATTTATATTGACATTCCAGAAGCTGATGTCAAGATTGTTGACAATCCCAATTCCTACGATTGCAATTGTGAATGGTACTGCATTTGCTGGAGGCGCAATGATGGCTATGGCACATGACTACAGACTAGTGGCCAAGGACCCATCGGCATTCTTCTGTCTTCCCGAGGTTGACATGAACCTAGTGATCACACCAGGTCTAAATGCACTAATGCAATGTAAGATAGATCCAACTACCTATAGAGATATGCTGTTGCAGGCTAGACAGGTGACTTGTGATGAGGCGGCGACTTATAGAATGGTTGATCAATGTTTGGAATCAAGTGGCTTGATGTCGGCAGCACTTCAAATGGCCGCCAAGGTATCACCCAAGGGAAAGAACAGAAAGACATATGGTGGATTGAAGAGAGAGATGTACAAGCACGCTAACATTCAACTCCTGTCCAACGACTTTGGCGAGGCATTCAAATAAATATCTAACCATTTATTAACTTATTTGATGAAAGTAATAGCAAACGATCCATAATTATTGTGGTAACTCATCTCCAATTTGAACCTTATAACTAGTGAAGGTCCAACAGCTTCCTTACACTCATAGTAGATACCCGATGGCTTATAGACCATCTTAATGCGTCTAGGCTTCTCAACCCATACTGTCAGAGGACACTGTCCATCTTTGTCCACTTGACTGCCCAAGGTCGCGCTACAAAGTATTCCATCCATAATGCACGATTTTTTGTTTGAGAATACAGCATCCATGGTGAACTCGCTATAGGCTTTAGGGATGGTGTTTGGCATCCCATTGAATGAGGTTTCACAGACTGCCGGCCTGGAGGCCGCCAAATAGTTCTCCATCCACGTGCATCTGGTTGTGAGGTCGGTGGTAATCTTGGCCTGGGCATCAAGCCTGGTAGTCAAGTCTGTGATCAACTTGGCCTGAGCTGTGATTGTTTGGTTCTGGACATCAACCTTTGCCAAAGTACTCTCCAACTTCTTCTTCATATCATTATTCTCCATGGCAATAGTGTACAACCATGACTCTGATCCATCTTTTGATGGAGTTGAAGAGGTTGGTTCCACCAATCTTTTTAGAGTGAAGTTGGAGTACTCAACGGTCCACTTCCAGTCTGTAACAGCCTCGGCAACATTGTTTGTTGGATTGGCGGGATCGACAACTAGTCGACCTTGATGCGACTGTGCCGCATTCTTCCAAGTCTTGACATAGAACTGTGGCCAATACACCTCGATCGTTGGCTGAGCCAGCAGTCCAAGTACTTTGGCAAAGGCAGCCTCCACCACAAGTGACTTGCTGGTGGTCATCATATCTTCAAACACCTTGAGTGTGACTAACTCAATCAAGTATGATGATGGCGTCGTTGACTTGTCCCACTTCCAATCACTCAAGTTGCGCCAGCATTTGACCAGACGCACGAGATCCTTGTAGTTGGCCGGCTGCTGTTTGATGAACTCGACCTGGAGTGGTGACGCGGCAGCTGACGCAAAGGGTATCTCAGTCTTGGGATCCATGGTGGTGAAGGACATGAAGCCATTCTTGAGCAGGGGTGCGGGCAACACGTCAAACTTGATGCCCTTGTACTCGAGTTTGACCGAACGGATACGTGTGATCACCTGGTCACGCTGACTCTTGTGCTCATAGTAGATGCCAGGCTCGACATTCTGGATGTTGAGTCCCTTCTTTAGACAATCAGCCAACTTGTTCACCTTGTCTGTGATGGCAGCTTCAGTTGGCGCGAGATCGTTGAAGAGCACAACCAGGTCAACCTCCATGCGATCAATCAGATTGGTACCCTTGCCATTGGAGCCACCCTTCACGACCCTTGCCGGGGTCAATTGAGAATTGATCAAGTTAGTGACCTTTGCAACCTGGAAGTTGATATACTGCTTGATCTCCTTATTTGGTCTTAACAAGGCCACAGTGCGTTCGAATGGCGATGCCAGGAACTGGTCAAAAGTTGTTGGAATTGATTGTTGAGACATATTTATTTATTATTTATGTATATATGTTTGGATTGTTTGGTTTTATTGATTGAAATGTTTGATTAAATGTTTGGTTGAGTGAGTCTTCATATGGAGTGGATATATTTTGATCAAAATTGAAATTTCCACGAGATCCTGATCACTTTGCACTCAATTTGAGTTGATTGGGCTGTGGTCCGCACTGACCTTTATCTCATTTACTTGTTGTTTCAAAGGAAACACATTGATTGTCTTGAGATAATAGAGTACTCAAAATAGTTACCAATTGATATTACCATTAATTCTACAGGATGATTAAAGTCGATCCCTGTTGAATATAGTTAATATAACATGACTGAGTTGTTGTGTTGTTATTCATTGTCAACCTAACATACTTGGATCACCATAATCAAATAGATGTAAAAGGTTCATGGCTACAATACTACTTTTAAAAATCATTGAGAGAATTGGAAGTCCGTTGGATTGAATAATGTACTTGGGCATTGGTACGTCAACCTTTGGTATAGGATCAGGTAGTTCACATAGTATATTTGATTGAGTGTATTTCAATGTTGATGCATAACTGAATACATGTCTTAAGTTCTCATAGAAGTTTGGATTATTCAAATCATTCAATCACATCATCATCATTATCATACTCATTATTATTATTATTATTATTATTGTTTCCATCTTTAAATCTCTACAATGACTCATAATGTGGCCTTCATATAATATTCTATATTGGTGATTGGTTAGTTGTTCATTGGTAACAAGTACCTCCTCCTTTTTTGGTATCAGACAGTCTGTCATCTTGGCCTGCCTTTGTCCAAGATGAAAGTGAGGGAGGATGTGGTGACTCTTTATAACTCTAAAGACTTTCTTATCATCATGTCTACCAAACAATTGAAAGAGGGGTTGTTTGAATTGAACAATGAAAGACCTTACATCCAATCAGACAATCAGTCGATCAATTCGGAAAAAATGGTGGTGTGTGTTTGGACTGATGGATGGGTTGATGCCAAAACAATGTTGTTGGGTTAATTGAGTGCACGAAACTCTATTTCACACTAACCCCAGGCTCATTAGCAATATCTTAAATTCATGATGGTAATTGCGTGATTATAATAATGATGGGGTTATGTTATTGTTTATTGTGTTTCTGATTGATGGACTGATTGACCGAACATAGGTAGTAGTGTAAACAACATCATCATCAGAGATAGATAGAGAGAGAGAGAGAGTTGTACAACTCTCATTGAATAATATTCACACACACACGAATCGCATCCAATCAATCTAATCAATCAATCAATTCCATCATTCAATCATTTCAATCAATTAATACTTATAATAATAATAATAATAATAATCCAATCATCTCATATAATATATAACAATAGTATAGACGACTGAACATAAACACTGGCTAACTGCTTGTGTTTGTAAATATGCTGCTGGACAAACAGATACAGATACAGATATAGATACAGATACAGATACACACATACACCAATCAATCAAACAAACAATGAGCTTCCTATCAAATGCATCGACAACATCATCTGCTTCGTCAGGGTCATCACCGACTCCAAACTCCCATCTCCCAACTCCAACTTCCATGACTTCCACAACTTCCACAACCCAGACTCCGACTCCAACTCATCATACTCATACTCGAACATCATCCACATCAACAACGACATCGACTACGAATACAATGACATCGATATCAGCATCAACATCGGCGTCATCCACTGCATTGGCATCGACATCGACCTCGACCACATCGGCATCGGCATCATCAGCCGCTACGACATCAGCCATAAAGACGAGTGGCGAGTTGATGATGGACAGCAGTGCTTCATCAGTCTCTGGCAATGGAAGCAATCTCAATATAGTCGGTGGAACCATTGGCAAAGGTCTAGTACTGCCAGCCGATCACATCCTATTCAGACTTCTCGGCGACTTCAAGGAGCTCACCAAAGTCAAGATGGACATATTCATCAGGGTATGTCATGGTCTGGCCTCGACTCGGGTCCTCTCGCGTCGTTCACTCACTCACTCAATCAATCAACCAATCAATCAATCATAGGATGAGAAGATAAAGATGGAAGAGTTCTTTGATGCATCAGACTCCAAGACGTTTAATAATGTGTTGGATGGATTGACTGAGGTGTCCAAGTACTACTTGAACTTGGTGTCTGGCGCGTTGTTACAATGGCGATCGACCCAGCATGTCATCCCCGCCAGGACTATCTCCAAACAGAAGCTGTACGTATCACGTATCATGACGACTACACTCGCATGACCTAACGCTCACTCTCTCGCACCCACGCTAACATAGTGATGGATCAGACACAAAGAATCTTGTGGCGGCATTGGAGGAACGACACAAGTTGATAGTGGACTATATATTCTGTATTGCTATGTTGACGGTGTTGAGCTCATTGACAAAGGACAACTTGAATGATATGATTGGAACACAGATTGAATCGATATGCTTTGAGAACTTCAAGGCGGAGCGTCGTGCGACTGGTGCCGCCTCGCCCACGCTCATTCCAGACCTGTGTGCCGCCATCCTTGGACAGCTCAGCAAGTATCGTTTGAGGAGTGTATCAACGCGCTTCTTCAAAGAGGTCCAACTCTGTCTCACTTCCAACACACTCAAGTCCAAGATATTCCCAATCTTCCAAGGTGTCCGATTCCTCAAGCTAAAGGTAAGTCGTTGCGACAACGCCCGCCACGTGACTCACACTAACTCCTTGATTAGACCTCATCCAATCACAAGCTGAAACAGTCATTGGAGTTTGTTACATCATGCTTGGACTTGTTCAAGAATGCCAAGGTTAAGGGCGATATGCGAAGAGCGTTGGCAGAGGTACTGGCGAGTGTACTGCGGCCAATGACAAGCGTTAGGTTCAAGCCGGACGTAGGGTATGGCGAGTGGAATATAGTGGTCAAGGAGCTGTACGACTTTGTCAGCAAGAAGACCAAGAATACCAAGGACGTAATAACGACATACCCTCTAACAGCCGTGCTACTATGCGTGTCTGATCGCGAAACCTTCCTCAAGAGCTCGTGGACACTGATCGACGGCTTCATCAAGATCAAGGACAAGCAGGTGCGCCCGTACGCGCTCGAGGCCAGCCAGTACCTGCTCGAGTGCTATCTGCACAAGCACACGGAGCAGCCCGAGGAGGTGTCGGAGCGTCTGCACCAGTTCATCGCGCACGTGTTCCCCGCTTCGCACACCAAGAAGCTGACGCTGAGCGCCAGCGACTCGCTGCACATATTCATCGACATCATTGGCGTGATCGCATCCACAATGCTTGAGTTCTCATTTGAGAAGGTCATCTTTGACCTCTTGCGTGGTGGCGATCTCAAGGACTCGCTCGGCTATATCTCAAACCCGGAGCGCATGATTGTAGGTCTGCGCGCCGTTCAGCTCATTGTACAGGCCTCATCGAATGGCAACACCGGCAACAACAACAACATCAACAACATACACTCTCATCATGGCAACCCACTCACTCCCAAGACCCTAGCATTCGTGTCGAATCCTGGCGGCAGTGGCAGCAGCACATCGATCAATCAATCTTCGCACGCCGCGACATATGAAGGCGCAGTCGCAATCACATCAAACAAGGTGCTGGCGCGCCGCTACCGGACCTTGCACACCAAGGGCGCGGTTGCTGGGACAACTGCACTTATCATCGAACCCTACTCCAAGTCATTGAGCATCTTCCTCTCGCACATGCTCTCGGCGCTTGACGCCAGCTTTGGCATGCTGCTTTCGACCATCCAGACCAAGCCACTCAGCGAACTACTCGAGAAGATGCGACCTCCTGGCCCATTGTGCCTCGAGCTGCTCAAGGTGGCCATTGCCACCATCCCCATCGCCTTCCCCTCCAAGATCACCGTGTCTGAGCTGGTGCTCATGCTGTCCAAGTACTTGATCCACTTGGACAAGGGCATCAGCGAGAAGTCCTCGGCCGTGTTGACACAGCTAATGGCCACGCGACCTGACCTGCGGCCCAACATCATTGGTGGCCTTGGAAAGTACGCGTTGAGCATCAGCGACAAACAATCACACTTTATGTGTGTCGTACTCGAGAAGATGGCCGAGCTGCTGGGCATGTGGGCAGCGGCCAAGACCAATCGCTTCCAGATGGGCGCAGACGATGTGGTGCCGGCTTCTGCCGAGCAGCAGGTACGATTCCGCGTCGATGGTCCAGACTATGCACCCGATGTCGACTACATTGAGGCGGTCGGCCTCGTCTGTCTGTGCAGCAGCAGTGCACGCAACAAGCGTGTCAGTCTATCAATCCTGGGCAGCATCGCGATCATACACGAGGCCTTCCAGATGGCACGCATCGACGAGGATATCGAGATCACGATTCACATCAAGGACATTATCGATGAGAATGGCAATGAGTATCTCTATCGCCATGCACAGAGCCTCACGCACCAGTTCGAAAACAAGTACAAGAAGCAGAAGTCACCACACGACTTTGAGCGTCTGGCCGACGCCGAGACCAAGGAGGCTCAGATGTTGTGGAGCGCATGTCTGTCGGATATTGCTCGAGCGGCCTCGGAACTGGCCACCAACTCGGTGGCCAAGGCCTGTGAGTTGGTCTTGCAACGCATCAAACCTATTCAGCCAGAGGAGAGCGGCAAGACACAGTCTGGCGCGCCAGAGGTCGAAGCGCCTCTGTCCACATGGTGGAAGAACTACATTGTCTTTGCCTGCGCCACGATCGCCGTCCCGGAGAATGAGACCAAGAAGACTGAGCAGTGGCCAGTGTGTGCGCGCGAGCTGTTCACACTGATCATCCCCTATCTCAAGTCGGCCGACAAGTTCTTTGTCGAGTCCACCGTGATGGCACTGCAAAAGACCAATGCACGTGTCCTCGACGTGCTTTGCGATCAGCTGCGACCGTGGGAGCACGAACTGCACACCAACAAGAAGTCAAAAAAGCGTCTGGATGGCATGCGATCAGTGATTGGAATTCGTCGACACTGTCTAGAGTCGCTGCGCAACGATGGACTAGTGAAGCGCGAGCAACTCAAGCGATCATACATCGACTACATTCAAGAGGTACTGCAATTCCTCCTCTCACCCGAGTCCAACACTGGCGACTACATCTGGGACTCACTACATGGTATCCGATTCAACCTCTGCGTCCTTGTCCATCGCATGGTACAACAGCTCTACTTTGGGGCCAACGAGTTCCTCGATAAGGTATGTTATCGCGAGCGATCATTCATGTGCGGCCAGTCATCTTACCCAATCACTCACTCACTCAATCAATCAATCAAACAGAACATGCGAAGAGAGTTGTTCAAGCTGTTTAGCAAGTGGAGCGAGAGTGAGGAGCAGCTGAGGGATGAGCCAATGTTGCGTAGACTTGCTGTGTTCTTGCAGCAGGAGGAGAAGGAAGTGACAAAGCGCAAGGAGTACGAGATTAGGATATTTGAACAGGCAGCCCAGCTAAGTAATGTGGCCCTGCACGCAGTGTCACTCATCCTGCTCGGACCGCCATGCGTCGAAGCATTCAAAGAGCCCACTGGCTTCGTGTTCCAATGGATCAACTCAATGTTCACGAGCAAAATGAAGACCAAGATACGCTCGGTGTCACGCCAGGCGCTCCAGAGCTTCCTCAAGTGCAACGCAGCGCAGTACCAGGAGCTGATCTACCACTGCATCAATCAATGCTACAGTCTCACTCCATCAGTAGCCAGCAATTACTTCCTGGCGCTGGTCGATATGTGCCAGGACGGTGTGCTGCGTTTCCCCTACTCCGAGTCGATCCTCACCAATCTGATCATCTACAATGCCGGCGCACCAGTATCTGCCGTGCGCCAGAGTGCATTGCAGTTGCTCTACTTCTTCAAGGCATCGAGCAGCCCGAATGATCACTACACTGACGGCTTCTACCCATCGGCAATTGGCAGCGAGTTTGTGGACACGTACCGCAACGCACAGCTCAGCCTGTCCAAGACGCTAGCGCTGGAGAACCCCGAACTTTGCTACGAGCTGTTCCTAGACGTGGTGTACCGTCTGGAGACCGGCGACTCGCCCGCGCACTTGGAGCAGCACCAGACACTGTTGGCATGCGTGGCGCCATGGGTCGAGCAAATGAACCTGCTGCACCTAGGCTCAGCCAACTCTGCCCTTCTCGACAGCGTGTTGCAAGGCTTTGTTCTGGTCACCATGAAGCACGCCCATCTTACGCAGCCCATCGAGCGACTCTGGCGCATCCTTGGACGCATTGAAGACAATGTGACAATCATTGTAGACTTTGCGCTCAAGGTGATTGAACGCACACGCAATCACGGCCTGTTGCCCGTGTTCACAAAGATCTGTCTGTTCCTTGGACGCTCATCGCCTCAGAAGCTCGTCAACAGCCTAGTCAGCGAGCTGTCAGCCACAAATGCTGCCGCACAAAGCTTCACCGCCGAGTTTGACGCTTCAAAGTCGCTGGGCAAGGCGGGCATGAGTACGATCAGTCGTGCCGCCATCCCACCGCAGCCCCACGAGGTCTACAATACGATGGCTTCAATCTCGCGTGCATTCCACACGGCCACTGTTCGATCATTCGACTTGACAGGTGGTGCCAAGGGCTTTGCACTGACACGCTTGCAGACCCCGCTCATCTTCCTCTCAGAGATCTCGTTTGAGGTCGGCGAGGAGTTCCGAGAGCACTTGCCCGTGCTCCTACAGCTCATCTTCTTGGGTCTTCACTACAATCACCAACCCGTCCACGAGCATTGTCGCATGCTCCTGCTTAACATCATCCGCAGCCTTGTCATCAGACAACAGCAACAACTTGGCGTGCCTGACCCGGCAGTCTACGAAGAGGCCGTGCAACTCGTCGATTTCTTGTTGCCAGCGGCCTTCCGCAGCGATGAGACAGCGGCCACGGCAGCACACTCAGTCGCCGCAAAGAAAGAGATATCCAACCCCAAATACGTCGTGATGCTCAGCAGGAGGGTGGTACAGGTGCTCAGCAACGGACGTGCGGACTGCGAGCTCAAGGAGCATTGGGGCGCCAACGCGCTCAACTGGGCCACGAGCTCACAGAACATCAGACTGGCCATGCGCAGTTACCAGATCATCCGCGGTTTGGAGCCAACGACGACTGTTGACGCGCTGACCGAGGTGATCCAGTGTCTCGGCAAGAAGATGGCCGACATCAGCGTGGACAACATCGGTCTGATCAACGAGATCCTCGAGACGCTGCACGTGATGATCGGGCGCATCCACCCGTCCAAGCTCATCCTGTTCCCGCAGCTGATGTGGGGCGTGCTCGCCCTCATGCACACGGACTTTGACGCGCACTATATCAGCGCGGCCAAGACTCTGGCGCTGTTACTCGACTTGATTAATTTCAACGATCGGGCCGTCCAGAACGTTTTCCTGGCGTCCATCAACAAGGAGTGGGACTTCTTCAATGGAGTCCAGCCCTTGGCCATCCGCGGCCTTGGTTCAACCACCACATTCCACGCGTCCATCGATCTGCTCAGCAAACTAACATTGAAGCCTTGCAATGAGATCTTCCATCCAGAGCCAGGAACCCGATTCCTCGCCAACCTCATGGCGCTGTTGCCTTACCTGTGCGCCAATATTGCCAACCCTGAGCGCGACCATCTATGCTACGTGGCAGCTGAGCGTCTGTCATTGGCTGCCGAGAACCAAGACAACTGCGTAGCCCTGGCACAGATATTGTATCACTTCTCGCGACTTGGCTACGCGCGACAGCTTGACCGCTTCCTGACCGACCTGTCCGCACCGCTCTGCCAGCTGGTGGGCGCAACTCGACACTCGACACTTACCTTCACATTGCTGTTTGATATCTTGGAGCATGGCCCAGCGGACTACAACTACCCAACACTCAAACTCCTGAACGCGTTGGTGGCGGGTGGCGTCAATCCTGCTGACTCCAAACCACCTGGCACATCGGTGGGCGATTGGTACGACACCATCTCCAACTTTATCAATGGACATCAGACGCCCGCCATCATCGTGGCGCAGGCACTCAAGTTCATTGAGATGTCTAGCCAGTGTTCGCCAGCCAGTCTCCAGCCAGCATCAAAGGACGTAGCCAAATCCACAGACTCGCTGCGGGCCATCGCCAAGCAGTCGGGCCACAGCTCAAGGCGCTTCCTGAACAAGGTGGACCGCGGAACACACATGGCCAACGTATGTTTGAGCAAGGTGCTCAATATGTGCCATCGCCCCGCCATCAACCCGCTCAGCAAGTCGATGTATTTCTCGAGTGCACAGATCATCGAGCGATTCTTCTCGTCGTCTGACGACCTTCAGCCACCTGGAACGATCAGCAAGGGACTCTCATACGACGATCTTCACAATGACGGCGACTCAGAGGCCGCAGCGACTTCATCACAGGCGTCAGAGATCAGTGTTGACGAAGCCGATCATTATGGCGGATCGCTGCACAAGTCATCATCGGACCTTACATTTGGAGGCGAAGGCATGATGTCCGAGTTCCATCAGTTCCCACACTTCCAAGGCTTTGACGACTTGCTGATGGGCCTGGACGATCTGAGCACTCACGAGGCATCCACTTCGGAGACCTCGTCCGAGATGTCCAACTCCACATCCAGCTACTCGTCCACTACGTCCGCCCCCAACCAAACGCCATCTACACCACTCAGCAAGGTACATCACTCGACCACCACCGCACCGATGACACCAGTGTCTGCATCGCCCATGACTCGTTCACCGTCATCCGTTGGACGCAAGTTGCTGGCCAATTCCAGCTCGCCATCGTCTCTTTCACGTGGACTCCAGTTCCATACCAACCCCGCACTCTCTGCCCTCTCGCACAATGTGTCAGCGGCCAAGAATGTGTGGACGCGCTGCGCTGAGCAGACTGACCTTACAGCAGAGCGCGACGTCTTTGAGGCGTTCGCTGCCGCCTCCCACCTGGTGCAGCACATCTCAATCGAGTACCGCACATTGTTCAGCCAATTCCTCTCACTGATCACCACGACCGCAGCCAAGGGACCCACTCTAGCTGTAGAGATGTTTGAGAAGCCACCATTCAGCTTGTCGCACCAAGAGATTCTCAAGACCAAGGAGATGTCGGAGAAGTACCGTAAGGACCTGGCACTCAAGCCGTCCACCACCCGTCTGTTCTTGGAGATGCGCGAGAAGGCCATCGCAGCCTACACTCAGCAACTCAATGTGTACACGGAGCAGCGCACGGCCACCAACAATGTGCGCGCCAAACTCTTTGAGAGTGGCTCGGGCAGTGAGGTGCAGATCGCCGAAGCACGCTTCTGCGCGGCCATGTGCTCATTGTACCAACAACTACTACAACTGTGGACGGTCAACCTATCATTACAGGAGCTACTCAATGATTATAGCCAACTACTTGCCATTGACAAACAACGTGATGAGATCAAGAAGGAGATGAACAAGTGCAAGGTATTAGCTGTACTACTCAAAGACAAAGAAGCAGATCTCAGGCAGCAGGCGCACTCAACATTATCGACGCCAACAAAGTCTTAAGACTTGGTTAACTTTATAAATATATAAAGTGCGTGGCACAATCATGATGTAATATGTATACATATATCTATTCATAATAATACAGGTTACATGTTGTACCACCAATTGAATCGAGAATGAATGAATGAATGATTGAGTTGCGCTGTCTCGAGACATGACCTTCGTGTTGGCGTGCCTAACACACACAAAGATGATGTGGGTGGATCTCAAACACACTTTCACTCGATTCTTTGTCTTTTGGCACTTTCGCGATAACTTCAATGACATTGATTCATTCATTCATTCATTTATCATATCATACAATCAATCAATAACTTAAATATTTCAAATACATATATACATATACATTACAATGAATAGTATTGTTAGAAAGTCAATAACTACATTAGTAAATGGTGCAACGACAGGCAATCGTTTGTTGTCCAATGTAGCCAGAGGATACGCCACACTGTCAACACCAAGCAATGACAATGCCAGTATGTGTTCAAACAGACAGGATAACCTTTGATGATGTTACTTACACATACAATCAAACAAACAAACATAACAGCTACAAACATACAACCTATATATTTGGATATGCAGGCTACTACACCTGTTGACCCTAGAGTATTGGATGCAATGCTACCACTCTATACAGAGAGCTATGGAAACCCTCACTCAAAGACACATGCTTATGGATGGACTTCGAATGATTTCGTCGAGAATGCTAGAGATCAGGTGGCCAAGTTGATCAAGGCTGACCCAAAGGAGATCATCTTCACTTCAGGCGCGACAGAGTCGAACAATATATCGATCAAGGGTGTGGCCCGCTTCTACAAGGAGAAGAAGAACCACATTATCACCACGGTCACCGAGCACAAGTGTGTGCTGGACTCGTGTCGTCATCTCGAGACCGAGGGCTTCAAGGTGACCTATCTGCCAGTGCAACCCAATGGACTGATCGACCTCAAGCAGCTCGAGGCAGCAATCACACCTCAGACTGCGCTGGTCAGTGTGATGGCGGTCAACAATGAGATTGGTGTCATCCAGCCTCTCAAGGAGATTGGCAAGCTCTGCCGTAGCAAGGGCGTCTTCTTCCACACCGACGCCGCACAAGCTGTCGGCAAGATCCCACTGGACGTCAACGACATGAACATTGACCTGATGTCGATCAGTGGCCACAAGTTGTACGGCCCAAAGGGTGTTGGTGGACTGTACCTGCGACGTAGACCCAGAGTCAGAATCGAGGCGATCCAGTCAGGTGGTGGCCAGGAGCGTGGCATCCGCTCTGGTACCGTGCCAGCCACGCTGGTAACCGGATTCGGCGCAGCCTGCGACATTGCACTGGCAGAGATGGATAGAGACACCAAGTGGGTCAAGTTCCTGTACGACCGCCTGCTCAAGGGCATCCAGGAGAACGTCCCACACGTCAAGATCAACGGAGACACCGAGCAAAGATACTATGGTAACCTTAATATATCGTTCAGCTATGTGGAGGGCGAGTCACTGCTAATGGCCATCAAGGATGTGGCGTGCTCCAGTGGCAGCGCCTGCACTTCAGCATCGTTGGAACCATCCTACGTGCTTCGTTCGCTGGGTCTCGAGGAGGACATGGCACACTCATCCATCCGTTTTGGCATTGGCCGCTTCACCACCATCGAAGAGATCGACTATACCATCTCGCTGCTCAAGAAGCAAGTGCAGCGACTGCGTGACATGAGCCCTCTGTGGGAGATGGTCCAGGAAGGTGTGGACTTGAAATCGATCGAGTGGAGTCAGGTATAATTTGTTGTAGGCCGTCGATGACGACAGCTCAGCTGGTTAAAGATGACGTTTATGCATGATGCATGATAAAGTTGTTGTTGTTGTTGTTGATGCCAATTAGAATAAACCAACCCGGCGACCCTTTTACCATCAGCCAGCCACACTGCCAGCCAGGTACTTCGCGTGACTTGGGTTAAAGCTCCGCATTGACATCATCATAATCAACTTCACGTGATATTCATGTTTGATTGATTGATTGATTGGTTGAGTCTGGAGAAGACACAACCAATGTTATGAGACAGGGGTGTGCAGACATTCAGGTTACAATACATGGCCAGCGAACATGTTGTCGGTCTACAACTATCCTTAAATAGTTTCGAATTGGTCAATTTACAAAACCAGTCGTAATCAACACCTGACAGTTGGTAAATGTCATGTGTGATTGGCTGACTGATTGATTGATTAATTAATTGATTGATTGATTGATTGATTGTGTGTGTCGCTGATATAAGTGATCACTTCCAAGGGGTGTGTGAGTGTGTTCAATCACACTAATTCGATGAGAGTGTGTGGTGCGGAAGTGTGGCGGGCAAGGTTGGGGAAGGGGTAGCCGTGGTGTAATTATGGACAATACGATGTCCATCACATGATAGTTGTTGTTGTTGTTGTCATGAATGGTAGTAGACATATACATACATACAAACAAAGTAAGAAAAACAAAACAATGTTAATGCCTAGCAAGACTGTAGTTGATGATCATAAGGATTGTCTGTCAGGCAACAACACCAACTGATGTGCTTGTAATATTGGACCATAAACTAGTACTTTTAATTCCTTGATACTTCAATCACCAACTGATCACTTTACATAAATATATACATACACAGACACACTAAACTAATCAACACACCGTGTCTTCTCCCAATCTTGATTTACACTCTATAGTTGAGATAGTGGATCAATAAACTGGTGTGAGTGAGTGACGGGGAGTGAGGCTATTGCAGTTTAACTTGATTGAGGAGTGAGGACAATCAATCACAATCGTGTCAAGTACGTTATGTTATTACTTGGGACACCCTCCATCCTTCACTCCAACCTTCCTCTTACCTTCCTTCCTTCCTGACAATCAGCCCCATAATCCAGTTACCAACCAATCAATTGATTGGTTACTCAACCTATATTATCATTGTATTCTAGTATACTAGAAAGAGAGAGTTCTTTATATTTATAATCAAATCATTGCGAGTTCCAGGATTCCAGGTTAATATCATTCAATCAATCTATTAATCAATATATCGATCGATCAATCAATTAATCCAGGAATGAGTGGAAGAATAGTTTGGGCCTTAGAGCCAAGTAATCATGTTTGGTGGCCATCAAAGGTAAGATTGATCCTTGGATTGGAGACTAGTTCTTGGTCCAGATTTGTACTAACCTAACTATCATTTATCTTGTTAGACGATTTCACCAGAGGATGTCGATCAGGAATATAGGGATAACAAGTTACCCAACTCAACCCTCTTATTCTTCTTTGGAAGACATAATGTGTAAGTTTTTAATAATGGATTTAAATATGTGAATTACAAACTAACTTACAATATCATCCAATCTTAAAACCAGGCAATGGATAAAAGATATTAATATTAAGGGTTATTCCGAGGAGTACCTTGATCAGAGTCTACCTAAACATTTGATTGGATTGTTCAAACAGGGTATTAGAGAGATGGAGGATAATATCAAAGAGGATATCGAGGATGGAGCATCAATGAATACAACTTCCAGTGTATCAGCCAATCCTTCATCAGAGGACGATTTTGATATCAATATACTTGCCGGAATGAAGTCAAAGATGGAGGCTGAGATTGAGAACCATATAATACCGGCAGAGACAAAGAGGAAGTTGGACCATATTGTTGACAACATAGATGATAATTCACATAAGAAGAAAAGGTCATCGATTGAACTGTTCCACAACAATGTATCCAAGGTTCCTTCCCAACATGACGAAGAAGATGGACCTTCATCCTCACCTCCACGCAGAGTTGGACTCCCTGGATACACTTCTCCCAACCATGCTGCCAAAGTTGATCCGCCTCCTCTATCGGCCCACAAGAGTCCATCTCTGCCTTGTAAACTGCCTCCATCATTCATATCTACGTTGAACAAGAAGAGGTCCAACACCATGCCAGTCCAGATTACTTCTCCTAAAGTGTCAAGTGGAGTACCTACCTCCAGTCTGGTCTCGCCAAAGGTAGCGTCTATGATGGTAAAGACACCAATCACTCTATCGTTCCCTCGAAAGAATCAGACTGGTGTTGTTCCTCATATCTCTACACCTCAGCTCCCAAGCGCTTCGGCCACTCCAGCAATGCAATTACCAGCTTATATGAAGAGCCCGGCGGTACTAGGATCTCCAATGTTGCTAAATAGTCAGCTAGGATATGCCCAACCATTGCCAAAGTCATCTGTTGGAAAGTCTGACAAGACCACGGACGGAGAGTGTGAGGAGATAATATCCTCGGCAGCATCTCAATCAATGATGGCGATGCCAATGCTCCGCTATATGCCTTTTGCTCCACCAATGGGTCTGAACACTTCTCTCAACATGGAAACAACTTTTACCAGTCCCTTCCAGGGCCGTGTTGCAATCAAGGGTTCTTACGAGCTCGGATATCAGGTGGAGGCAACATTCATGGGCAGGAGTTTCGTTGGAACACTTGTCGAGACACCTTCATCAATTGCTAAGCCTGCTGCCATTCCTACTCTTGATCCACAGTTGATGGAGTCCTACCGGTTGTGGTATGAAGCTTTGCAAAAGACGCAGGGTCAGGTAGTGCCTCAAGCTGCTGGTGTTATCAATAGTTCCGCTTTGACTTCCCCTTTGGCAACTGGTGTCAAGGTGCCATCGACTCCATCGACCAGTAGCGCCAATCATACTGCTCCACCAAAGACTCCAAACATCTTGATCAACATTTCCAAGGATGACCAGGCACCTTCAACGATTGAGACAGCCAGTAGTAGTGGTAGTAGTGGCAACAATAATGTTGCTGGTAGTGGTACCGCGGCTGATCCTTCCAACAATGTCCAGTTTAAACTCTACCTTGACAATGCGTTCAAGAAGCTTGAGCAGTTCCAGAAACAACAGACACAGAACTTGAGTGCCAAGCAGGATGAGAACAAACAGCAGTTGACAGCACAGTACCAGGTTGATAAGAGGAACGTGGAGTCGGCTGGAGGCGATAAGAATTTGATTGATCAATTGAATTCAAGGTATCGCGAGAGTCTTGATAGGTTGAATGAGAAACAGATGGACGAGCGAAACAAGATGGAGACGACACATTCACAGCAAGCCACCAAGTTCCTTCGCGAGGCAGAGAAGCAGTGGATGCTCAAACAGAACAGGAATTCTTCATCGGATAGCCTGGGTGTTGATAGCAGGTCACCGATGCCATCACCATCGTTGACCTCTCTGATGTCGCCATTGTTACAATCGCCATCGCCATTCAAGGGCAGTCCAATGGTATCATCATTGTTGAAGGGATCCATCTCATCAGCATCTGAACAACATGGCAACTCTGGACATAACAATCATTCACCAGGTAGATCCACATCATTACTTCTTCAAGAGATTGGTAGAAATGATAATAGTAACAGTCAAACATTGCCACATCTATCATTGGCTCCAACACCCTCCTCTTCCTCCTCTTCATCCACTTCATCCACATCATCCACATCAACAACATCTTCAACAACATCATCATCGACTAATAATACTAAGACCAATGGCAACAACAACAACAAACCAGATTATGATAAGTTCCCGAGAACTATGATAACATTGACATCATAGTCAATTATTATTCCTTCTATTCCTATTCCTCTTCTCTATGTATTCATTAAATCAAATATATATACATATATATATCCAGTGTTGTAAATAATTGTAATAAACAATCCATCATACTTTAAATATAAGTGCCTTACATACTTCTATTCTTATTATCTCTTTGTAGTTATAATAGTTGCAATGAATGAGTGTTGCTTGAATGATGTAACTTCAACAAAAGTCAAAGAGATAACTTTGAGATGGGTGAGTCATGAAAGAGAGAGTGGGGGATCTGAATGCCCAAAACAAGTAAGGTTACTGTTTTTGTGAGAGAGAACAGTACAGAATAGAGATACAGATCATAGATATAAATAGACATTGACTATATCGAGAGAGAGATGTACCAGAAGCTAAAGAATATAGATGCTTATCCAAAGACTGTGGATGACTTCCGCATCAAGACTTACGCAGGTGCAGTGGTCACCATCGTGTCTGCCCTGCTCATCCTCTGGCTGTTCATCTCCCAAGTGGGCGTCTACATGACCACCGAGCCACATCACGAGCTATTCATCGACACCAACAGAGCTGAGAAGCTTAGGATCAACATCGATGTCATCTTCCATCATCTGCCTTGTGCATGTAAGTCATGTGTGTCATCATGTAGTTACAACAGCAACTACTAACATCTCTTCATTGTCCAATGACAACAACAAGACTTGAGCCTTGACGCGATGGATGTTGGAGGACATCATCAATTCGACGTTGCACATAATATCTTTAAGAAGCGTTTGTCGCCCGATGGCGGACTGTTGACAGAGGCACCAAAGCAACAGCCTGTTAATATCAAGGCAGTGCCAAACGCTGATGATAAGGCAGAGTGTGGAAGTTGCTTTGGTTCGAAAGACGGTTGCTGCAACACTTGTGACGAGGTCAGGGACGCTTATCAGCACAAGGGATGGTCATTCGATCCCACCGAGATGCCACAATGTATCCGCGAGGGTTTCACCAAGGCCATCGTCGAGCAGAATGGCGAGGGCTGCCAACTGTACGGCTTCATCACCGTGAACAAGGTTGCCGGCAACTTCCACTTTGCTCCTGGCAAGAGCTTCCAGCACGCGCACATGCACGTGCACGACATGCAAATGTTCAAGGGTGCTCTCAACCTCTCGCACACCATCAACAAGATGTCCTTTGGCAACCCATATCCAGGCATCAAGAACCCGCTCGAGGGTGTTGTCAAGACTGAGAGTATGTGATCATCGACCTCTCTTTGTGTTGCCAATAACTCATAGACTAACACAAATCCTCCATCTCTATAGCGACAGGAACAGGCGTGTTCCAGTACTACTTGAAGGTCGTGCCCACTTTGTACGAGGATGACAATGGAGAGATGTTCAACACCAACCAATACTCGGTCACTGAGCACTACAAGGTACTGGCGCTCAAGAGCGAAGACATCAATCAGAGCAGCGGACTGCCTGGCGTGTTCTTCATGTACGATCTTTCGCCAATCATGATGAAGCTGGGCCGAAAGAGCCAGTCGTTCGGATCGTTCATCACATCGGTGTGCGCCATCGTCGGTGGAGTGTTCACCGTGGCCGGCATCCTGGACTCATTCATCTATCAGACAACAAAGACTATCAAGCGCAAGGTTGATTTGGGAAAGACGTCATAACATGTATCGATGAGGAAACACATCAACAACAGCAACACAACTTCATCATCACAGGACCCAATAACAATCAATGTATAATGTCATGGATATCCAACTCGCGCATTCGACTGTACATTCTCAGACTTTGTTTGGATATTATATCATTCAGCCGATTGATTGATGATTGATTGGTGGATGATCATCTGATGCCAGTGCATCCCATCAATGATCCTCATCTTCCACATTATCTGGAAACACGGTCGATCGACCCAGGTGAGGATGTATGTGTAGGTTGGCATCATTATCCGTGTGTACTAATATGTTTATACACTCAATCACTAACTCTCAATCAATCACTCAAATACTTCATATGTTGAGGATGTCTGGCTCCGGCTTTCAGCACTTCCCCAGAGCAGCATGAAGTATGTGGTGTATGATTGTGACTCTCTGGTGCTGTACATATACAATTGCTTAAATATGTTATAGTGGTATTATTAATGGAATATAGCAGCAGCATTGTTATATATCACACACTTCCGATCACTCCCTTCACCATCACCTGACACCCACCAACACACTAACCCCACCCAGTCAATCAATCACTAACTCACTATTCATGGGGAATGTGTGTACCACCACATCCTTAATTGATACCATCACATGCTCTACTAACAGATGTACCGCTTAGACCAACAACATGAATGGCTGAATTAATGAATTGATGGATGACAACTGTCTACTCATTATTGTCACTTCTCACGGAGTTTATCTCTCTCTATCACTCACCTCTATCCAATCTATCTCCAACGTGTTACCATCAATCCAATCTCAAACTGATTGATCAGTCCAGTCCAAACCAGTCCACTCAAGTCAATCAATCACTTTGGATATCTCCAACAACCATCCAGCTCAAACAATCAATCAATCAGCCAATCCAGATAACTTTATATATATTTTAGTGGCCAGACCTGGCAATTAACAAATAATGTACAAATGGTACCAGTCAAGTGGCACTGTTGTGATCAGTTTCCAAGTGCCAGCGAATACAACTAGCGGCGACATAGTCTCAGAATTGGGCACGAACAACTCAATCAAGATTGGATTGAAAGGCTTCACTCCACACCTGCAGGGTACACTATTGTTGGCTGGTAAAGCATGTAGTGCAATGATCAAAGAGGATCGCGCCTTGATCCATATAGAGAAGACTTTGAAGAAACGTTGGAACAAGCTATTGAACAAGTCGACTGCAGTATTAAGAGCGAGGGTGCTCTATGACTATGAAGGCAATGGTGACGAGGGCGAGCTGGCTCCACTCTACACTCACGAGATCATAGCAATCACCGAGAAGGATGAGTCTGGCTGGTGGGAAGGTCGACGAAAGAACCAAGTTGGAATATTCCCCAGCAATTTTGTCCAAGAATTCGATGTGGACTACCAAGGAACCGAAGGTAAGGTGGCAAATGATCAAATCTCATCCCTAAATCCAGATACTCACATTCACTCAATCAATCATTGGAACTATTCCAAACTTAGATATCAACATGTCTTATGAGTTTTCCATGATGGAAGATGGCAAGATTGAGAAGATTCCTTGCTTTGGAAATATTAATTTGAAGTTGGGAGGTGGTGAACGATCACCCGTGATGAGGACATATTCCCAACAACTATCAGTGGACAGTAGCAAGAGTTCATCATCTCCATCAACATCACCAATAGGCTCACCATTACAGGAGAGGGCGGCAAAAGATGACAGCAAGTTGACAAACCTCTGGAAGCGCCCACTGAAGAAGTTGTCCAATGTCATTGCCAGAGAGAGCAATGGAGCAGGTGATGGAGTATCATCAACATCACCTCCAAAGGAAACTGTAAAGACTGTCATATGCAGAGCCAGGGTCAAGTTTGAATATAAGACAGACCTACCTGGAGAGCTATCACTCAGAGTTGGAGAAGTAGTCAGTGTCGTTGCCAAGGACAACTCAGGCTGGTGGCAAGGTGTAAACTCAGCCGGACAGCAGGGCTGGTTCTCACAGACCTTTGTCGAGGAGGTCAAGGATCCTGTCCTTCCACCAACCAAGTCATCAACATCTCCTCTCCCCTCATCACCCATCCAGCGCCCTTCCAACAAATCTGTTACACCAGCATCAGTGGAGACCAAGCTGAAAGCAATCAAGGAGACACCAAAGTTGGAACATGTTAGGAGACCAGCTGCAGCGAGGGGTAGGCGACCACCAACAAGAATGAGAGCAACATGTATTCTCACACCCGAGGAGAGAGAGGAACGTGATAGGCTCAAGTCAGAGTACAACGAGATTGTGTCTTCAATGACAAAGAATGAAGATGTAGTCAGTGGTGGAAATGGAGGTAGCGAGAATGAGGATGATCCAGAGATTCAACAGATTATGTCAATCATTGATGTACCATCGATAACAGTTAACTCTAATAATGGATCTGGACATAGTAATGGACATGGACATGATAGATTATCAAGGTATTCAACACTTCCAACTAGACGATCAGTGATGTATGATAACCTGGAAATGGTAAGAGCGATTCCTGAGAGCACTGCTCGATCAGAAGAGAAGCCAAGACCCAAGCCTATGCCTCGACGACCAATCACTCCAACAAAGGACATCGTGCCAGGTCCAACTCAACAAGATCCAACACAATCACCATCACCAACACCATCACCAGCTCCATCTCCAACAAAGCCAGCACCACCACCTGTGGCCAAACGACCAGCCCTCAAACCAAGGGCGTCAGTTGCTTGCATTGAACATTCGGCCACGATGGCTTCGTCCGCTCCAGCACCATTCGCACCACCAACATCACAATCCCCACTCCAACATCGAAGAGACATAGACAAGGAGCCAATCAAACAGGTGTCCAAGCAAGATCCTCCTGGTGGCCAAGCCATTTCCAAGCCCATAGTGACACCACCTCAATCATCCGTTGAGACATTGTTCAAAGAGCTACCAGCTATCACTAATCATCTGGCCAGCATTCATCTACCCAAGGCAACATTCGAACACCTGGCACACCCACTCATTGATGACTTCATGTCGATTGCCGCATGCTCAGTGCAAGGTAGACGTTGGAACAGTGGCGACTTGTCCACAGCAAAGTCGAAGGACGAGGTCAAGGTGCCAGCCTTCCAAGTCATCTGGCCAGTACTCTACAGCATGCTCTGTGATGAGTTGGGCGTGGACGAGGTGCGACGCGCTATTGACTCGCATCCCAACCCCATGGTGCGCAACCCATTCACATTGGCTGGCGCCCTTGTCCAGACCTACCTCTATTCGCAGCGTTGTCCAAATGCATCACAACGTTTGGCTCGCGTACTATCCAAGTTGCAACAGGTCATTGGATGTGAAGACCCAGTCACATGTGACCTCGTGTCCTACCTCTCCCAGCGCAGCATGGTAGCGAGCAACCATGGTCAAGGCGAGCTTGGCAACACAGCCAGCATCCTACAGAATGCTGGTGTGATGACCACTGAGCATGCAGACCTTGCACTCGACATCCTATATCAACTCAACTCGATACAGATGAGTGCTACACAAGTTGCAGCACTAGCCGCCACTCTCGCAGCCAACAATGGCAAACTACCATTCAMCCAACAACATATTACCATTGTTGAAGAGTAGAGATATATATACCTGCACTTCCTCCACGACCTCCGATCAATCCACGACCAAGCAACAAGATATTATAACATGGCAGAGTGATAGTGGAATAATGATGCTCATTGTGCCAGGAGTGTTGGGTGCATCGATTATCACGCCATCGACCAAGCACATCAATGAGAAACACAATGAGTTCCGACGACGAGTACTCCAATCATTCAAATAAACTCATCACTCTCGCTTCCTCTCTTTGTACATACAAGTCAACATAATTTGTAATAATTATCTGTAGTGGAATGTTCAAGAATGAATTGATTGATTGAATGGGAATTGAGGTGTTTGTTGAAGTTTTGGTAAGTCCACGACAAACAAAGTGAAGCTCACTCTCCCACATTCATTCATTCATTCATTCGCGAGACGCGTCAAGAGATAGAGAGGTAGAGAATGAGCGATCATCATCATGGCAATGGCAGTAGTAGTAGGCGTCATCATGATGATGATAGTGTAGGAAAGAAGAGAAAGAGTATTGAAGACTCACATCATAGTAGTAGTAGACATGGAGACGAAGTTGACACAGACGATCGAAAGAGATTGAGATCCGACACTCATCATTCACATAGACGTGACTCACGCGAGCGTGATAGAAGTAGGAGTCGCAGTAGAGATCGTTATGACAATAGAGATAGAGATAGAGATAGAGGAGACAGAGACAGAGGTGATAGAGATAGATATAGATACCGCGATGATAGAGATAGAGATAGAGACAGAGATAGAGACAGAGATAGAGAGTATAGAGGTGATGAGAGAGGATATGATAGACATAGAGAACATAGGGACTCTGGTAGACATTATAGAGATGAGCGATCACATCATGATAGCGAGAGAAGAGACCCATTCACAACATCACCTACACCAACTTCAACGACACCAACACCAACATCATCCACACCTCTATCTACAATGGCTTCACCATTACCATCTCCACATACCAGTTCACCGCCACCGACCAATCATGTTGTGTCAAATGGTTCATCGCCCTTGGTTACAACTCCAACAACAACAACACCACCGACTACTGCAGCGACTGCAACAACATCAACAACAACATCAACAGCGGACAGGATCAAAGAGATTGCTGCTAGATTGGCAGCAAGAAAGAATGAAGTACAAAAGGACGCGATCATCTTGGAGTCATCACCAATTGTTGTAAAGCCAGCGCCACAACAACAACAACAGACTGCTGCCACTGCCGCCGCCATCTCCGCGACTCAATCACCAATCCCAACACAAACTCAAACACATACCGAACAGCACGATAGGAAGCAGAACAAGGATGTCGATATGAAGGAGAAGGAGTCATCATTGGCACCAGTTGAGCAGGAGGAGCAAGAGGGCAGCATGTTCTTTGATCCACGTATATCACAACACAAGAAGAAGAAGAAGACATTGGATGCATTCAAATTCATCAAACCTGGTCMAATTCAGTAAGAAGGCCGACCAGCTGAGGATGAAGCAGTTGAAGGAGGAGATCAGCAAGCAGATGGAGCAGAAGGGCTCGAGCATCCTGGACAGGGAGCCAAACTTCCAGGTGGATGCCGTGCCAGACGTCGAGTGGTGGGACAGAGACCTTCTGCAGGACAAGGACAAGTGGAGCAGCACCCAAAGCGACACGCCCTTCTACGACACATTCACCTCAATCGACACGCTCAGCCAACATATCGACACGGGCGAATGGTTCTACGTGGAGCATCCCGTGCAGATCCCTGCGCCACAAAACAACGCGCCACTGCCGAAATTGAACATCATCCCACCGCTGAAGGAGCGCAAGAGAATGAGACGTATTCGTCGTGCGGACATGTTCCGCGATCGCCAGGAGCGTGTGTTGGACGGACGCGAAGCACCGCCACCCGACAAGGTGAAGCTCAGCAATCTGATGCGCGTGCTCACGACACAGGCCGTGCTCGATCCCACGCAGATCCTTGCCAGCGCACAGGCACAGATGGAGGAGCGCGTCAATGCGCACAATCAAAGAAATCTCGAGCGAAAGTTAACACCAGAGGCACGCAAGGAGAAGAATCAACAGAAGCTCAAGTTGGACAATGCGCGACAGATGATGTGCGCGTTGTTCAAGGTGCACGACCTATCACACCCCCTGCACCGCGCCACCCTGGACAAGTTTGCGCGCAAGTCCATTTCTCATGGCTGCGCGGTGCTCAACAACAACTTTTGTCTGGTCGTGATCGAGGCTGGACCCAAGTCAATGAAGAAGTTCAAGAAGCTCATGCTTAGGAGGATCGACTGGGCTCAACCACCTCCAATCAAGGAAAAGAAGGAGGGTGATGCTGATGCCATGGAGGATGGCAGCGGCGAGAACTCAGCGACATCATCAATCAACAACAACAACATCATCAAGCCAAAGGATACTAGCAAGCCCAACTACTGCCAGTTGATCTGGGAGGGTCCTTTGGAGAAGGCCAACTTCCAACAGTTTGATATCCAACAATGTCCAACCGAATCCCTTGCTCGCCAGTATCTCCAACAGCACTCGATACCTCATTATTGGGACATGGCCAAGAACTACATGGGCACAATGTACTCATAGTCGTCGTCGTGTCGCAACAATGGCCCTGATTGGACCCAAGTAAAGTATATACTTGTATTACATTATAGTTTGGTTGATGGTACATGTATGTCATTGTTATGCAATTGAATTGATATCCTTTGTTTCCTACTGTTGCTGCTGCTGTCCTTGTTTGGGTCAATGTCTCTGAACAGGAATGATACCACTGCAGCTTCAAACTCATCTGGTTGATCACGATGTAGATGATGTCCTCCAATGAATATCTTGAGATTTGATCGTGCAATTCTTGCTGCCATTGCTTCTTGACGCTTTGGTGATACATGACTGTCTGTAGCACCAAGTAACAATGTATGCGCAGTGATGTTTGCCAGACTATCCCACCATTCTGGTGTTGGTGTTCTAATCTGATTGATGACATAGTTTGACATCTTGTAATCGAATCCACGCCATAGTGCAACCAGTATAGTCCTGATAATACCCATCGATGAGAGTATGGACATTATACTTAGTGGTGCCGCCTTGACTTCTTGCTCAGGCTCGAGTAATGGCTTGGATGGGGTGTCCTCCAGTATCAATCGACGAATACGTCCAGGCTGTGATGTGGCCATTCCCAATGCTATCAGTCCACCAAGTGAATGACCAACAATGTCAAACCGATTGATATTCAATCGATCCATCAATGAGAACGTATCACCAATGAATGAGTCTATACTATAATCTGCAACAGCATTTGATCTACTACTCTTTCCATGTCCTCTCAAGTCTGGTATAATCACACGTCTATTTGAATGTTTGCGTACAATTGAATCGGCCAATAACAACCAAGTATAACTAGTACTAGCCATACCATGTAAGAATAGTATTGGACATGACTTATTTTCTTTGTCTATGTCATTGTAATTGATATCCTTGTTGTTTGAGTCACCATCAACATTGTCTGAGTGGCCTACTTGCGCTTCAACATCTAGTATCTTATTAGTTCTGTAAGCAATTGTTACATTATCATTAATATTACAATAAAGTATCTCTTGTGATAACATTATCTCTATGTATGTATGTGTATGTTGTAGTAGTAGTAGTACATGTTGTTGATTGAATGAAAGAATGAATGAGAATGAAAGAATGAAGGACTCATGACCCCCACCCTTCATTCTTTGAAGGTCACATGTCACTCAAACAGTTAATATCTGTTTGAGTAATGGATTTAGACAATGCCCTGCGTTCATTCAGATCCCTTGAACTAAGATGGTGGAGTAGATTGAATGAACAACAACGTAGTCAATTGGATAACATTGGTTTGGATGTTGGCAACATGACTTATTATGCAGAGGTCATGCTCACGGCACACGCATCAAAGCCAATGATGTTGTTCACCTATCTACCAAGTGATTGGTGGCATTCATTTCATGGTCAAGTACTTATGGCCAGTGGATTGCTGGACCTTCCCGCTGCCGCCCCCGCACTCAGACTACGCTGCTTCAAGAAGTTGATCACACCCAACGAGCAATTTGAACAATGCTATGCACTGGTATCCAATCGACATGTACTCTCAGAATCAATCGAACAACTATGCCAAGTGGATCAAACAGTTGTCAGTGAGAGTAGACTTGCACAGTTGTTGGACTATCCCACTGCATTGCCAGAGTCATTCACGTCAGAAGAAGTCGCTACTGAAGAGCAATACTATGATGTTGGATACTTGGATGGACAAGGCAGAGCTCTGGTCAACTACAATGCACTTCAATCACAACTTGATCAACCCGAAGTTGTTCAACGAATCAGACAACATCACCAACAATGCAGCGCACTCTACCAACGTGTCTTTGACGAGCCACTCAAACTTGCGATTGTTCGTCTTTCAATCTAAGATCCAATCAATCAATCAATCAATCAATCATAAAGTGATATTGAACAAGTATGCCTAACTGTTTAATGTTGGACTAAGGATGAGGGAGGTGGCCAATGATGACGTGGACACTTACTGGGAGGTTGGCTGTGGGACCATTCTGAGGTATGGTCTGACGGTGTTCCAACCGCCTGGGAAGAGGGTCTTGGCAGCCTCGTCGTTGACGGATGGCACGATGACACAGTCGCCACCGACCTTCCAGTCGCTTGGGGTGCCAACCTTGAACTGGTCGGTCAACTGGATCGAGTCGATGACACGGATGATCTCGTCAAAGTTGCGACCGGTCGACATTGGGTAGGTGATCACGGCCTTGAGCTTGCGGTCTGGGCCAATGAAGAAGACGGAGCGCACGGTGAACACGCTGTCGGTGTTGGGGTGGATCATGCCGTAGAGGTTGGCCACCTTGCGGTCAACGTCGGCCAAGATTGGGTAGTTGACGGTGCAGCTCTGAGTCTCGTTGATGTCCTTGATCCACTCGACGTGATCAGCAACACCATCAACACTGAGTGCGAGTACCTTTGTGTTTCTCTTGGCAAACTCTGGAATGAGCTTGGCAACTCTGCCCAACTCAGTAGTGCAGATTGGTGTCTTGTCTAAGTTGATTGAGTATGATTGAGTATAAATGAGTGTGTGAGATGGGTACTTGGGGCTTGATGCTGGAATAGTTCCATTCAATCAATCAATCAAATGAAAGAAATACACATACCCTTTGGATGAGAGAACAAGATTCCGTAACCAGAACCAAGGTACTCATAGAGTGTGATTGGTCCTGATGAGGACTCTTGTGTGAAATCTGGACAGATATCTCCGATTCTCAAGTATGATTGTGACATTATGTTTGTTATATTATTTGTTTGTTAAAGTTATAATTATATATGATCATAAAAGTATGATGATGAACAACAAGTTTAAGTTCAACACCTACAACATCGACATCATCATTAACATCAGGCTATTTCAAAAGCAACTTCCAAATTGGCATTGGTCCCAAGTGGGGTATTGTTGTAGTCGGAGGCTCAAATTTTAGTGTGTCAAAGGTACCCCAACATTAAAAGTATCTTCGATGAAAAAACAGATCACGATTATGACCTTCGCAACAACATGTATTTTCACTGGACCAGTTATTATTATAACTAGTTGGTATTTATTAGGGAAATAGATGATTAATGAAATGACATCGAAAGAGAGTTGATTTCCAAAGATGATAACAATTTTGTCATATAATTCCAAGAGCATTGGTTCTTATGAAAACTTCCAAAATGACATGATTCCGTCTGCATCTCCTCTCTCGGTCGCTTGGAAAAATTGTGAATTAACCTCCAGACAGTCATTGAATCAAAGATTTCGAAATTGTAGTCGGGGAAGCACTGCAGAGTTACTGTCGAAACTGACTTGAGCAGATGCAATAATGAAGAGGGAACATCCTCACTCATTTTTCTTTGACCACGACGTACGCCTATTCGGATGATACGATGTGAATTACTTTTGTAAAGCTCATATTGGCAGCGATGATATTTTGGAGGGTCCATGAGAGTGGAAAAAATAAAATAAAATAACTGAACTCCGGACATCCACTACTAAATAATAATAATATATTAGTATATCCGAATAGGATCGCCAAACTCATTGCCAAAGTAATCAAAATGAAAAAAAAAAATTAATTAATAAATTATTATTAGTTATTAATTATTATTTATATATATATTTTATTTAATTAAGATTAAACTCTTTGATTGCTTGAAGTTGCTTGTTACGCTGTTGTTGAACCTGAAGAGTTGGGAAACCAGTCAGACGGAAGAGGTTGAATTTGCCCAGCTCCTTGGCAGACTTGGATGGCACAAAGGTCGACACGGGCTTCTCGGGCAAGTAGTTGTCGGGACGTATCGATACAAAGTTGGGGTCGGCCAGGTAGGCCTCGTGCAGCAGTGCGTTGAGCAGTGTGCGGCACTGACGCTTGTTCTCGCTCTGCGACTTGTGATTGTTGGCGACGATCTTGAGCACGCGGGTCTCGGCGTTGAAGCGGCTGCTGGTCATCTCGGCCAGACGGCGCTCGACAACCTCGGGCAGGTTGAGTGCGGCGACGTTGACCAGCATGATAGCCTTGCGGTTGATCCAGAAGTCCTCCTTGAACTGGTCCTGAGTGTTGTGCGAAACGATAAACTCGAATGGGTAGGTGGGCAGATGCTCGCGGGGATACCAGCGCATGGCCTGGTTGAGTGGGTCGATGTGCTTGTCGCCGACCTTCTCTGGGCCGAACCACTCCTCGCCCTTGCCCTCCTGGAAGTGGCGGTACAGCTCCGACTGCTCAAAGAGCGCGGGGTCGGGCGATGGTGCGTCGTCCTCCTCGTCTCCGTCCTGGTCGATCTCGCCCTCGTCCATCTTGGGCTGGCTGAACACTGGCAGCGGGTTCTCCTGGCCGCCCAGACGGAACTTGGCCAGATCGAATGGCTTGCCCATCAACCAAAGGTCGTGTGAGTTCATCTGGTTCATTGTGTAGCCTGCGGGTCCAACAACATCGCCTGATGTATCCTTGCTGACCTTCTTTCTAATGTCCTCCTTTGGTGGCAGTGCAATGACTCCATTGTCCTCAAACACTGGCATCAACTCTGTGTACACACGTCTTGGATCATAGATCGCGTCTCTATCAAATGTGTTGGCGTCCTCCACTGGTGCAGTGGTGGCGGTGGCGGTGGTCTCAGTCTTCTCGCTGCTGCTTGTTGTGTTGTTGTTGCTGCCGCTGCTGGTCACTCGCGATGAGCCAGATCCTGAACCTGTTCCAGTGGTGGTAGTCGAGGTCGCTGATGCTGAGGTTGATGTTTGAGTGGATGTGGATGAGGTGGTGGATGACTCGCCAAACTTCTTGCCTGGCGCAAGAGAGTCCATGATATCTGGGAACAAATCGGCGTTGGCTGGATCCTCGATGATCTCTCTGGGCACGGGGATGTTGTCTGGAGCCTCCTTGAGGGTGGTCTCCTGTCTGACAAGACCAAACTCGGTCAGCTGATGTGTGATCACTCTGACCAGATCGGTGTCCTTCAGGGGCATCTTGAAGAGGACGTCGCGGTCCACCAGATCCTTGAAGGTGGTGTCGTAGGCAAAGCTCACGTCAGTGGGCATGTGGATGTCGCCGAGGTCGGCGCGAAGCACGTCGTAGTCGTGCTTTATGACGCTCTCGTTGAAGATGTTGTTCTTTAGGTCGGCGCGGTACATCTCGTCCAGGACGTCCGACGCAGTCTTCTCGTTGACGGGCTCATTCATGTACTTGGTGGCGATGCGCTCCACCTCCTTGAGCTCGAGCTCCATCAGCTGGTTGGACAGTGGGCGGAAGTCGGGCATCTCGTTGATCTCCATTGGGATGATGTCGTCGTCAGCCTCGGCGAGGTTCTCCTCCTTGACCACGGCCAGGGCATCGTTGAGGTACTGCTCATCAAGCTCCTCCTCCTCTGCTGCGTTCTCGTCCTGCTCGGCAGAGAACACAATGTTTCCACGCTGTGACTCCTTGACCTTGGCAACCAACTCCTCCTCAGAAGTGATGTTGACAGCAGCGGTCGATGATGACGACTGCTGGGGCAGGTCGCGACCCTCCAAATGGGCAATCTGGTTCTGGAGGTCCTCAATCTCAAACTCGCGTTGCAGACTGTATCTACTTGCCAGATTCCTTCTCGCTGAGCTTGGTGGCGAGCTCGGCATTCAGCTGCTCGAGTCCTGAAATGCCAGACTTCATGTTCTTGAAGGCGCCGTCTTTGTCATTGGCGATCATCTCCTTCATAATCGCATCGGCCTGCTCGTTGGTGATGGGCTCAGGCTCGGCTGGGTCCTCAGGTATGTCCTCGTCGGGGAAGGACTCTCTTCTCTTCAGCTTCTCCAATGTCTTTGTGGAGATGGACAACATAGCACGCTCCTCGGGTGAGAGGTAGACCTCGCTGTCGTCATCCTCTTGCTGTCCCTCCTCCTCGTGCTGGTTCCTCAGTGACTTGCCCGACTTGTCGCGGCCGCCAGCGCCTGGCACACTCTCGCCAAACTCTGGCGCGGCGATGTTCTTGAAAGCCAGACCATCCTCTTCGCGCTCAATCATCTCGGCCTCTAGGTTGACCATATCCTCCTGGTTGATGTCTTCGCCCTCATCGTCAAAATCGTCGTCGAGCTCGGGCATCACGTCGTCCTCATCGTCGTCATCCTTCTCCTCCTCGTTCTCGTCGAGCTCCTCCTCTGGGAAGGCAATGTCGAGGAACTTCTGCTCGTTGTACTCGATGCCAGTGAGCTGCTTGGCGGCCATAGCCAAAAAGTCTGTGGCATTCTTGGCCTGTGTGATGGTCTTGGCCACAGGCATGTCCTGGTCCACCTGGAACTTGCGCTCCATGTCGTGGATGATGCGCTTGTACTTGAGCGACAGCTCCCAATCGATGCGCTCGCTGGTCGTCAGCTGTGCCTGGATGTTGGCGTAGGGGTCCTCAATGTTGTTCAAGCTATCGTCTTCCATGCGCTTGGTGATCTCGTCCTCGGCGCGATCCAGCTCTGCAAAGTCTGCCTTGCTCATCTCCTCTGGCTTCTTCTTGGCGATGGCGCTGATCTTGTCGTTCATCACATCGCTGCCCAGGTCGAACTTGTCGATGGCAGTCTCGATGGCCTTGCTGCGGAGTCCGGCGACCTTGATGCGGGTGGCGCGCACGCTGCTGGGCATGTCGACGATCTGGCGTGTGGCGATGATGGTCTCGTTGATGTAGTTGGCCAGTGTGGCGGGCTCGAGCTCCAGCACCATAGTTCTCAGATTGTCGAGCGAGTCGGCAAACTTCTGCTGCTCTGGGCTCATGGCCGAGTTGAGTGGCGACATGCCATCCTCGCCGATGGAGTCGATCGCCTCGTCGATCAGCGCGATCACAGAGTTGTAGGACTTGGGGTTTCTAAAGTCAAAGGGGATCATGGTGAGCTGCGTGATGTACTGCTCGGCCAGCTCGGCGTCCTTGCCAAAGTCGTTGTAGTCGTCCTGGATGAGGTCACGCGACAGGTTGAGGGGGTCGGTGATGGCGGAACGCGTCAACAGACGGTTCCAGGCCTCGTTGACCATGTCAGGGTTGGCAGCACTCTTGTCGAGCGCACCATTAATGGCGTTCCTGACAAAGAGCAGATCTTGGAAGTGACTCTCGAGTCCACTCAACTTGCGCTTTGCCGATCCCTTCAACTTCTGCTTCAACTCACGTCTAATCTTTGAGTTGGCCGATCTGTGAATAGTATTGGCTTCATTAATCGTGTCCTTGAACAGTTGTACAAGAGGTGCTTCGAACCTGTATGTCATTGGTTGATTGATTGATTGAATGATCGATTGATGATTCCATGATTGAGTGATTGATTGATTGAATGTGTTAGCCATGCCTGTGTCATAGCCATCATCACTGACTGACTCGTCGACGAGTCAATCAAACAATCAAACTTACTGTGTCTTAAAGTCGTTCAATAGTCTTGCGATGTACTGTGTCTTGATGTCTGAGACTTGGTTGTAAGATAGCTTGACGCTGCTGAACTTTGAACCCTTGAGCTCGGCCTGCTGCTTGGCGGCAATGCGTGCCAAGACCTCTTCGGTGGTCTCCTCGGGCACAAAGACGTCGTGCATGTCGACGTTCTCGCGCTTGGCCAGCTCGTAGCCTTCGTAGTTGTCCTCCCAGCGCATGAGCTTCAGCTCCTTGAGCGTGGTGTTGGCGATCATGTGGTCAATGTCGATCTGCTCCTCGACGATCTTCTCCTCCTTCTTCTCCTGTTTGCGCGTGTCGATCACCAAGTCGCCCTCGTCCTCAAACTCGAGGAACTTGGACTTGCGACCGCTGCCCTCGCTCGAGTATGGACGCGCGGGCAGGCCCGTCACGGGCGCTGCCTTGCGCGTCAGGCTAGATACGTTGTACTTGACAATTGACGAACAGCAAGCTCTATACATTGTGTGTCTTGTGTTGTCTGTTGTGTATGTATATGTGTGTTGCTGTGTTGCTTGCTTGCTCTGCTGTTCAAATGAATCGCGCAGATGGAGCTTTGGACTTTAGTGTTTTGTTTGTTTGTCTTTGTGCTTTTTCTTTGTTTGTTTGGGTCCACACTCAATCGAAATTCATCAGCATTGATCAGAATAAAAAAAAGACGAGTAGTCAACCATACGTGTGTTTTTCAATCAAACACGAGGTTCGGTTAATTGTACACAGTTAATAAGGTGTTTATTGATACATCCAAAGGGTCCTACTCTTTGGACCTTCCCTTCAGAAGGCAATATTGGTTGATCGTTGACTCAATGATGGTCCTTTATCACATTAACATTAATGGGTGTTTGTATCAATATTGGTATGACCATCACTTGAAAGATGGAGGCGCGAGCTCACTTCCAAAGTATGTATACAAGCCAGAGTAACCAACTTCATTGATTCATTCATTCATTAACACACACATTGATCAATCACACACACTCTCTCTCACACTCACACAACACTACTCACAAAGGTAATCAATCAGCTGACTGAGGGTGGGTCATCATCACCTGATGGGGTGATGGATATGTGTTTGTATTTGTATCATTATATATGTGTAGGTAGTTATTGTATCTGTTGTTCTCTGTCTGGCGCACATGGTATATACCTCTGCATGGCATCGATGGAGGTGGAGGTTGTTGGTCCATTGCCAGCAAGCACCTCAATGTTTGTTTGTTTGTTAACGCCAGTGTATGAATGATTGATTGTGTTCACATCACACAAACACATACATATCATTAAATAATAATAAGTCCATTCTACATCATTAGTAAATAGCTCCTACTCTTGATTAAATAATAATAATTCATTGGTTATTCATTAATATTCATATTGACAATCAATCAATCAATCACCATCAATATCGGGCACCCGACATTGTCTCGCCCACATACCATCAATCAATTCGATCAATCAATTCCACCATCTCACTCATATGTTTGACTTCACCGTCGCTGTCTACACGTTCCTGCTCATAATATTACCTGTGACCATACTACGAAAGCATATTCAACGAAGTGCATCCATCGTCCAACAACTCTGTACTCTTCTATTTTTGTTGCCTCTGGCTCTACTCTTACAACTTCTCAACAACAACCTTCCTTCCTCCACATCCACCACTTCCACTTCCACATCCTCCACAACATCCACAACATCGACTCCAACAACCACATCCACTTCCAACTCGCCTGCTGTCGAAAGTCCCAGGAAACTTCCATCCACTCGCCATCCAACAACACCTGCACCTGATCAAGCATCTGAAACAGCACCAAATTCAAACAACATGGCTGAACAGATCGTGGATACTCCATCAGATCCATATACATCACATCTAAATAATAATAATAATAATCATCTAACACAAGAAGTTGAAGAGGAAACAGAAATAATAATGCCAGAGTCATCACCAAAAGTACCAAGAGTATCACTTTCAGGAATATCTACACAGTTGGCCACATCTTCAACTACATTGAATGCGACGTCTGGTGGTCAGGACTCACCTCGCGGATCAAAGACACCAACAAAGTTGACACCAAGACGAAGCAAGGACAAGGACAAGGATGATCACACAGGAAGTGGAAATAGTTTGATTGATAAATTCCCACCTCTGGCATTAATATCACCGAGGAAGAAACATGGCAAGAAGAGATCGAGCAGCATAAGCAACAACAATCATTCACCAACAATTCAATCACCACTCACAGATGCCATCACAAACAATCCATCAGCCGACGAATCTTACTCCTCTTCCTCAACTTCCACAACGACAACAACTACTACTTCTATATCAACAACAACATCATCAGAGATCATAACAAAGATTGAAGAGTTGGATTCATCCAAGTTATCATCATCAATCACAGCATCAATATCTGACTCATTTTTATTTGAATCAGAGTCGACTTCGGTGTTTGGCGGGTCAGACTCCCAGACAAAGGTTGCAGAGGACACTACATCGGATGTACAATCATTGGAATCTGATCAGAAACATAGTGGAACACCTCCATCATTCGAAACAAATGAGTTACCAGTCATCAATATACCAGTGAATAGCAATAACTCCAGTCCAAAGAAGAGCTTGTTCTCAATATTCCGAAGGAACAAGCCTGCCAGCACCAACAACACCCCGATACTCATACCCGAGAAGTCACCAGCAGGTGGTGCTCCCAAGTCAGCTCATCTGTCCTCGGCCAACTCTGGTGATCAGAAGAAGAACACTCAATCTCAAAGACAACTGTCCAATAGTTTGGACTCGACTTCCACCCTTCGTGTCTCGCAGACTATGCCAAACAGTGCCATGTCCAGCCCATCGCCCAACATAATGCCCTTCTCACCTTTGGTCATGTCCAGTGGAACCATCCCCTCATCACCCCTCCGCACATCAATCCTCCAGCAAAAGCCCAGGGGATCAGGTGCTTTGCAAAACTCCCTGGGCGTGGGGTCCGCGACCAAAAAGGGCCACCAACACGAGTCCAATCTATCATTCAGCAATAGCAACACAACAAGTACAAGTAGTACATCATCATCATCGACAACATCATTGAGATCACCAGCAGTATCAACGACATCAACAGCCCCGCTGTCTATGCACACCTCCTCCCCAAGCACTGTGGCGACTGACACGACATGGCTGATGATGGCGTCGAACTGGGATGACTGGTCAGACGCGAGCAATCGTGCGTTGCTCACCAAGTACGTCTACCAGGGCATCCCCGACCGCTTCCGACCGACAATGTGGTACAACATGTCCAACATGATACAGCAGCTGTCGTACATACCGTCGTGCACCGAGCTGGCCATGAAGTACAAGCAGGAGCAGCTGCAGCCGCTCACGCCCATCTCCACGCCGTCGATGCGCGGCCAGCTCATGTCATCCTCGTCATCATTGGCCATGTCCCCGCCACCCCTCGACACTGCCAATGGCAACGCAACATCGTCTCGAACGTCGCCAATCACATTGTCTTCATCATGGCCACATGCTCAGCATCAGCATCAACACAAGCACAAGTGCTTCTACAACAGTATACTGAAGTATCCATCGGAGCATGAGGAGCAGATTGATGTTGATATACAGCGTTCTTTCATTGATATACCCGATCAGCAACGCGATATTTACGCCGACTCGCTGAGACGTGTGCTCAAAGCCATCTCGCTGTACGACTCTGAGATGGGCTATTGTCAAGGCATATCATTCATTGGATGCATACTCATCACACGTGTACCAGAAGAAGAGACATTCCACATCCTACTACGACTGCTCGAAGGTGTCATGCGAGACTTCTACATCATAGGTATGTGCGCCAATTCGCGGAAACACACGGAAACACGCGGAAACACCCACACGGAAACACGGCAACACGCAGGGCAACACATATACTTACTCATTCAATCAACGAATCAATAGGAATGCGAGGACTTAAGCTTAGATTATTCCAACTTAGTAGATTGATGCGAGAGTTGTTCCCTAAGCTACACAAACATTTGGAGTCGATTGAGTTGGACTACACCATCTTTGCGTCACCATGGTTCATGACAGCATTTGCCTATCACTTGTCAGAGGAATGTGCAGTTCGTATACTCGACGTCATCTTGCTGCAGGGCATCGAGGCATTCTTCTCAGTGGGCCTGGCAATCTTCCAAACGATCGAGGGCGACTTGCTCGAGTGCGAAGACTCATCTCAAGCCATGGAGTTCTTCCGATGCAACGCCAAGCAACGAATCGAGATCAACGCGTTGATGGACACAGCGGCGCGCATCCACATCAGCGCCAGCCAGCTGGCCAACTTTGCCGCGCAGTTTGAGCAGGAGAACCCCAAGCCGGTGATCCCGAGCGAGTTCAACCCAGAGGCGGCGGCGCCCGAGAAGGTGCGCAACCCCAACTGGGTCGTTAAGAAGTACAAGATGAAGGAGTACACCAGCAATCTCGAAGAGGATCTGGCCGTGATGAAGCGTGAGCTGTACAGCAGCATGCTGCGAAATGATGAGGAGCGCGCCGAGCTGTCCAAGCATCTGCAGGATCTGGCCGAGCACGAGTCATCACTACTACAAGAGCGTGCCATACTCGAGGTCAACAACCAGCAACTGTCCAAAGAGAACCAAAAGCTGCGAGAGCAGCTCCAAAAGGCCAGCTCGTGCAATGAGTACTTGGCCAAAGAGATGCATCAACTTCGCGCCAAAGTGGACAAGGAGGTGTGGACCAAGAATCCCAAGCAAGAGATCAAATGGGTATAGTCCTCTGATCAGTGGGACGCCATGCCATGTCCGCATGGACCTGGAATCAATCCGTCCCATAATTTAACAAGTTCCCCACCCCACCCACCATTCGCGCGCCCGACCAATCAATCAGATCCCAGGATCATGTAGAGATATTAAAGTATAGTTTATATATTTAATAGTATAACTTTGGTATTGTTGGATTGGATATGATGGACACTTGTTGCCCACCTTTGAGCATGCTTATGGCTGGATGCACTGGCTGGTTTATGTTGGGATAGGTTACACCTTGACATTTTCCATTGAGATAGAATGATAATGTATGTTTACCATTACGATTGTCTATTAAACAACCTACTCTATCACCTTGTATAAACCTTCCACCATACGTCAATCCATTACCACTCTTATGTGACTTGTGACCGTCTGCCTGGTATCCCCAACCCTCCTTGCTAACATAAGTATTCCAACACTTATATCCAGCTGGGACAATCCCAATCACCAAGTGGAATCCAGTTTGATTCGGACTAAATATTAAGTGTCAGTGATCATTCCAAGTTGATTGATTGATGGATGGAGGGGACATACCTGAGGCAATCAATGGAGACCTCCCAATATACACAAGTGGCATCGTCTGGATTGATGGGTTGGGTGGCTCGAGCCATTTGGTAGAGTCCATGATAACTGTCACCAGTGTGTTTGAGTGACAGTCCATCAATAATGAGTCTATCACCTTTGTTATTGACATCCCATTCCCCATTATATAGTTTATGTGACCAATAAAATTGTTTCCAGTCCATAACACCTATTGACTCGTCCTCATTATACATTCCAAATGTAGAGTTGGACAATGTCTAACAAGATTGATTGGAAAGTTAGTCATTGAATGAATGAATGTATGATTGAGTAACATGTACCTACCTTCCAAATGTATTGTTGGTTACATAATATATGGAAATATTGATTGATCTGTGAAAGATTGATGATAGATTGGACATCAAGGTATTTGAATATACTATGTATGATCTCAACTGGTAGGTATTCGATATATAATGGTGTCTGAGTTTGTTGAAGTTGATTATTATGAATATTTGATGATTTGGAAATTGTGTCTATGACACCAGCGACACCACCAAAGTGTCCCGCTCTTGGTTCCCAACATTGATTTGAAGTTGTAGATGTAATAATATTTGTCTTTGCCATTTGTTATGTCTCTCTCTCTCCTCTAGGATATGAATGAATGAATGAATGAATGAATGAATGAATGAATGGATGAATGGATGAATGTACAAGTCAAGTTCAACTTTGATGTTGATCTAGCCAACCCAAGGGGAAAGTTAACCAAAGTCTGGGGTCACAATGAATGTAGACTGACTACCATGACGGACCTTACTGACCTAATGACCCCAACCAAGGGGCATGAGCTCGCCACTCACTTTAAATTAAACATTTGAATCCAAATTTCCTCGGTGCGATTGCCGACAGCCATCACCTGCCTTTTATATCCATGAGTGTGCTTAATTCAATCAAAGCCGTCTTCCCTCTTTGTCACCTGTCTTGGGGGTGGTGCTGTGGGTGAAGTGATCACTTTTTTTTTGAGCCCGAATTCGGCACAAGTACCTAACTCACTGCCTTCAGGTTGTGCTTGCTGGTCTCTACCCATTGTTGGGAAAGTGAAAGTGATAATTAAACTTGTTGTTGTTAATGGGATAAATATATATTACAGATAGATAAGACCAAAATATATAATAACAATATATATATCTAGATATATTCAATCTTTCGAGAAATTATTAAGAGTTTGAGAAGCTGCAAATGACTGATTGATTGGATTGATTGTTTGATTGATTGACAGTTCGATTGTTTGATATTGTATCCTTACATTGAGTGCAATCAATCAGAACTTTTGTATCCACACATTACATTACATGTTTGATTATCTGTATCAAAGTTAGTTGACCACGTATTGAGTGCGGACTTGACTGATCGACAGCTGATACTTGGACCACATCAAACTAGTGAAGGAAGTTTCGTGTTGCAAAACAAACAAAAGTCTTTAGATTTTTTGAATGATTGACTTGTGAGTTAGTGTCGTCAGTGAGTCCCAAAGAACCACGTGGAGGAAGGAGGAACATAACTATCTCTTCTTGCTTGCTTACTTCATCCTTATTCATTCATATTCATTCATATACATACACAGGGTATTCGAATACCATTATAATATATATACATATAGCAACTAACAATGTTGAGCAGTTTGTTCATTCTTGCAGATACAGGGTATGATTGATTGAAAGGCCGATGGCCAATTAACAACTGACCTAATCAATCAATCAATCAAATATTACAATGTATTTAGTGATATTATCATCGAGAAACATTGGAGAGGTACAATTAATAGAACAATATGCGAACAGTTCTGGGATCATAAGTTGGAGGCAGAGAAGAATGGTACTGCTGTGTTGCCTATTATAACGACACCAAAGTATTACTTGATCAACATACACCGTCCATCAATCTATCTGCTGGGCGTGGCACAGTGCGAGAGCTCACCACTGCTCGTCGTCGACTTTTTGCACCGCATCTACGACATCTTTGTTGACTACTTTGGTCAGACCATCAACGAAGCCTCCATCAGGGACAACTTTGTTCATGTCTACCAACTATTGGATGAGATGGCCGACAATGGTTTCCCATTCACCACCGAGCCCAACTTCCTAAAGGAGCTCATCAAGCCACCCAACGTCGTTTCCAACATCCTTCATGGTGTCACAGGTTCATCAAGTGTATCCGATATTCTTCCAAGTAAGTTGATAGATTGGTTGATTGAGTGAGCGAGTGATTGATTGATTGAGTACTGACATGCCCTCCTCCTTTGATAAGCTGGATCTCTCGGAGCCATTCAATGGCGTAAGACAGGCCTCAAGTATACATCAAATGAGATCTTCTTTGATATCATCGAGGAGATTGATTGTATTATTGATAAGTAAGTCAAGTTGCCCTCTTTAGGCCTCAGCCCCGAGGCCTTAGCCCCCGCCCCACCCCCACACTGACTCTCACACTCAATCAACCATCATATTCAGCAATGGATTCATCGTATCTTGTGAAGTCAATGGAGAGATACAGGTCAACTGCAAACTTAGTGGAATGCCAGACTTAACATTGACCTTTAATAATCCAAGGATGTTGGACGATTGCAGCTTCCATCCATGTGTAAGATACTCGAGATGGGAGAACGACAGAGTGCTGAGCTTCATCCCAGCGGACGGCAACTTCAAGCTGATGAGCTACAGGATCAAGGGTGTCAATCAGCTGCCCGTCTACGTTAAACCACAGATCAGCTTTGGCGAGGGCGGTGGCCGCGTCAACGTGATGGTCGGACAGAAGATCCCCACGGCCAAGGTGGTCGAATCAGTGTTTGTTACAATACCCTTCCCCAAGACGGTGTCGGCCATCAACCTGAGCGCCAACGTTGGCGCTCACGTCATTGAGGACTCGACAAAGACCTGCAAATGGAACATTGGCAAGATCCCAAAGGACAAGACGCCCATGCTCAACGGCAGCATCAGTCTGCAAGCTGGTCAGCCCCTACCCGAATCAAATCCATCCATCATGGTTCAGTTCAAAATACCAATGTATACTATCTCTGGTTTAGGTGTATGTATATTAGTTCATTCGTGATTGTTACCGTTGTTGCCACAACTCCATACTCATACTCAATCAAACATACTTAGGTTGACTCTCTGGCCTGTAGCGAAAAGTACAAGCCATATAAAGGTGTCAGGAGTGTTACTCGCGCTGGCAAGTTCCAGGTCCGTGCATAAAAGAAGAAGATACCAAAGACAAGAGAAGACTGAAAGAATGAATGAATGGACGACGATCACAACAACATCAACAACACAGCGTATCGGCATTGAACAAGCAAGCCTTCGAAGACTACGATTGATTGATTGATTGATTGATCACACATTAGATTAAGAACTAAACAATATATATTTGTTAAGGAATGGCGCGAATAGCAATTCCTATTGACAAACGAACATCACACCTTTATTATTGGTATTTACAATTACTTCAACTTGCATGACGAGGAAACTCATACTTCCTTGTTGCCACCACGTGCACTGATACTCCAGATCCACCTTTAGCTAAACATAGACTGCTAATAAGTTAGTACAACTGATGATTGCTTAATATCATCACAACTTACATTCTTCTTCACATTGATAAGAGTATAGTCTCCAGCTGGATATGGGGACAGAAGGATGTAAGGAGGAGCAACATATACCACTGGAACAGGATTTGGAGGTGGAGGGAGGGCCCTATGTCTTAGATTAGCTCGAACCAAATTAAGTCCAGTAAGGATCTCTTCTTTTGTACATCCTTGGGGAAGGGACTGCATTGCCGGCTTTGAATCCGCATCTCTCCAGAAGACTCGTACTTTTAATTATTAGTGACCATTATACAAGTCTAGACTTGTGTCCGATACAGTACTTACCAGGAGGTTCAGTGATGTAGATATGCTCTATACCAAAAGGGATTAGATCTTTGGCATTTGCAACTGCTCCATTCACAGTATCAGGATGATACTCGATCATACATCCTTGGAGATTGCGCAAGTTGTACAAGCGGATACTTAGGGGATTCTGGAGGATTCTTTCTTCGAGGTCACAATACCTTGTTTTGTCGTTGACAGTAACATCAAAGTCAATTTTGGCATAGTGTACTGTGATCTGATGGAATGGTGTGACAACTAGAGGTGCACCAGAAAGGGGAGGATAGGTAGGGAGAGCGACAGCAGGGGCAGTTTGGTAGTCGACAGCTTGTTGGTTATTCATTATCTGATTTCTGTCAATGATCGACACATCTAATATTATTTAATAAATATAATTAATAAATTATTAATATAATTTTATTTTCCAATCAATCAAACAAACATTTTGGATTAGGGAATAAGGTTATTGATACATTTATTTATTAAGTTAAGTTAATAATATTAGATACTTATGATGAGCCAGAATGGATAAATAGACTTGGTTCAACATTGTTGTTGAGTGATGTTGGATTCCAAACGCGGATGTTTGACACTTGACAACTGATCTCGAGGATGGAACGCTCTTGTGGTCCACTGGACATGGTGCTGCTCGTCAGGTTGATGCCCAGTGAGTCGCTTGGTATCAATAGACCGATGGAGAGTGGCGCCGATGGGTTGGAGCTGAACATGGACTCGGCCGTCTGCGTCAGATTGTTCGAGATGATCCTTGGACGCTCGCTGCACACAATGTAGCTCGAGTGGATTGGGCCGTCTTGCAGGTTGCCGCTCGAAGCCACTGCGTTGAACTCGTCGAATCGCTGCTGTTGCTCGGTGGGCGTTGCTGGAATGGTCCCATCGTCAGATTCGCGAGACACCAGCCGAGGCGGCACTGTGTCGACTTCCTCGCTTGGGATGATTCGAACGCGCTTCTTCTCTTGTTGTGTAGGCGTCACCAATCCCGGCGACTCGGGTTCGTGCTGTCTCTTCTTGGATGCTGTAGAAGACGTTGATGTTGTGGGTGTAGCGGCTGGTGGGATGGCCACGGCCACTGCTGATGTTGGTACGTACACCTCGTTGGTGTTGATGTCTTGCTCAACAGTGTCTTCCTCGAGCGCAAGAGAAAGAAGATCACTGTTGCTTGGCTCGCCAACCGAGGCGATGCTTCGGCGTGTGGCCAACGAGTTGGTGAAGGATGGCTGCGACTGTGATGGCTGCTGTGGGTTGAGGAAGATGCCAATCGAGAAAATGAGTATGAGGAGACAGACGCCAGCGGCCTTGGCGTTCTTGGCACGCATCGACTCGTGCTGTTGCAACTGCTTGGTGATGTCTGGGTTGGACGTGGCCAGCTGCTTCATCACACTCTGCAGGTAGAGTACCTCGTCGCGCAGGTCGGTGTTCTCGCTGGTGAGGTCGCTGATCTTCTTCTCCAGGTCCTCAATGTATATCTTCTTTCTCATTCTCGACAACTGAGCACTCTCGCGGTTCTTCACCAGTCTACGCTGTTTCTTCACCGTACGCTCATCACCCGTATTCTCATTGACCTCGACTGGCTCCTTGCCCGTCAGTTTCAGCAACTCGTCTCTTGTCAATGGATGTACGACTGGATGTGTCGGTTAGCATCGTGCGTCGTGTGTCGTCTGTCGTGTCGAGTGAGAGTGATACATACGATTCTGCAGACCTTGTTGCCATGATGGTCTCTTCTTCTGCTTGGTTGAGCCTGATGTGGCAGAGCCGCCGGCAACAGACGACGATGGGTATGTCATTAATTGTTGACTGTCCGATGAGAAGTCGGTCGAGGGAGAGGACACGGAGCTAAAGTCGACGTCACAGTCGCGCAAGATTGATGGTGATGATGATGATGCAGAGGACATATCGATTGGCTGCTCTGGTGATGTTACCGTGCTGCTGGCACCACTTGGCACATCGGCAAATGGTGACATGGCCATGTCATTCTCCACCTTTATCTTTGTATCTCCGAGGCAGTACTGCTGCGCGTCAATCTGTATCGAGCAGTCTGAAGATGTAGTTATGTCGTCCCTTTTGGTCGCAAGTGTGATAGTATGTTAGTATATCGTCTTGGGTGGCCTTTGGAGTCTCGCGAGATTGAGTGTTGACATTGGAACATACATTGGTTGAGTGTTGACCATGAAGGAGTGAGTCTGGGAGGGGTCAAAGTAGTTGGTGGTGTTGTCTATGAAGCAGGAGTGCTCTGGTGAGGAGCTGGAGCTGCTGGCTGAGCTGTCGTGATGCATGGCCGAGTGTTGGTGGTGGTGGTTGGGCACGACCATTGACTCGCCAGGCTCAAAGGACATGTCGTAGCAGGTATCTATCTTGTTCACGAGGTCCTCTGACAGGAAGTAGTTGACGAATGAATCGTCATCAAACATATTTGTTGTGGTGGATGTGGCTGAGGCTGAGGCGGGGGCTAAAGCCGTGGACATGGTACACAATGGGTTATTCGCGCTGGCCTCGTCGACGATGGCGCTGGCATGTTGTGTCATAATGTATGATGTTGAGTCCATTTTTGTAATTATTGATTGATTGTATGTATTATTGATTGTTATACAAGTTATGTATGATTGATTGATATATCTGTGGATATTTCTCCTACCTCACTCTATCTATCTCTCTCTATATTCTAAAGGGTATGATGCGGAATGAATGATTGATTGATTGATTAGTGTTAACGTTGAGGATGGCAGGATGGATGGAATAGAGAGTGGACTGGATGGGATTGATTGATGGATGGATGGATGATGTGTGTAATGTGTAAAGTGTGTGAGTGTAGTTGATTGTTGTCAACAAAGGTATGTAGGTATGCTGACCTGCCAACAACAACAACAACAACCCTAGGGGTGTGCCTGCATGTCAATTGAGACGGGGATGGATGCCAAGGCTACATGTGTTGGTTGTTGGCATGCCGCCCGCATTTATCATAAGCATGGGAGAGTGAGTGGAGCATGTGTATGGCCACTGACAAGTCAACCAATGTGGAGCTGCCATCATACAACAACAATAACAAATAAACAAACAAACTTGTTGTATAGATTTAAAACGATGTGCAGAATTGATCACCGCTGCGGCAGCATAGTGTGTTTAACCCATGTTAAGTGATCATCAGATAGGCAGATGTGTAGACAGCATGTGCATAAATAGAGTCATCATGTGCTTCATCTCATCTCTTGTGTKTGARGGGGGTGATTGATTGTGTGATTGATTGGTGTGTGGATGAGTTATCACTCACACAAACACACACATAACTTGATTGATCGAGTGTGTGATTGATTGATTGATATGTGTGTGATTGGATGGATATTGTTACCTATAGAGTTTAAACTATAGAGATATAGATTGATTGATTGTTGAGAGAGTGTAAGTGAATGTATATCTATCCCTGTATATTTGTTACAACTAGATAACAAAGAAAGAGTGAAGAGAAGAATGTGTGTGTAAACTTCACTCACTAACTTACTCATCCATCAAAGAATCGACTGACACAAGGTGAAAATGGGGCAAAGTGAATGTTCATGGTAAAGCCCAACTTCATAGCCAGGTGGTGACCCATGAAACACCGTTGTATGGTATTGAGAAATGTGAGGAGATCCTTCGATGATCCAACAAAGGTGTTGTTGTGATTGATTGAAAGAGTGATGTGAGGGGGATGAAGGTCACAAGCTGCAAAAGGAGACAAACCGGTTTTGATTGGGTGTGGTGATGAATAAAATCTTTCGAAAGGGTGATTCTTCTCAACACGATTCGCGATGGGGGGACATGTGCCTCGGAGTGGGGCTACAACTTGGACATCATGTTGGATGTCCTGGAATGATCATTCCAAGGGTTGTGTGGATGTGTTTAGTTTTGGGCGGGGTTGCATAGGACTTGGCTAAGAGACAAGTGTTGTTCTACCCAACATTAGTGACTATTGAGTTGGTGGCCCAGGTTAGAGTATGGTTTGGTTCTTGTCCTCGTCTTAGGTCCCCGAGTTACAATGAGTAATAATAGGTGCCAAGATTGATGGATCATTATTATTTAGGAGTTCGAGTCGAATAACAAATCCCGAGTTACATCGAGCTGTCATTTAATAATAATAATAAAGTTAACAATACAAGTTATTACAACTTGAGGTCGAAGGCCTTGGTCAACACAGTCTCGTAGTTGTCCCTAAAATAGTGTAATTGATTGATCGATGGGTTAGAAATGAATGAGTTGGAGGAGTGCACGAGTGAGGTGTATGATACATACTTGGTCAGACCGATGGTGGTGTTCTCGTTCATGGCATCCTCATAACCAATCTTGATGAGTGGGCCTGAGTAAGTGAAGGAAAGTCCGTTGCCTGGGAGTGGCTGGCTTGGGTGGTAGACGTTCAGGACGACGTTGGGGAAGGCCTGGAAGGTGGTCTCAATGTCCTTGTAGTCGGTGTTGGTCTTGATAATGTCAAGAGTACGGAGCAACAGGTCAATGGTCTTGGCCTTGCTCATGTCGACGGTGGTCTCTAGGTCTCCAACAACAATAACATCGACAATGACGTCGGTGGCACCAGTGGCGTAGCAGAGACGAGCAGTGTCAGTGATTGGTGTCATGTATGTTACACCACCATCTTGGTAAAGGTATCCATTCTTCAAGGTTGGTGGGAAGACACCTGGGATCGAGGCAGAGGCCAAGACTCCGAGGACAATCTCTGTGGATAGGTAGGGTGATAACGTTAATATGATATCCTATTTTTGGTGATATCACGTGATCAGATAATCCAATCACGTGATCAGATAATCAAATAACCTGACAGGACATCTTGAAAACATGGTAAACATACCTGGATCGTTTCTCTCGAATTGATCAAAGTTGCCAGTATCAATGTTGGTGGCACCGATGAGGAGACCACGGTTGGACTCGTTGAGTGCTGTTTGGTTAAGGTTGTCGGTTAGGAACTTGAGCAATGGAGCGGTGTTGTAGATTCCCTTCTGGAGGAGGAGACCGTCCATGACACCACCGGGCCAGTTGACAAAGACTTGCTCTGGGGTGATTCCCAACCAACGGCTGGTCAAGAACTGCTCCATACCGGCCTCGTCACCAACAGAAAACATGGCTGCACCAGCGGCGTTGATGGCACCAGCACTGATACCAGTGGCAAACTGCCAGGCCACCTCGCTAAGTGGGCGTTTGGCAAACAGTCCTGAGACGACACCAGCCTCATAGGCACCAAAGGCACCGGCTCCAGAGAATGTAATAGCGCGGCATGTAGTGCCAGCTGCGTGAGCAGCAGCCAAAGTGACAGCAGCCACGATCAAAAGAGTGAATAGTAACTTCATCTTTGTTATGTGTATGTATATTATTGGTTGATTGAATGAATGTGTAGGTTGTAGGGAGGGTTAGGACCTTAATATATGCGTTGTTGTGGCATGCAAAGTATGTGTGGATGTGTTGGTAGTCCAACTGGTATCTTGGAAGCGTGCCACGCTCGTGGGATTTCAACTGAACTTGAAATATCTGTTGACATTCACATCAAAGTCCCATTATTGAATGACTGTTGGGGATCACAAATTTGCAGCTTTGGCCCAATGCTGTCGTGATCCAACAGGGCCAATGCCCCCAATCGTTGTGAATTGGAACAATATCCACATGGAGTCATGATGATCAATGTTGTCAATGACCTCCATGACCTCCAATCACATGGAATCACTCAACCAAACGAAACTTCATTTGAACTATAAACATTATGGACCATGTCAATAACTACATATTATCTCTAGGCTAGACCAACCTCAACTTCAGATGTCTGTGGATAGATAGTGGATATCGTCCATTTGATTGATCGACTTATGGGGCGATACGCGATATGGTGTAATGAAAGAATAAGCAATATAATAGTCGTCCATTTAATAGTGCTTTGTTTGATTGTTAATGTTAACAGTATTACAGGTTGAGTCCAAAGGCCTTGTTCAAAGCAGACTTGTAGTTGTCCCTATTAAGTGGTGTGATTGATTAGATTGATTGATCGTGTGTTAGTGATTGGAAAGTGATTTTGAGTTTGCAAACTCATCAAACATATTGTTAAATATATACATACTTGGTAAGTCCAATAGTGGTGTTCTCAGTGATGGCATCCTCATATCCGATCTTGATGAGTGGGCCTGAGTAGGTGAAGGAGAGGGCATTGCCTGGGAGTGGCTGGCTTGGGTGGAAGACGTTGAGGTTGACGTTGGGGAAAGCCTCAAAGACGGTCTCGATATCCTTGTAGTGCATGTTGGTCTTGACAATGTCGAGAGTGCGGAGGAGCAAGTCGATGGTCTTGGCCTTGTTCATGTCGACAGTGGTCTCGAGATCTCCAACGACAACAACGTCGATGGTAACGTCAGTGGCGCCAGTGCCATAGCAGAGACGAGCAGTGTCGGTCACTGGAGTCATGTATGTTACACCACCATCTTGGTAGACGGCGTTGCCCTTGAAAGTTGGTGGGAAGACACCTGGGATCGAGGATGAGGCTTGGACTCCAAGGACGATCTCTGTATTATTGGTGCCCCGGGAGGGGAGGGAGAGGAGAGGTGAGTAAGTATGTGTTGCCTGAATTTAATGGAAATCATGTGATCAGATTACCAGGTCACGTGATCAGATATTCAAGTCACGTGACTTCTCTTCTAACATACCTGGATCAGTCTTCTCGAAGATGTCAAAGTTGCCAGTGTCAATGTTGGTGGCACCGATGAGGAGACCACGGGTGGACTGGTGGAGAGCGGTGAGGTTGAGGTTGTCGCTGAGGAACTTGTGGAGGGGAGCATCGTTGAAGATACCCTTCTGGAGGAGGAGACCGTCGACGAGACCGCCAACCCAGTTGACGTAGATCTGCTCTGGAGTGATACCCATCCAGCGGCTGGTCAAGAACTCTGCGGCACCCTGCTCATTGCCAACAGAGAACATGGCAGCACCAGCAGCATTGATTGAACCAGCGCTGATTCCAGTGGCGAATTGCCACTCGACCTCGTCGGCTGGACGCTTGGCGGTGAGACCCCACAAGACACCGGCCTCATAAGCACCGAATGCACCAGCGCCAGAGAATGTGATGGCGCGGCATGATGTGCCGGCGGCGTGGGCGGCAGCCAGAGTGACTGCGGCCACGATCAAAAGAGTGAATAGTAACTTCATTGTTATATTATGTATGCTATGAATATGTATTTGTATTCTGTTTAGACGATTGAATGAATGTATAATTGGTCATATGGTGGAAGCAGCCCCTGATTGGACCCGGGATTTCACTTCCTTTCATCCGGATGAAATATCTGTTCGAAATGCTTGTGTGGTTTGCATGGCTGATGGTGATTGTGGGGTAGTCGCCAATGTGGTCAAATGTGTTGGGGCCTGTTGGGGCACCCTGCAAATATGTGATCAGTTGTGTGTGTGTTTGTTGATTCAAATTTGTGAAGATTAAATCATTACGAATAAAAGCAAATAATCTTGAACATTCCAACTTGATTATTTGTAATGGAATGCAATCACCTCCAACACACAACTGATCACATATTTGCAACGCTCAAGATCATTTTGATCAGAGGTGACAGTTTTGAAACTTCGAAGGAAGACTGGGGACCCACGTGTCCCATTATCTCTTCATCATGCGCGACCATGGTCTACAAGTAGCAACAACTACGACATCCCATTGACCAATTTATTGACATCGCTGGATGACATTGATTGTTATTTGTTTGTGGGTCAATAAAGCACCATGTATTGTGCGATCAACCGACAATCAAACAAGCCCAACCCCATCCACATACTCACGCTCGCGTACCTCATCTCCGACACCAAGACGAATGATTGGGCACACGCACTTTACACTTTTGATTCACGACGAATGATTCGAAATACAGAATGCATCGGTCATCGTTATTCTCATTGAGTTGAACAAACATGAACGTGATGATGATGGATACCAACCAAAAGATCGATGACAAGGACAACAACAACAACAATGAGAGGATCAAACAGTTGAGAACTTTGGTGCAACTGGCAGTGGAGGAATGTACACCTTGTGATGCGATTCTGCTGTCTGGTGGTGTCGACACTTCAGTGTTGGCCGAGACGATCAAACATTGCAACCTTACGCCACTCAAGACTGCCATCACTGTGGTCTGCTCAAACGAGGCTCGCGACGGACACTACGCCACAGAGATTGCCAAGCGTTGCCAGCTTGAGCATCATCTGCTAAACACAACATTGGACGACCTGCTGGCCAATCATCTCGAGTTCGCCATCAAGACATTGCGCACATTCGACCCGATGGAGCTGCGCAACAGCATCGTCATCAGCATGGCACTCAGGAAGGCACAGGAGCTGGGCTGTCGCACGGTCATGACGGGCGACGCCGCCGACGAGCTGTTCGCTGGCTACACCTTCATGCACAACTACTCCGAGGAGAAGCTGGCGGAGTACTCACAGCGCCTTACACGCATCATGCGCTTCTCCTCACGCATCCTTGCCGCGGCAATGGGCATGGAGATCCGCCAGCCCTACCTGGACGATCGCGTGATCGCCTTTGCCAAGGAGTGCACCAAGAGCGAGAAGATCAACATCCACGACGGCACCCGCCACGGCAAGTTCATCCTGCGCCAGGCATTTGAAGATGTGGCCTACTCTGCATGGCGTCTAAAGGAGCCGATCGAGTGTGGATCGGGCAGCACTGTGATGCCCGCGCACCTTGCCGCCAAGCTCACTACCGAGGAGCTCGACAAGGAGAAGGAGCGTGTGTGGCTGGAAGACAAGATCAAGATACGTGATGCCGAGCATCTACATTATTACCGTGTGTTCCGCAAGCTGTTCCCTGTGGACGACTCCAATGGCTATCCTTCATTGGTACGCTTTGGCGACGACCCATGTCCAGCATGCTCCTACCAAATGACAAGCCGCGAGCAGAACTTTTGTGTCATCTGTGGACATTATCCAGCGAGATAGAAAATAATAAACTATTGTCCTTACCTTGTAACTTCATGTTCCAGTGATTGAGTGAGTGGTGTGTGAGTGGAATGATTCCATGATTAAGGTACGAGTGATTGAGGGTCGCGCGCCAACATGATGGAGGCCTAACCACATGGTTTAATGATGCCAAAGTATTACAAGTTTAGTCCGAATGGGAAGGCCTTGTTCAATGCAGACTCGAAGTTGTTCCTAAAGTTGATTGATTGGTGAGTCAGTGGAATAAGTTCCAATCATCGATTGAGCGTATGAACTTACTTGGTCAGTCCAAATGTTGTACTCTCATTCATGGCAGTGTCATAGCCAATCTTGAGTAGAGGAGCTGAGTAGGAGAATGAGAGGACATTGCCTGGGAATGGTCCAGTGGGATAGTATACATTGATGACGACATCTGGGAATGCCTGGAAGGTGGTGAAGATGTCCTTGTAGTACCAGTTGGTCTTGATAATGTGGAGAGTGCGCATCAGCAGGTCGATGGTCTTGGCATCGGCCATATTGACATCATCCTCCATGTATCCAATCATGATCACGTCCAATATGACCTCAGTGGCGCCAGTGTCATAGCAGAGGCGAGCAGTGTCTGTTACTGGTGTCATATAAGTGACGCCGCCATCCTGGTACACTACATCGTCAATGACCGTTGGTGGCCATATGCCTGGGATCGAGCAAGATGCCTGGAGAGCAAGAGCAATGTCTATGAAGTGAGTGAGTGTTGAGTTAGCCATCCATCCATTCATTCATTTGCCTGTCAATGCACTTACCTGAGGCTGATTTGTTGAAGAGGTCGAAGTTGCCAGTGTCTATGTTGGTGGCGCCGAATTGGAGGCCACGGGTGGATTGGTTGATCATGGTTTGGTTAACGTGGGCGTGGAGGTACTTGTTGAGTGGGGCGTCATTGAAGATACCCTTTTGAAGGAGGAGACCATCGACTACACCACCAGGCCACTCGACAAAGACTTGTTCTTGAGTGATGCCCAACCAGAGGTTGTTCAAGTATTGCGATGCAGCACTTTCATCGCCAACTGAAAACATTGACATTATAGCCGCGTTCAATGAGCCTGCGCTGACACCAGTTGCAAACTGCCATTCAACGTCACTGGTAGCACGTTTGTCGAGGAGTCCCCATATTACACCTGCTTCAAATGCTCCAAATGCACCTGCTCCAGACAATGTTATACCCCGGCAAGTTGATCCAGCAGCCAGAGCAGCGGACAGAGTGATGGCCAATAACAACAAAATGATTATTATCTTCATCTTATATTTGATAGATTGATTGATTGATTGATTATTGAATACAGTAATGCTAAGTTATTACTGTTTGACCAGTTCAATTCCAATTCGTTTGGAAAATATCTTGGAACCAAGGGTTGGGGCCTAGTGGGGCTTGATCTTTGCATTCCCACGAATATCTAACCCTGATGGGGTTGAATAGACATCAATCATTAGTTCATGTAATGGGGAGTCAGTAAAAGCATACTCCACGGTCTTGGAACATACCATATCCGCAGGACGGGCGACGGAGTCGTTGTTGTTGACGTCAAGGTCCATACCCACGCGGGCCTTCTCTGACCCGTCAAAACGTCCACTACCAATCAGACAAGGAAAGTTCAATTCGACCTTGGTCTGAGTATCCTTGTGGCTCCACTTGATATTCGCTCAAATGTGTCTCCATCATTCATTCGTGTCCATTGATCATCATTGATTGAGTAACGATGATTTCCAATGCTCTTGCCTCCAATGAAATAAAGATGTTGTTGGTCGCCATTAGCCGAGGCAATATACACCAGCGTAACATAGTAGCTCAGATGACCACGAGGTTGATTACCTGGCCATATGGCCAGCGATGACAATCTTGTTGCCTCTCCAGTTGTGAGGGATATACGCGTCAGTCCAAGATTGTAATTGATTATGTACAGATTGTCCTGATCATCATAGCATATTGAGTAAATTGCTCGGGCAAAGGAGGCGAGTTGGAAGCGACCCGAGACATCCTCGAACTCACCAGTGTCGTGTTTGAGCGCGTGAACAGTGCGATCCAGGAGGTTGACAGCGTGCAGCCTGTCTAGGTGTACGAATAGGTAGTAATAGTTGTTCGTTGTGTGGCGTAGGTCGCCAATGCGGACAAACTCTTGTGTGACCAGGTCCATTCGGTCAACACGTGTCAACTTCTCGCCGCAGTAACTCCCGCCGACGATGTAGATGTACTGGGCGCCGTCATAGCACGCGGCAATGTCGCGACCGCCCTCCTTTGTCGAGATGTAACCGTAACGGTGAAGTTGGCGATTCTTGGACAATGAGTGATGGGCGTATGACTTGGAGTCGTCCAAGCCACCAAATACAAACAGACTGTTATTCACTGCCACAACAGATTGATATGTATACAGTCGTTGCTCAACATCGAGCAGTTGGTCCTGGAGTTGGGTCCAGGTGCAGGCAGTTGGATCAAACAGATGTGCTCGGCCCTCAGTATCCATTGATAGTATTTGGTAATCTAGTCTAGATGAAGGATGTTGTTCCTTGTCCTTCAAGTTGTAGACCTCACTACATTGGTGCACCAACAGGCCAACCCGTTCCTTCAACCCATCTACATTGAGTGTAACCAAGAAGTTGCTTGTAGTCTCTAGTCGAGCAGTGGCGAGGTCGTCGTCCTCAGGGCTTGGCGAATGTGATGGCGATGTCGATGTCGAAGATGGCAACTCCCATTCAAAGTCCTTGTCCTTGATATGTTGTTGGACATCCTTCTTCGCACATTCCAGTCTTTGTTCATCCAGATGTACATGAGCTTGTTGTTGTTGTTGGACAACAATGTAGTTCAACTCTTTTGTTATACTTGTTATTATTGATATAATATCATCTTTCTCTTGTTGCAATGGACGTTTCAACTTATGTTCCTCTATCATTAACAATTGATGTAGTTCATTGAAGTGTTGACAAAGTTGTTCTTCATTATCATTCAAAGACTTGTATTGTCTAGATAGTCTATTCAATTGATTTAATAATATATCAATACGATCGTGTTCCATATTTATATACTAGTATATATATGTTATTTGTACGAGTAATAACATGTAAGTAATGGCAATTGATTGATTGAATCAGCCCAAGGGTGGTCTATCTGTATCCCTGGTGGTGAACCCCTCCCTTTGACGACTTACGCTTCATTTTGTTTCAAACAAAGATCATTTACTTTCGACATTAACAAAGTCTTGTATTCTTATAACTTATATCATATATACAATGGGAGGACAACCAAGGTATGCAAGCATTAGCATCTACATCAACGTCAACAAACAGCAACATCAACAGAAACAGCTTCAACAAACAGCAGAATGACTTTGAATGAATGAATGAATGAATGTATGAATGTATGAATGATTGACACATTAATCATCACAATCAACAATGAATGTAGATACCCTTACCCAACAACTGTTTGGACACCAGCTGGAGGTTGGTGGTGCGAGTACCCAAAGAACTGCAAGAAGAATGGAGTTAAGACTAGCATTGCCTTGTTCGGTATTTTGTCATTGGCCTTCATCACATCAAAGATGATCGAGGTATGTGTTGTGATCATGATGATGAATCGACGAATGAATGGATGAATGAATAACTAACTTGATGTTAAACAGAGGAGGTACAGTCACACTCCACCACCTGCCATCACTGGCAGTCATGGTCATCATTAAGATTGTGCAAAGGAAGCAAGCGATCACATTAGATAACGACATGATAACAAACTCGCGCGAGCATATAGAATACACATTCAATACATACATAGACACTGTTACTTATATATATACTAGTATCAAATGCCCTTTTGATAGATACAGGTGCAAGCGTGTGTCTTTATTCTCATTCATATAGTAGTAGTAGACAAGCAAGACGAAGACGACAGGAACATAAATAACAACTTGTGTGCTGGATGCAAGGCGAGTAGGGATTAGCGATGTTGCGCAAGCAGGCAGCAGCAGCAGAAGGGAGTGCGAGAGCGAGGCCTCGCCAGAGGACACCCCTTTAGACAAAGGGGGTGGACGAAGGATGATGCGATTTGATGATCATTGGAATAGGTCATCGGTAAAGAGGAACGTCGGACGGATATCTTCTTCGGAGAGGAAGTCAAGCGGATGGTAGACGAGGTTGCCTCGCACCTCACTCAGCAGACGACAGTCGGCGTTGGAGACTGGCTTCTTGAGGTTCTGATTGAATTCCTCGCAGGTCTTGATCGAGTTCTTGGGGATGGCTGGGAACACTGTGTCGTAGATGCGCGTGTTGGACGCGGCAGTGGCGATCCATACGCCCAAGTAGAACGTGCTGTCCACGGGGTCGGTCAGATCAATGCCGCCAATCACGCTCTCCTCAACGCCTTCGGCGTGCAGACTCGATATGGACATTGGCAATACCTTTGGCGAGTCTCTCTCGATCTCGCTCACGACCAGCACTGTTCCATTGCTGTTGCCACTGCCTACGTCATTGCCAAAGATGGCATTGCCTAAGCTGCCATTGCTAATATTATGTACATGGTTGGCGGCCGTAGGGCTGGACGAGGCTGGCGTCAGGTTGTAGTCCTCGATGATGACGTGCTCCGACGTCAGAATACTCGACGTGGAGACGGCCACCGACATTGACGTTGACATTGATTGAGCGCTTGGAAGAGAGGGCAGCGACGAGGCTGACGATGAGTTGGAGGGTGGGCGCGGTGAGTCCTCAGGTGACTCGGCCAGGCTTGATGCGGCCAGTTGCGCCGCCGCAGTCTTGTTGGCAGAGGATGAAGACAAGTTCATCTTGCCAAAGCTGGACGAGCGGTGATGCGACTGCTTGGGTATCTTGAACTGTGATGAGATGGAGAGGTGTGGAGTCTGGGAGAAGATGTCGCCATTGCCGTTGTTTGACAGGGGCGGGTGGTCCATGTGTGGCAACAGTCCAATGTGCTCCTTCCACAGACGCAGACGCAGATTGAGTGCTGTGCGGCCGGCCAGGTACTCCTTGCCGTTCATTCGCGTCTTGACCAGGTCCTTGTCGTCCTTGATGATGAATGCCAGCTCACTGTCGCGCTCACCGTTGAACGAGCGGTCATTGATGTTGGCCGAGCCGACAATGACCACGCGGTCGTCGACGATCATCAGCTTGGAGTGGACATAGACTTGCTCTGTGACGTAGTTGCCCTCAAGGCAAGCGTGTGTTCGTAGCGAATAGAATCCAATGTACTCGGACAGGTCCTCGTTGGGGAACTCGCGTCGCAGTGTTTTGATCATTGAGTTCTCACTCTTGATCAACGTCATATATTGCCAGTGCATCAGGCCACGGATGTTGGTCTCCTCTGTGAACTTGCCGTCCTGCTGCGCCGGCAGCATGATGATCACGCGGAACACTTCGCGCTTGCGGATGGCCCTGCGTATACGTTTGACAATCTCACCCGAGATCTGATTCCAGACGCCGGGCGCATGCGTCGACACAAAGTTCTGGTTCTCGATGTAGATGTAGTGGTCGGCGTCTTCAATCGCCTGGACGTAGGCCGTGTGGATGGATCGTTCGTTGCGTCCTCCGCCAGACCATTCGTCCATCGACCGCAGCATCTGACATGTAGTCGAGCCCGTCGATTGCATTGGTGTCGTATTGAAGTAGATCGATGGGTAATAATCGTCCTTGTGATGGTTCCATCGCAGAATAAAGTTGAGTGCAACATCGCGTGCTGCCAATCCATTGACTCCAATCATAACATCGTGCCATGGCATTCTAGGTGTCTTCTTCCTGTCAATCGAGTCGCCATCAGGGCTAAACAAATCGCCCATATCACCTACACAAGGGTTGTACTATGTTTGGGTTGAGTGTTAGTGTCGAGAGAGATAGGCTCGCTCATCCATCAATCAATCACACATACATAGTCCTTTCCAGGCCATTGAGTGGCATTGACATCAATCAAATGATGACACCATGTATCGAATCGTCCAAAGCAGAAGTCTACGCCGCCAACAAATGCCATCTCCTGATCCACAATCAATGTCTTTTGGTGATGTGACCAATATATTGGCTGAGAATGATTGATCGATTGAGTGGAAGGTTAGTATCATGTGCGCGACAAACATGTCTTATACATCGATGTAAACATACAGTGAAGGGTGGATGTTTGATGACCTTGATGTTGGGATGGAGATCCTCGAGCTTCTCTTTACACCTTCGACTGGCCTTGAATGTGGCGATCTTTGTCTCGTCCCAGAGGATGATGAATATCTTGACACCTTGCTTGGCCTTTCGACACAGCAGGTTGTCAAGACGGTACTTGGGGTCGAGCGTGGGATAGCGAATGAGGTAGACCCTCGGGTGACATGAACCAGGCTGTGATAAAGACATCGCGAGTGGCCGCCTCGATGGCGTGTGCGCTGGCTGCAAAGTACTCGTCGCAGTCCACGTAGAGTTTGGCGTCGATGTTCTCGCGTGGCGGGAAGCGCGGCTGGTTGGGGTCGGGATTGTCGATTGGCGTGCCTGTCGGGATGATTGAGTTGGGCAGTGCGTGGTGAGCCACGCCCAGCGAGTCGATCGTGTGGTCGTGGCTCTGGGGACTCAGCGATGCCGGCACGTTGGCGTACGAGCTGTTGGGCATGATGAGCGAGAGGAAGTTCTTGATGCCATCGATCGGCGACGACACATCGTCAGCCAGCGACTGCGTACACAGCACCTCGTCCAGGTTGCGCAGCTCCTGCTCGAGCGAAGCCTTGCGCTTGGTGAGCTCCATGCGCACCTTGATGTATGATATTGGGTCCTCGTCGGACTGCGTGTCCAGGTTGAACTTTACAGACTTGAGATGCTCGATCAGAAGCAGACGTCGCTCATCCAGCTCCTTCAAAGTCTTTTGGCTGTGTTGATAGAATGCTGGAAATTGGCCAACACTTGATGTCGGTGACAATGACTTTGGTGACATTGGCGACTTTGATGATGTGGATGATGACGATTCATGTTGTTGATGGTGTCCCAATAAAGGTGATTGTGATGCTGATGTTGATAAGTTTGTATTATTATTCGTTGTCGTTGATGTTGTTGATGTTGATGTAGTCGTCGTTGTCAGAATCGCGCCAACAGGTGATCCATTCTGTTGTTGTTGTTGTAGCTGTAGTTGTTTCTGTTGTTGGGCAACAACAACAGACTGGTCATTTGATATTGAAGTTGATGACGATGATGATAAACTTTGAAATGAAGATGATATCGAATCAAAGAAGTTTGTAATCTGTTGTAATATCTCTGGTTGTTGCAGTTGTTGCTGCTGTTGAGTCGTACTCTCTGACATTTATATAATATATAATATAACTATCAATATCAATTATCAAACAATCGGATTAAGTATACTTCTGTCCTTCTTTCTCTCTCTTCGATTGAATGAATGATTGAATGTTTGAATGAATCAAGTTATATATATATATATTGTAGTAGTTATAATAGTAAATGTACAAAGTGATGATGATGATGTCAAATAGTAGTAATATTAGTAGTTGTAGTATTAGTAGGTTGAGTCATTGAGCGTTAGAGATAGTTGTTGTCTTTGGTTCTTGCTGATGTAGGTTGAGTTGAACGATGGCACGGGGATGACCTAACCTAATCTACCCCCTCACGCACTCACACCCTTCCCTCACTCTCACACTCACCAACGCATCTCAACTGACACCAAAGATGAACTTTTGAATGAAAAGTAGCAAATTGAACAAAATTATAATTAGATTGAGTGTTTTTCCCAAGGGTCACCAAAAAAGTACCCCAAAAACAAAGAAATCGGAATCTGGTTGTTTGGTTTGAACTTGAACACCGATGTTGGAGCTCATTGTTCAACTTCATTCATCATTCGATGAATAACCCAACGTCTTGTTATTACTTACTTATTTACTTAATGGATGCAATGAATGATTAATAAATGGAATGAATTAATGAATGAATGTATGATGAGGTGGCAAATAGTAGACCAACGCGATGAGACGTAGATCACATGTTTATTTGATTGTTCATACCAATGATAGGATATTATAGCATTGTAGTGTAGAAGTAATAGTAGTAGGATGGATGAATGAATGAATGAATGAATGAAGGAAGGGTATCGGATGCATGTAACATGGTATGTATATATACATATATGAGATGATTGGATTGATTGAATGTGATGTAGAAGTACAGATTTAGTTGGAGCGCATCTTGATCGCTCTGGTGATCTTGGCGATCTTGAGTATCACTTCTTTGTCAGGTAGACCTGCTTGTTGTTGTTGTAGTTGTGATGAAGGTGATTGAAGGAATGAATCACCATGTTGTAATAGGTTGGCTGATGATGGTGATGAAGGAGAGAGTAGTGTCATCAGATAGTAGATCACATCCAACATTGACTCGCCTACAATGACGGCGGCATCGCGGATGATCAACACTTTGCTGTAGGTGGCGCCGTCGTAGTTCGACGGGTTGGGCGCCTGCATGTTGGCGATCTGTGATCGCTTGTTGCCAGACTTGACTGTGCCGAGTATCGTCTCCCAGTTGGCATTGAGATGCTCGAGACACAGCTGCTCCAGCTCCTTCTTGGCGTCGCGGATCACCTGGCCCAGCTCGACGCACTCGCGAAGCGAGCGCACGTTGGAGAACTCCTTGATGCGCGAGGTGAATGCCAGATAGAGATCGCGCAACGCCTTGATCGATCGGCTGCGCAGCTCCATGATCTTGTTCAGACTGTCCTGCTCGGTGACCACGGGTGAGTGTGGACGTGGGGCACTTGCCATGTCTCCCGCGGATGCATTGTGATAGTTGTTGTTGTTGTTGTTGTTGTGGTGCTCGACCAGCGTGACCTTCCTCACGTCCATGACGGAGGACGATCGGTTGGGCATGCGCTGTGTCTGCGCCAGTTGCAATGTAGGTGTGCTGGTCGAGGCCATCGGATTGGCTCTGCTTAGTGGCACGTGCTTGGTGACGATCTGTGCCGACTTCATCTCCTCCTCATCATCGCTGTCCTGCACTTGCACTGCATTGCGATCGTTGCTGGTCCTCAGCCTATCATTGTTGATCATGTCGGACAATGGCGAAGGATGCGTCACTCCTTTGGACGGCGACAAAGGCACGCGCTTAAGCGTGGACATTGCCGGCGGGAGCTCCTGTGATGGAGAGTTCTTGAGTGGGGCGGAGGTCACTGGCGACGCTGGCCTCTCGGAGAGCGTGGATGCGTGTGGCCTGCCAGACATGTTGGAGTGATTGTGTGAGTGAGTGGTGGGAGAAGTGGCGGGGAGGGGGATGGGGATGGGGAGCTTGGCAGCTGGCTTGGCCGCTGGCCTCAACACAGTAATTGGTCCGCCATCCGACAGTGATGGCAATGGTATAGGGATGGGTATGGAAGACTGTGATGTCTTTGGCGTCGTTGACACCTTGAGTGAAGACATGTGTTGATGTAATTGTGGCTGTGGCTGTGTCTGTGGAGGTGTGGCTGTGGATGTGTGAGTGTCGGCCTCATCTGGAACCATTGGTATAGGGATGGGTATGGGGATGGGCATTGCAGTGTGTTGTAAAGGTGTAGGAGTTGGTGTAGGAGTTGATGGAAGTTGGTATGTCGGCGTCGAAGACGACTGTTGCTTGTTGAACACTCCAAGCTTCTGTGAGGGGATGGGTGGAAGTGGTGTATTGGGTCGTTGCAATGATGTCTTCTTGGTTGGTGTGTTTGTAGGTGTCTGTGTCTGTTGCTGAGTCTGTTGTACATTGAATGATGCTGTTGGCGAGGATATGGTTACAGAGCGCTGTGGCAGCGGCATTGAGTCGGGCCGCTGCGAGTCTGAGATGATCACCTCTGTCATGGCGCGATTCGACTTGTTGACGATCGGGTCATCGTCAGGCTGCTGCAGCGACGGTGCCGTCTTGGGCATCGCCTGAAGTGGATCGCTGGCCTTTGACAGCGACTTTGGCAGGATGCTCTGCAGCTTTGATGCCGGGTTGAACTTGGACTGTGAGTTCACCTGCGAGATGGTTGGGCGACGGACCAACTGTTGCTGTTGCTGCTGTTGTTGCGCAGCCATTTGTGACTGTGACGGGAACACCTGTGCCATGGGCTTGAACACTGGTGTTGGCGAGGATGGTCGCCTGGCATTGGCGCCCGTCAGACCAAACAGTGATCCTTGATTGAATGATGTGTCGGGCGATATAAAACTGCCCATGCCATTGCTGCTGCTGTTGGCCTGTTGTGGAAGAATGTCGTCGCACCTGCGCTCCAAGAACTGCTCAATGCTCTCGAAGCTGGGGCGCTTGGTATGGTCGCGATGAAGACACGCCTCGATCAGCTTCTTCATCTCGGGCTCGATCTCGGGCGGGATCTGGGGCGAGCCGCCCTCCTCACGCACCTTTGCCAACTGCAGGTATCCAAGCTTATCCAGCTCGTGGTAGGGTCTCTGGCCCGTCAATATCTCGATCAGACACGCGCCAAAACTCCAGACGTCGGCGGCGCGAGAGAACTTCTTCTGCGTAAACACCTCGGGCGCCATGTAAAGGAACGAGCCTTCGGCAGTGGTGCCATAGAATGAGCGTGTTGAAGCTGTGGCCAGACCAAAGTCAGCCAGTTTGATTGTTACTGGCGCGTGTGTTGACAGCGACACGACCAGGAAGTTCTGTGGCTTCAAGTCCAAATGAAGGATCTCATTCTGGTGCAAGAAGCACATGCCCTTGGCAATGTCATATGCCATCTTCAAGCGCAGCTCTTGCGTGAAGTGTGACTGATGCTGTGGGTCATGCAGGTATTTGTCCAAGCTTCCACCTTCGATGTACTGTTACATGTGAGTAGGAGAGTGATTGAGTGAGTGAGGGAGTGGCCTTGGCAAGGCTAGGTTCGCCGGGTACATACCTCGAGCACAAGACACTTGGGAGAGACACAAAAGCCGACAAAGTGAACGATGTTGGGATGATGGAGCAGCTCTTTGTGCATCTCGAGCTCTTTCTCAAACTCGGAGCCATCGCTCATCTCGGAGATGACCTTGACGGCCACGAGTAGGCCACGCCAGCGCGATTTGTAGATGGCGCCATAGCCACCACCTCCAATGCCTGGTCCGATCTCGATCTCCTTGTGATCGAGAACTTGGGACATCTTGGAGTCGAGCTTGATGGTGAACAAGTGAGTGTTGCCCGTGCCGCTGATGCCATTGGACACGTCGAGCGAGATGAGCTCGCGCACCTTTGTCGTGCACAGCACGACCAGCTCCACAACAATGTCCAGCGACGAGTTACGCTTGACGATGCCGGCGGCCGGTGTGAATGTCAGGCGGACCGTGCCGCCCTGAAGTGGATAATTCGTGAACTGGTAGGATACCCTGTTCTGGCCCCTATTGCTCACTCTGATCTTGTCCCTGAGCACGACGCCAACCTTGCACTTCTCGCCCTCCTTCAATCCAAAGTCTATGTGATACTTTGAGAACTGTACCATTGATGCCAGTACCTTCTCCTCGTCTAGGTTGGTGATTATGTATGTCATAGTATGTGTTAGTTGTTTGGTTGACTAATGGTGTCGAATGGAATGATTCCGATCAATAATGTCGCGAGTTGGATACATGCTTGATGGACATATCGAATGTCTGGCCCTGTATTGTGCTCGATGGCGATCCTCTATCGACTGCTCCAGTAGCATCATCTTGAGTTGATCATGCTCCAATCCATCTATGATCTCTCCATTGCATCCCCTGGGTTCGGTTGATTGATTGATTAGTGTAAAGAAGAAGGTTAGATCATCATTCAGATATATCTCTAACCAGGTGTCATTGTTTGTTGTGGGACTTGTGGATGGGTGATCCCACCGATCTCCACACCCATCACTTTGATCGCTTTGTTGATCGAATTGTGTGTGTGTGTGTGGGATTCGTGTGGTTGTTTGATGGAATGTGTGTGTTTGATCAATCAGATGATTGTTTGGACATCTGAATCATGCATGTTGTCGTTGTGCCGACGACTCGGCTAGCCGAGTAGAGAGTGGATGTAGTCCAATGTTCCTGGTGGTGAGGTGAGGTGAGCATGACTTACTTCTTCAACAAGTGATACAGCATCTCATCCTCTTCTTCCTGATGCTCGATGCCACTGACCTGATAGAACTTGTTCCACTCCTCCTCATTGGCAGAGTTTGACAACTGCATTGTTGATGCCATATGTCCTGTGTTGTCTAACTAGTGAGTCCAAACAAGTTTGTATATCTATCTGTCAATCTGTCTGCCTGGCTGTGTTGTGTATGTTTGTGCTTGTGATTGATTGGACTACTGATTGATTGTGGATATAAATAATTTAAATAAATAAATAAATAAATAACTTAAGTTATTACTAACTGACTATGGTATGATTGATTGGATGTCAATTAGTTGAGAAAGAGATTCGTTGGTTGGACACGATTGATGATGAGTGATTGTTTGCTCAGCAGCGAGTTGTAGTCCTGGTCGAGTTTGAGTTGGGGCCAAGGGGTCTTAACATCAACTTTGATTGAGTGAGCGGGTGAATGGCGATTGATTGAGTGAGTGTTGTCCTGCCTGCTTGCTTGTTGAAGTTATCTGAATGATTGATTACTCCCTCAAGGTTGCAATAATAATATATAAATAAATATATATTATATATGTGTTTGATTGATTTGATTGAATGTTTTGTTTGGTAGTAGGTATGGTGTCTATTGACATGGGTCACCATCAATAACAACAACACAACAATAACAATCACTCACACAGATGATGAGAACAAGTATCACCGACACACTCTCCTCTCCCTGTGAGGCAAGCAAGCTAGCAAGCCCACACTCGCAGGGACCTGCGAAGACGGGTCTTTTTGATGAATGGGTTGAGTTGTGTGTTTCTTGAGTGGACCCTTACTGAATTTGTGGTGGACCATGTCTCCCCATCGCAACCCCACATCCAATCAGACAGGTCGCCCTTTGTTTTATTGAACTTTAATTGAAAAGGGTGTGGGGTGTGATCACCCGATTGATGTGTGTTGTGGGATGATGTCAGACATACACTTGGCGATTGATGGGTTGAACATCAACCTTTGAGAGTTTGTTTGGCTGATTAGATTGATTGATTGATTTACTGAGATTGACCGTTGACAATGCCTTATGCCAAAGATCTGCTCTCATTCAGCTACCTCATCTTCTTGGTCGCCTTCGGCTGCTTCATCTCCATCTTCATCCTCGTCCTCATCCCCATCTTCCAAGTCTGGGGACTGGTACGGAACATACTCGTCATCATCAACCTCGCCTTCAATATCAGCACCTTCCACATCCTCCACATCCGCCACTTCTTCCACATCCTCCACATCCTCATCTTCGTCTGCGCTGCTTTGCTCCTCGTCTTGATCTTGATCTTGAACTTGGTCGTCATCATTATCATTATCATCATCGTTATTATCATCGTCATATGGTTGTGCTGCTGATATTGAGTTCACTCGGTCATCCTCTGCCTCTTGTTCCATTGATACATCGACCTCGTTGTCAGAGACTGGATCGGCATGTGGCTCGACAACCTCGGCGCCATCTCCATCCACAGACATGAGCGTGTCCTCGTCGTCTTGTGTCTCAAACTCAATGTCCTCGACCTTGTCAGGTACCGTGCAAAACTCGAGTGCACGTTTCGCCGGCAGGTAATGCGAGAATGAGAAGTCTGTCGAGAATGAGCTGGGGTTGAAGCAGTAGGTGCCCTCATAGTTGTGCTCGTACTGATTGAACTTGTCGCCCAGTACCAACACGTCTGGCAGTGGATACAACGACAGTGCATGATCATAATTCCAATATATCGGTCTAATCTCCAATGGCAGGTTACAAAGGTGAGCATTCTTGCATATTGATTCCAATACCTTGTCATTGAGTTTGAGTTTGAGTGATTGAGTTTGAGTTAATATGATTGATCATGTTTGAGTGATTGAGTGATGTTACTTACATGTTGGGTTATGTCCATCTGGTCGGCTGGCTCCTTTATACAGTGTCTTCGCACTTTATTTACAATGTCCTCACGGAAGACGATGATCTCTTGTGTGCAGTAACGTATTCTACAAGGGTTTGTTGTAAACACGCTGTTGGCTACCTTGGACTTGAATCCCTTTACAAACACATCAGGTATTGGGAACTTTGGAAGTATATTGATCAATGATCCTGCTGGATCAGTTGGTCTGATCAATGATGGAGGTGAGTTAGTGAGTATGATTGGAATGATTGGAATGATTCCAGTGAATGAATTATAACATACCCTGGAACAAAGATAAACTTGCTCTTGGCTAGGATGTTTGGATATCGCTGAATGAGTGCTGCCAGTTGGTCAAAGTAAGTCTTTAGACGATATTGTTTGCCGCCAATTAGTGGCTGCTCGGTAAAGTTGCCCATGAGGATGAAGGCAAAGGGTGGGATGTCCTTTAGGCCAAAGAACATGACGTTGAGCTTGCTCATGACGAGTGGCGAGTCGAGCCACACGTCCGACATGAACACCAGCGCGTTGGTCTCCATCGCCTGCTCGTACTCGAGAAGGCTGGCGGCCAGCTTCTCGTTGGGACGCTGGCCAAATGCGTCCAGGCCCTTGAGGAACCGCAGCGACTCCTGGCGATCCTCGACCACCGGCAGCAGGATCTCCTGCGCCACAAACACGCCGTCGACCAGCTCGCCGTACGCCTGCACGATCGAGTTCTCTGTAAGCATGCTCGAGACGAGCGCGTTGCTAATGTCCAGTGGCACATTGGTGGTGAGGTCCTCCAAGTAGTACCTGCCCTCGGTGATCTGTGAGATGGTGCCCAGCACGTATTTGGGCCCGGGATTGCCCAGGAGCGAGTTGAGCGTGATGATGGACTTGTGCTCGCGCGTGAACTTTTCATTGGGGAGGACTGGCGGCGAGAAGAACTGATGGCGCTCTACACGCTGCAGCACGTTGATGTAACGGCGTCTGTAGAGGCTGGCTTTGGCCAGTGCGTCGGCGTGCAGCGAGTGTGTGGCGTGTGATGCCGTCGCGCTGTCTGCATGTGCAACATACTGCTTCTTGTTATTATCGTACACTACCAAAGGGCAATCGAATGCCCCTATCACCTTTAGCACCTCTGTCTCCATTGCATTTATATCCGTATGTGTCTTGATCTCTGCCAAACATCGCTCCACTGATGCCCTGTCCACAAAGTTGCCATTCACTTCAAGTTCAATTCAATCATAAAGTTAGAATGTTAGATGGATTGATTGAATGATTGATTGATTAAAAGCATACATGTTGACTTGTCTATGTTGTCAATGATGATGGTGACCAACTCTAGTACCTTGTCTCTGTTGTCATTGAGCTCACCCAACAGCTTCATTGCGTCATTCTTGATGCTGAGTCCAGAGAGTTGGAATGCCTTTGTTATACTCTTCTTGAGTGGCAAGTCCATTGTTGTTGTTGTTGATTGATTGATTGATTGATTGATTGACTGGACTATCTATCTATAGATATCTAGTATGTATATATGTGTATATTGTAAACACACGAAAGAGATAAGTATCAGAATGAGTGATTAACTTGAAGTTATTGGCGCGCAAATTTGAAAACTATCACAAAGGGTAAAGACCCTTTTATTATTATGGGTCGATTTTTGGTAATAAGGTTGATTGAACAAGTCTGGTGTCTCAATAGATGCAATGAATAATTCAAACAATATAAAGAAGTCATGGATCTTAATATCTGCTCAAGTTTAAGTTAAGAATCAACATAATTGCCAAGTACGGTAGTTAGTTAGTGCCCAAGTAATCGCCAAAGTAATGAAGGTGGGTGCCTAAGTTTTCGATAGAGCCAAAGTATACAATGGTGGAGAAGGGAGAAAGTAATCGTCAAAGTATATTAGTATCTAACTAATAATGAACATCAACTTCTAACACATCAAATAAATAGAAACCTATTAATTAGTAACTAACTAGCTTTGATCAGAAGATTATGAGTGAGGGCAAGGGTTGGATTCAAAATGAAATACTCCAAAGGTTGCGACCAAACTCCCAAAAAACCAAGAGTTGGAATAATCAATAACACACACTCACAACACACCACAACCTCAATAATTTGTCGAGCATGCATGTCACATTCATTCACGCACACAAACAACAATACTCTCATTCTTTTTAACTGCTCTATCTATCTATTTATCTTGAGATACATACAATATTACATATTATAGTACTTTAGTAACAGTACCATTTTAGAATCAATCAATCAATCAATCAACCAATCTATATAAGTTAACTAGCATATATCTATTTATAAAGCTAGAAGAAAGGAATCAACAATCATGGAGAACAGACCATCATTCGATATATACTGCATGTTTATACATAGATTGAAGCAGAGATCATCTTTGGACTATAGAAACAAGCTGGCTCTGTTGGCAAAGGATCCATCAAGTCCACAGATGTTCCAATTCGCACAACAACTCTCTGACGTCTCAAAGCAATATGATACATTCTACTTCTCAGAGAAGGCAAGAGACTTGGCACAGAGTATGTATTGTGTACACTACTTACAATGAATACTCAATCCTAACATATATACACACAAACATTAACAACAGTTGATGTCAAGGAGTTGGTAAAGGCAACTGAGGACTATCTATCAATGTTGGGTGGATTCATTGGTGATACATTGGCTGCATCATCAGTGATGCCAACAGTCGGAAAGGTCAAGTCAATTAATGAGATTGATGATGACTACGAGAACAGTGACAAGGATGATGACAAAGAGGACAAGGATGAAAAGGAGGACGATGATAAAGAGGACAAGGAGGAGAAGGATGGTGACGACGACAGCAGCAGTGACAAAGAGGATGACAAGGATGACGATGACAAGGATACCAAAAAGGCCATCAAACAACAGGTCGAATCACTTCGTACTAGATTGCAATTCCAGTGGACTACTCTGGCTGGCCAGCAACGTGTGATCAAGTCGAGCGATGCATTGATGGAGATTGCCAACGTTGTATTCAATCTTGGCATTTGGTACATGGGCTACTCACAGTCGCTGCTGACCACCAACCAGAAGGAGGACGGCATCGAGGAGGAGGTGAGACAGGTGATCTACGACTACTTGCTTAAAGCCGCCGGATGCTTCCAATTCCTGCGCGACAAGGTGGCGCCCAAGTTGAAGAAGAGCGAGCGTGGCGTGGACTTTGGCGACTCGATGCTCAAGGCCCTCTTCCTCCAGGCGCTTGGCCAGTCGCAAGAGATCACCATTGGCAGAGCGTTCAAGAAGAACACGTCCACGTCGGTCATCTGCAACCTGGCCGTCGACACTTCCAAGATCTATCAAGAGGTGCTGGACTCGCTCAACACCATCGACAACCTGTTTGAGGCGCGTCTGGAGAAGCTGGTCGTGTTTATCAACTATAAGATGTCGGTGTACCAGTCGCTCGCCTACTATCTGGCCGCGTTCAACCAGAACGCCACACACAAGTACGGTGACGCCATCGTGTCTGGTCGCCAGGCAAGCTTCGCCCTCAAGAACGCCACGTCATTGATCGACACATGTGTCAGTGTGACAATCACGCGCGACGCCCTCAAAGGCCCAACCAACTATCTCAGCAAGATCCTGGGCACCGAGAACACAAGGTTCGAGCGTGAGAACACGGTCATTGGATACCAGACCATCCCAGACGAGGTGGTCGCCCTACCAGATGGAAACAGACTTGCCAAGCCCAGAGAGTTTGTCATGCCCCCAACCAACAGTGCCTGGGACGAGAAGACCTACGCCCTGTTTGATGCCAACAAGAAGCTGTCAGAGAGTGACATCACTGCATTGAAGGTGGTCTCGCCCAAACTAGAGTCGACCAAGGCACCAGCAGCTGCTAAAGAGTCCAAGGAGGAAGAAAAGAATGATTATGTTGAGGAAGCCGCTTCATCATCATCATCCTCGACCGCCACCCAGTCTGCATCCAACCAATCAAATGCCAAACCAGCAAAGAGTGGATGCATCATCAACTAATCACCTCATCACTTCCCCTCACCCAATTCCATCCATTCCAATTCATATTCCAATGTTGTTGTCGCTGTACCATTAATGAACCAACCCTTACCCTTACCCTTAACCTTGCCCTAACACACTTGTACATCTTAAGTTAGATAGATAGATATATATATATATATTGTCGACAAGTATTAATGGATGATGATCAATCATTGATTGATTGATTGTGATCATCCATCCAACTCTGGTACATTGACCTTGACGGTTTTGATCCAAAAGTTAACATAGTTGGTACCAGGTGTGATGTAACCGAATGATACGTTGGTGCCTGCACGGATCATGGTCTCGTACGTTGGTAGTTTGATGTCGCCTCCACCCACCCTTGTCACCTTCCACAACTCAGTGGTACCCATAGGCAACAACTTGTTGTCGATCAGAATATTATCAACTCCATCGGTCATTAGATTGAATATATCCACGTTGACCTGGACAACCTGTCTATTCAATCTTGTGTCTAGCCACTTATTAACCACTGATTGTGTTATATTGAATATTCTGGTCAAGTCACCTGGAATGGAATGGAGTTGGAATAAGTTGGATTAATATTAGGTTGATTGAATGAGTGATAGAGTGAATAATTGATTATTACCTTGGCAATATTTCTTTGGACCATTGGAGAAACATGTGTGACCAGGTGGACATGGCTTAGTACCACATTTAGGAGGACCTGAAGATAGGACCAAAGTCATTGATACCAAGAGGGTAACAATTATAAGGATATTATTATATTTGATCATTTTAAATATATTAATATTATACAATAACAATGAATGGATGGATGAGTGGAGAAAGAGTAGATTATATCGATATAAAGATATGGATAGATAGTAGATGAACAGATAGATTGATGGATTGAGTTGATTGATTTATTCCCTTGATTGTTTGATTGATTGATTGACGGATATTGATATTAGTGATGATAATCAGTAATATCACACAATATTAATACTATCTATTGTTATTATTACTATTCGCACTACGGATGGAGGAATGCGTCGTATCCGTTGGACGGCAGAGTTTGGCGCGTTGTCGGAGGAGTCGGATATTGGATAATGGAGTGTTGTTGTGACCCTTGACCATTCCAGAAAGGATCAACCTACAATCTCATCACAAGCACCAAGCCAAACCGGGTAACAAAGCTTGATCAATCAATCATTCATTCATTCCGACTTGTCGTAGTCATCGTCATCGTCAGTGTTTCCAGTGATGTGTCCAAATAAGATATTCTATTAATGTATAATCAGTATCACCCACACTGATTAGTGAGTGATACAGTTCTTAATATCACCATCACAATTTATATTATGAGTGTCATTCAATCATGTTCTCCCAAGTTCATCATCATCCAATCCAAACATTGATTGATTCATTCTTTCAGTCTCCATCCTACACCTCTCTCTTGATTAAGATGCTGACTGATACAATCCACATCCCATGTGACAATCATGATTGTCTTGTCTTGTCTTGTCTGACCAAACCATCAATGTTATAATTATAACCTATCACATGTGATATGAATGATCTGTGTTGATTTACAACAATACATACACTCACACTTTCGTCTTGATCATTAATTAACACACTATCACACACACAAATCACATGTCCAGTTCGTTAGAATAACTGACTAATTATATGTGTGTGTGTGTGATTGTTCGATACCAACTTATCTCTATCTCAGTCGAATCCTACCAACCCCGGACTCTTTGCATAGGTGGTAATTAATAACATATACACCTTTTGGTGGATACCCCTCACTTGACAAAGTGTCTGAATTGTTGACAAAAAAGACTAGAGGGCATGTTGGTGCCGAGTCCTGGAGGTGTATGAAAATAAATTATTATAATATCCAACCATTCATTGGTTCATTCAATTAATTGCTGTGTTGAAGAGCAAAGAAAGGAAAGAAGAAGCCCACTCTATCTATCTCACTTCAACACACAGTCATACACACCCACACTCACAACCCAACAACATTCATTCATTTCAATTATTCAAATTATTATTGTTGTTACCTTTACTTTACACACACACATACACATAGATATAAATAACTTTGTTGTGTTCACATCATCATCAGCATCATTCATTCATTCAATTCATTTGCAAATCAATCTTATAAACAAAGTTTTATTTACTTTTACTAATATACATACATAAATAATGGGAGCTGGAGATCACTTCTTGCCATCGGCAATTCCAAGTCTTGAGAAGAATGTTATGATTATCTGTGGAATCCTCGACTTCTTCTTGTTCGGTATGTTCATCTCATTCATATTCATTCTCAATCGATTGATCATTAACTAATTCATATTCATATTCATTCATTAATTGTAGGTATTGGAACTATCATTCTTGGTGTCTTGGATAACTGCAATGTTTGGTGTGTCTTGATTGGAGTCCTTCAGGTATGTATAATTCTTACATTGAAATGATTAAGAGTATGAGTATGAGTATGAATATAATCTTAACATACAATACTATACTATTTTAGTTGTGTCTTCCATTCGTTGGCTGGCTCTGGTCCATTATCTGGGGAGTTATTATCCTTCTCAAGGGTCTAGACAAGTGGTAATACGATAAACAACACGCAGTATGGTCACTCTTGGACAGTCGAGTGTCGACCAGTGAACAAATACAATTAAACTTTTATCACCCTCTTTTGTACATCTTCTTCTTCCTCTTCCTTCCTTCCTTCCCTCTTCTTCCCCTTTCGTCAAAGCAAGGCTAGTCAGTCAACCAAGCAAACACCAATTCGATTGAACATTCGGTCAGCACCGCCCATCTTTACCTTGTGATTGATTATGGATTGACCATCAGACCAATAGTCTGGTCTGTTTTTGCAAGGTGGGAATCAATCATTTATTTTTTTTATTTGATCAATTTACATTCTTGTTGATGGGTGTGAGCCCACTTTGTTTGGGTCAGGGACACGAACACTGACTGATCAGAGTTCTGTTTACCAAGGTGGAGAGAAGGTGAAGAAAAACAAGGAAACGACGTAGTCAACAACACCCAGAACAACATCAATCAAATATTAGCAATAACACTTTAAAAGGAACACAAGGTACACTACTACTACGATTACTATTACTACTTATAACATCCAACTTTGGCTAGAACTAGCAAACAAACATGTTTTGGAAGGTATTCTATCAGCATTTGATTCAGTACAGACATGTCACCATCCATCACACATTCATTCATTCATTCATTCATTCGATCGATCAATCACACAATACAACACAACCCATTCATATCCCCCACTATGTTATTGTTGTTGAATACAACTAGGTAGATGGATATATTTAGTAACATTCGAGTTAAGGAAGTAAACAATTCACACTACGCGTGTGTTTATGTTTCTGTGTGTGATCACTCCCTTCAATCACTCATCACACTCACACTCGACATCAACCCCAGACATCAACACTCTACAACCTCAATGTATTGGAATACATAAGGTACACACACACATTGATGGGATGGAATACCATCAGTCGACTACCACTACCACCCACCCTCTGTCTGTCCCGGACTGACACCCATCACTCGAGTTGGTGATTGTTTATGTGTGTGTTATGTGTTATGTGTGTTTCTGCGTTTGTGTGATTGATCATCACCAATTAGAGCAATAGTAGTAGATATAGGTGTTAGGAGTTGGCATGGCATGGCATGTTCATTAACTGGAGAATGACCCATCCGGATGGTGGATGGCGGATGTCGGACGTCGGATGGGTTGGTCAGTCAGGCAGGCAGGCAGTCAATCAATCAATCAATTAGTCAGGCAGGCAGTCTGTCAATCAATCACACGATCACGTACCCTCACTCTCACTATCATTCTTGATCAGTTGAGGTTGTTGGAAGTTTAGTTTGTGAGGTGGACAACATCAAACACAACATATTATCATACCGTAAATCATTCAAATCAATCAATCAATCAAGATCAAGATATACTAGATATATAATAATTTATAGTTTGGCATCAATCCATCCATCCATCATCCATCAATCAATCAAACCTACACTCATACACACACATGTCCGGCCCCAAACAACTTGCCAGAGCATACTCTAAAACATTGAGCTCATTCTTACTATTACCAAAGTCTAGCAAACCACACAAGATGGGATCGTCATCATCAAAGTCGACAGGACATAACTCGGCACCAGTTGGCTTCACACCCAGCGCACCCACATCAGTCGATTACCGCTCAAAGCCAATCCTCGACGAGATTGGCACGACGAACCACGGCGGCATCGAGGTGTCCAAGAGCGTGCTGGACTTTGCCCTTGGCGAGCGTCCATGCCCGCTCAAGACGTCTGTCCAGGACCAGTTCACAATCACCAACCTCAGCCGCAACAAGCTCAAGTTCACGTTTGAGCCATCACTGCCCAAGGAGTTCCAGCTCAGCTTCAGCCCGGCGACGGGCGCCCTCGAGAAGGGCAAGTCCAAGGTGGTCAAGGTCAAGCTGATCGTCAACCAAAAGATCAACGCCAATCACAAGGCTGTGCTGCGTCTTGAGGGCGGCGTCAGCCACTTCCTCACGGTCAAGATCCGTTGCGAGACGGGCGTGTTTGGCGTCGACCCTGTCGGTCTGGACTTTGTCGAGGACGAAGGATATCGCGTCCCCTCCATCCTAGCACAGATGAAGCGATCACTTATCGAGTATGGAGGTCTAGAACAAGAGGGACTCTTCCGTCTCGCTGGCGAGCAGACCGAAATCCGCAAGATGAAGGAACTAATGAACAAGAATGAGTTCTCCTCAAGCAATGACATCAACACAGTAGCATCATTGATAAAGGTATGGTGATGGCCCACCTCAGCTGAGGCTATGCGTGTGGACCCCTTACCCTAACCCTCGCCCTCAACCCTCGACAACCCTCGACCTCTTGTAGATTTGGTACCGCGAGTTACCATCACCAATCTTGAACTCAGTACCAACTGAGAAGATATTCCATTGTGGCGATGTTGATGAATGTGTGGAGGCGGTCAACAGACTGCCAGAGATGCAAAAGAATTTGTTGGATTGGCTAATGGACCTTCTCATTCAAGTGGCCTCATACTCGCGTATCAACAAGATGACGCCACAGAATTTGGCCATTGTCGTGGCGCCCAATCTATACGACGTGTCGACTTCCAATCCGATGGAGGGACTAGTCCTGTCACAAAAGTGCGTTCAATTCCTCCACAATGTTCTCACACATAAGATATCCCAGATGAATAGCCGTTCAATCTCTGTTGGCGTTTGATGAGCGAGAGACATAACATACTGTGTATGGTATACCATGCATGCCATGTATATTGGATCAAATAGGCGAACGAACGAACGAGAGCGAACGAACGATCATCATCATCAATGTAGCATACATCAATCAATCAACTAGACATGGACATGGACATACATACACAGACATATTTATATTCATATTTATACACATATATTATCATTCATTCAATCAATCATTGTACATTGGACATTGGATATTGGACATTGGACAACAACAACACATGTGTGGAGAGCGCACAATGTGCTCCACCCTTCCAGTGACTTCCAATGAGGCGACATCATCCATTCCCCAACCCAAACACCTATCATACCATCATTCATATGTACACTACACTACTTACTTCCAGCAGCAGCAGTCACACACCAACCAATCGTTGGAATAATAAACCATCGTATCGTAATCATCCATTTACCCATGTCCAGGTTTGACAAACTTGACTCATCAATTTACAGGAAATGAGCAGTTGAGTTTTGTTTGATCCTGATTTTCTCACACATTTGGGAACTTATGACACTCATCAACTTCATTCACACATTAACAAGATCTTGTTACAGATACCAATAGGCATTGTCATACATTGACATTGCTCATTCCCATGTTGATGAACAATACTGGTAATAGTAGTAGAAGATGAATGTTACAAACTCATTCACTCCAAGCAAGACATTGTTGTTTTCAAACAATAACAACAACAATAACAATAATCTCAACAACAGTAGTAGTAACAGCTTTAAATCAAACTTAATGAAGAGTTCATCATTAGCTCCTAATCAACAACATCAACAACAACAATCTAATACGAATTCGAATACGAATAATCAACAGTCATTGAAACAAACATTGATACAAAGATATACGACCTCTTCATCTTCATCATTGACAAGTAGTAGTTTACATAACAATGATACATTCTTTGGAAAGAGTAGTATAGCACAATCTTCTAGACAAGATGAGCCATTCGATCCATTTGGTAATGGCACTGTACTGCCTCAAAGTACAACTTCCAAGAAGTCCAAGGCTATTCAAAAGCAACAACAGAATCAACAGAATCAATATCAACATCAACAGCCCAAGTATGTTGGACATAAACATACACCCTTTGCGGCTGTGTCTGCGCAGCCTCCCCGTTCTACTACTCCTAGTGTTGCTGCTGCAGCACAACAGCAACAACAAACAATGGACGCACATGTAGATAGTACATTCGAGTTTGAGTTTGATTTCTCTGATGTTATTGGCGACACATCATCTACAACATCCACGACAACGACATCAACTTCATCGACTGCGATGAACACAGCAAGATCCAACAACAACAACAACAACAACAAAACTCAATCAAAGAAACCACAACTTCAAACAGATGTTCGATACTCTGATCGACCACCTGCACAGTTTCAATTCCCTTCAATCCAACTGGACAGCCCGCCCGAGACGGACGAGGATGCACTCGACACGTATATCTATCCCGACAACATGACTGTGCGCGACTATCAGTACAACATTGTCTCCAACGCATTCTATCGCAACACAATGGTCTGCCTCCCCACGGGCCTGGGCAAGACATTCATCGCCTCGGTGGTCATGATGAACTTCTACCGATGGTTCCCTCGCTCAAAGATCGTGTTCATGGTGCACTCGCGCCCACTTGTCTCACAGCAATACGAAGCATTTCATCAGATCACTGGCATACCACTTAGCGACACGGTCGAGTTCACGGGCAGCGTCAAGGCACAGCTGCGCGTCACTGGCTGGACCAAGAAGCGCATCTTCTTTCTCACGCCTCAGATCCTTGCCAAGGACATTGAGGCGGGCCGCTGCGACCCTTCAAACATCTCGCTGGTCGTGGTGGACGAGGCGCACAAGGCCAAGGGCGAGTACTCGTACTGCACTTCGGTGCAGATGATTGCCAAGGCCACACGATACTTCCGCATCCTCGCATTGACAGCGTCACCTGGCAGCACAAAGCAGTCGATCCAGACTGTCATTGACAACCTGCTCATCTCAAAGATGGACATTCGCACGGAGAAGTCACTGGACATCAGTCCCTATGTACATCAGAAGCAGATCGAAGTCATTGTCGTGCCCATCACCGCGCAGATCCAACCACTCCTTGACCTCCTGAATAGAGTGAAGCAGATCCCCTACAACAACCTAAACAAGTCTGGTGCATGTCGCAAGCCACTCGATCAAGTAAGCATCCATCACGTCAAATCAATCAATCATTCCCACTCATTCACTCATTCAATCAATCATACAAATAGATCAGCATGGGATTCGCCATTCAAATGAGAGAGATAATGATGAAGAAACAAGAGAAGAACTTTGGATTGTTTAACAACTTCACAGCATTGATCAATCTATGTCGAGCTTCAAACACACTGATCAAACATGGCCTGGACTACTTTTATGATATCATCAAGGGCTTTGGTGCCAAGAAGACCAAGCCAGTCGTTGAGATACTTGGTTCGCGTGATTGGAATGACATGATGACGTTGGCAACGTCAATGACAGGCAAGGTCACTCATGGCAAGCTGAACAAGCTCTGTGAAGTGATCACTGATCACTTTAGTAAGTATATTCATTCATTCAATCTCGCCCGCCCAACAACACACTCACCCAAACAATCAATCAAACAAAGCAAACTCAACTGAGACATCGACAAGAGTAATGGTGTTTGTGGAGAATCGTGCAACTGTACAAGAGATTATCAATCATATTGGCAAAACCACATCGTCTATGATCAAGGTAATGCCATTCATTGGTCAGGCACAGGGCAAGAACTCGAAAGGACTCAATCAGACGGAGCAGGCATCTATTCTCAATCGTTTCCGATCGGGTGCCTATAATACATTGGTGGCAACATGCATTGGAGAGGAGGGTTTGGACTTTGGAGAGGTGGATCTCATCATTTGCTACGACACACAGCAGTCAACCGTCAGGAACATCCAGCGTATGGGCAGAACAGGTCGCAAGCGTAAAGGAAGATGTGTTGTCCTATTGTCGGCTGGCGTCGAAGAGGACATCTATCACAACTCCAAGTCCAAACTAGACTCAATCACAAAGGATATGAATGTATTCGTATTCCATCGATCTGAAAGAATGGTAAGTTTGACATCCATTCATTCATTCGTTCATTTATCCACTCACTCAATCAATCAATCAATATAGTTACCCGATGGACTATGGCCAAGGGCGGAGTATAGAAAGGTGGACAGTGTTGAAAGGCATGCCGCGACTGCCATGGGCCATGATGGCAAGGTAAAGAGAGTTAAGAAGAGATCAGCATTCTTGACCAACGAGGAGATAAGGTACTTGGACAACAATTATAAGGATGCTTCCACGATCAATGTCCCACTGGATCTTCAACGATGGAGTCACTTGAACAACATTGCAACGCCTACTCATCAGGTCGATCACTCAGTGTGCACCAACATCATGGTATCAATCTATGAGAGCATCGAGCGCAACAAACAGTCCGAGCTCGATTCCATCATGAGCCAATACTACAAGAACGTCGGTGATGGTGTTGGTATGGGCATGGGCAATGGCATGGACATAGACAAGGACAACTCATCGGCACCAGCATTCAATGATTACAATCCAAGTGTGCCCTCACCAGAGATTGATCGTCATGATCGACTCCATCAGGAGCCAATACGTGTCGACATTGATATTGATAATCAAGAACATCATGATCAACAGGCTCCGCCAAATGACAACACCATCGACTTTGACTTTGACGACTTTGGTGGTGATGTCCCTTCACCACCAACTCCACAACCGACCAAGGCATCGACGTCGTCTTCCCCAATCAGACTGTTCCTACCGCCAGACTTAGGTGACATTGAGGTGCCAGTAATCTTGGACCCAATAGTCATTCGAACACCTCCATCATTTCGTCCACCTGCCAAATCGTCCACAATGCCACCAACAACGGTGGCATTCTCACACTCTGATACGTCCACGCCAGCCAAGCCCATGAGCAATGTGGACAAGTCGAGTCCTGTACATGTATCACCAAACAAGCCATCCACATCTTCCTCCTCCGCCTCTGTTGTTGTCGCCAATGACGTGCGCGTAGTTGTATCCACGAACACGAATCCAAACCCAAGCAACAGCAGCAGCAATGATGAGATTATCGCCAGGTCACCTCCTCAACATTCTTCATCACCGTTGAACATATCATTCACAACACCTCAAAAGCCAGACAAGGATCGCAACACATCAAGACTGCTCAAGAAGTGCGCAATCAGTCCAATCAAGAGAAAGAAGGTCCAACAGCAGCCACAGCAGCTTCCAAAGAGGAAGCTCGATGACTCGCTGCTTGAGGAGAGCAGTGGCGTCACGGACGAGAACTCGTCCCCCGTCCAGAAAAGAACCAAGCGACCACGTATCAAGGACAGGGTTCTCAATCTCTTTGAGCTCGAGGCAGATGATGAGGACGAGGACGATAGCTTGGACAGTGGCGATGAGAACATGGATGACTATGACGTCAACGATTCATTCATTTGTGATGACACGCCGGAAGATTCGATGGACACCTCACAAGACTCACAAGCGACCCAGGCTGCCAAGAAGAAGAAGCAGGAGAAGAAGAAGATGTCCATGCAATCCATTTACATGCGTTCGTTGCTAAGCCAAAACGAGTTTGACGGACGAGGACGAACCAATCTCGGGGGCTTCATCTTTAAGCCCAGCACAAACCCGTCCAAGAACAAGACCCCCATTCTCCGGCCACCGCCATCACTTCTCCCACACATCGACTCTGAAGAAGAGGAAGATGTTGGAGATGATGCTGGAGATGGACAGCCTGCGGTTGCAAGCGATGAAGTGGATGATGACGATGTCGTGGCCAACACACAAGAGGAGTTGGATAGCAGTGTAATCACGAGCTCACAACAACAGCAGAACAACAAGGTACCAACAGCAGTAGCACCGGTGACATCGCTACCTTTACAACTCGGCGACCTCAACAACAACAACAATAGCACGAACACCAACAGCGACGTGCGACCTGACAGCGAGATGCCTGAGCTCAAACGATTCGGGTCATCCACATTCAACAAAGAGTTCAATGTCAACGTGTGGAACGGAGACAAGGACCAAGATGGATATTGGTCAGATTCAGACTGATCTTTATTCCTTCCATCTTTCATGTCGTGTATTTTTTAAAAGGCCTCAACACTCGGCCAAGCAAAGTGGATCAGTTTGGTGGCCTCCGTGCTCCACCTGCCCATGGGATTGTCACGTGACCAACTAGTTGTGTTTGCACAAAGTTATTGCCCAATAGCCTCAGCGCCCCCATAACCACTTCGCAGAATGATGTAATCACCCGGCAAATCACAGATCCACAAAGCCCTTTCAGTGTCTTTTCGTTTGGCCCGCACCACTACACACATAAGTTGATCACTCTGATCTTGTGTAAGTGTTTGTGTGTGTGAGGATGGTGATCAACCTCGTTGTAAACTGGGTAGATGAATGGAGTGAAGAGGAGAACATTTAAACTAAACTCTCAACCTCGAGTAACAGGTCTGCAGCCGTTTGAACAAACAAGGCTTATGTTGGTGGATGCCAAACTTACATCGTCAACACACACACATGTAACATACTAGATTAGAGTTGCGCGCAATGTCGTTTGGGAATTCCACAGGTTACTGATTGATGGCCATCAAACAAACATTCATTCCCGTTAAGGTTGTCATTTCATAATGCATTAAGRAATGAATGATTGAATGAACATGTTTCAGATCGGGTATCATCAACAACAACAATAACAACAACAGCAACATTATTACCCAATAAACAGCATCAGGTGCAGCCCCTATCCATGCATTTAGCACCTGGCTTCGCGAACAATGTCATTCCCAAAGTAGCACCTAATAGGGCCAGGACTCATAAGAGGCCTCATTATTACCCCCTACCACCATAACACTCATTCGAACAATGTGCTGATCACTCTCTCTGTCAACCAGCCCCAAAGTCAGTAGTCCATCCTACATATTTACTTGTCCTGAAGCAATCTGAATGCGGGTGTGATGATGGATTGGATGAATGGAAGTAAGAGTATGGATTGATTGATTGATTGATTGATGGTGATGGAATGGATTAATGCTTTGGTTATTCCTCAGCTGATGCCAAGTGGTACCCTACACTCTCACTCACTCACTCACTCATTTGCAACTTCCAAAGGGAGAGGGATACTTTACATCTCCTCTTCCTTCTCCTCCTTCTAGTCCTCCACTCACTCAATCAATCAATCATATCCTTCACATAACGGTAAGACTTAGAACAAAGACAAAGTGACCTTGACCTTATAATGTTTGATCATCATTATCATCAACCCTTGTCATATTCAATCATTCACTCATCCATTCTTTGAACAATCAATCAGAAACATAGAGTACCTTATGATATATCCAACAACATTCACCTTGTTAGACTACTTGAAGATTCAGTCCAATTCATTCATTCATTTATTCATTCAATAGCTCATTGATCACAAAGGTAATGTATAATACTTCACTCAATGTATGTTTGCTCATTAGTTATTGTTGGGGCTTCTTGAAGATTCATCAAGACCTCATTCCATTTCCACAATGTTGTTGGATATCGTCCATTCTATTCTTTTCAAACAAAGTTATAACAATCATCAAACCACCTGACGACCTTCACCTGCATCATCAAGAGTGAAGGTTCACTCCATTCCTTTTATGGTGAACAAAGATGACATATGGTGTAATTGTTGGGGGACGTCCCATCATCCTTTCTACAATCCATCCATCAATCCATTCATCAAATCAAGACATACACCTTCCATTTTAGTTGTATTGGTAATCCAAGGTTGGGCATGTCTGTTAATAATAACATCATCAACAACAACAACAACAAGTGCAAAGGCTTGAATGGAAACCCTTCCTTTGGGTGGACTACAGCAACAACAACAATCTCACAATCACACACTCACTCATTCATTCACCAATCACCAATCACCAACAATAATGAGAGTGTGATTGATTGAGACACTCAGACTGACTGGCTGGCTGATAGCTTGACTGACTTGGTCAAATCAGTGAGTGGTCCCATCAATCATTCATTCAATCATAAAGACAACCAAGCAATCAATCCAATCAATCAACCAAACAATCACATGATCAGACACACTCACACACACACACCAAAACACACCCTCACATGGCCTGAGGGCTTGTTTGGTGTCAACACACGAAGACCCATTTGTCACCTTTATGCTGCCAAATCCGGCGTCGATCACCCCGCTCAGCGTGCCAACATCGAAGAAACCCCATGATCATTGTGGCAATGACATGCACGCCCACAACATCAGCGCTACGCCCATCAATCACTTATCATCTGATCAGAAAGAGTGGTCACTCTCTTCTTTTAAATACGAGAAATGGGTATCCGTATGCCACTTAACAATGTTGTGTTTGTTTCTGTGTGTGTTTGATTGTTTGATCATATCTCAAAGTGATGGAGGAGGAGGATGAGGAGGAGTGGCCATCACTCGATTGACATCTCTTGAGAGGAGTGTTTGTTGTGTTTGTTACCCACGCTAACTAGGTCGTGTCCGTTGGCTATAAGTCTACCTTTAACCCTACACCTCTCACACCATCCATCCATCCATCCTACTGGCCGTTACGCCTCTTGGTTTGGTTTCCTTGGTGCGGTTCTTACCTGTCATCACTCCTCCTCCTCCTAGGATATTACTCATATTAATTAATATTACTTGTACTTCTTCTTCGACACATCATCTTATAATCCACACACTCACCAGGCCTTCTGGCCACCACGTGACACCAACACACAACTCGGCCAGTCCGACCTTTCCTTCGACCATAATATTGTATTAACACTCCATCAATCAATCAAACAGAGACATAATCAAACAATCAATATCAATCAATCACAACAACAATATTTATTATTTATTTATTTTATTTAATTTAGTTCCAGAAATTCAAACAATCCAATTCAAACAATCCAATTCAATAATCAATCAATCAATCAATCCAATTAATTAGAACTTTAAAGTTGGCAATATGATGTCCAACTCATTGCCTAACAACACGGGGACGGCAGCCAATGGTGGTGGCGCAACACCATACATAGATATGCATGCATTGCAACATCAACATCATTTGCAACAACAGCAACAACTCCAAATCCAACAGATATTACTTTATCAGCAGCATCAACAACAACATCTCCAACTCCAACAATCAATGATGCAATATCAACAACAACAACAGCAACAACAGCAACAGCAACAACTTATGCAGGTTCAGGTTCAGGTTCCTCATCAGCTGACAACAAGTCCTACACCACCGCCAGCCCCGCCTCTTCCAACTCCACCACCTCCAATATCACATGCCAAAGAGTCAATCAAGTATAAACTTCTGAATAAAGGGCTTAACGGAGGTGGCAATTCAGTAGGGACAGCGGCGGCATCAACAACTTCATCAACATCATCACCTTCACAAGGATCATCATTATCCTCATCAACTTCATCACCATCACTCCAACACCAGGAACATTCATCGCCAACCATTTTAAGCCCGAGGAAACCAAACAACCTCAACGGCAACTCCTCCCCTAACTTCACAAACTATTCACCATCTCCCCTATCACTGGCACATCTTGCCATTAGTCCACAGATGTCATATTACCAAGGAACCTTTCCACCGATACCCTATTCACTAGGTATGTCCCCGTTTAGCCAACCCAACAAATCTATCAATCAATCAATCATATTGTTAACATATTCCAACCCATAATATATAGTACTTAATCCACAATATTATCCAATGTATCATACTATTAGTAGTAGTCCAATGGGACCACCATCATTGGGCTCATCACATGAGACTATGAGGAGCAGATCGTTGGACGAGTACACTCCACCTAGTTTGGCACCAGACAGTCCTGATCTTGGCAAGTTCAAACCAATCAATTTCTCTGCTCAACGTTTAGTCATTGGCAATTGGGACCTAAACTGCAAGTCATTGGACATCACCGCCAAGATCTATTTCACCAAGAAGCAACTAGTATGGGAGCTACTCAAAGTCAACACCAAGTACAAGATTCAAATATCATTCGCAGACATATCATCCATGGTGTAAGTACTCATTATCAACCAAGCTAAAGACCATTCAATCATTAAACCTGGAACTATCACAATCATAACAGAGTCACTGATTTAAACGCAGAGTCACTATCACTCACAATTGAGTTGTCAAGAGTACCAAAGTTCTTTAAGGAGATCAACCCTCAACCAAAGAAGAATACAACTTGGATTGGATGTGGCGACTTTAGTCCGAGGTACCAGGCCTCGGTCTACCGACGCCAGACACTCTACGCCAAGAAGGCCAACATCACCAAGCATCTTGAGAAGCTGAGGAAGTCCGATGTGACAATGAACAAGTATCTCCAAGAAAACAGATTCTCCACCGATGCCCTCTACTTCCCTGGTGAAGATCCCAACTCCCCAGACAACTATGTAATCACTCCACGCGGCACCCGTACCGCCACCCCCATATCAGCCCAAACAAACAACGGCTCTTCCACAACATCAACATCAACAACAGATCACCAACTACAACAACAACAGAATCAATCACAGCAACATGCCTCCACCAACAACAATGATATCATTGACCAACCAGCCTTGTCATCCAGCCACCAAGAACTATCGTCTGACTCGGCACCTCATTCACCCTCGACATCAAGCTCACAGCCAAGCGACTTCCAGGTGCCACCCTTGCCAATGTCCAATCCATTGTCACTATGGTCTGCCTTTGAAGGCGACGGCATGGGTATGGGCTTGGGGATGGGACTACTCCCAAGCAACCCATTCATACAACCCAATATGGACAAGATGTCCAATGCACTACTTCCTGATATTGTCCAACAGAGTGGACATCAATCACATCAAACAACACCGACCTTCTCCGAGATGTACTATCCAGAGATACCATGTCATGTATATAATCCAAACATGTATCTCCAAGGCCATGTCCAACAAGGCAATGGCAGTGTCCACCTCAACACCATGGACGCCATGCACATGATGGGCGGCTTCACAATGGGCAATCACCAAGACGACAACTACCATATGTCGTATCCAGTGGCGCCAGATACATCATCGCCATCAACAACCACTACCACCACAACTAGTACAACTACAACAACCGCAGCAACAACAACACCAACTCAACTGACAGCAATCAACAACATTGGGTCGACCTCTTATGATGGTCTCATGTCTCCACATACAGCCAAAATGTCACCTGGCGGCAACAGACATCATCCATATTCACCGGGCACCATGCACCTTCAATCAAGAACAATGAATGAATAAATGATTGAATGATTGAAGATAGTAGTTCATTGAGTGCGAGTGTGTGATCAACCGAGATGCTTGAGTTTGATATCCTTGATGGTCTCGAGTAGACCTACTTTGCAGTCCTTGGCTGTCTTGAATGGTTGGTCGAATGGCACACGCACATCAAGCCACTCTTCCGTACCTTTGCGCTTAGCAATGCAGTTGAAGCCAGCACTGTCTACAAAGTACACGAAAGCCTCATCGATCTGAATGTCTCCATACTGCTCGCAGATGATGCGTAGTGCTTCATGGTGCTCGCCATTGAGTGTCTCGATTACATCGCGTGATTCGACACACACCTCGTCGACAGTGGCTGCGTCAAAGTCGCGCATGTTGACACGAGTGGTCGACTTGCGCTCGTAATGATAGATGTCAGCAATGTCTATTTGATACAATGAGTAGTCGCCGCTATCGATCATCCTTGCTCCGCCAGGGTGTTTGGCCAGGAATGATGTCCTGGCCTCAGCCTTCTTGGCCTCATCGTCAATACGTGTGATCCTGCCGCCAAAGTTGACCCTATTAAGCGCGTAGACGGCGGGTGGTCGCTCCTTTGGCGTCAGTGGGTAGACGACCAGCGATACCTTGTTGAAGTGTTTAAAGTGTGCCAGATGGGGATCGTCCTTCTTCAGCAGAATGACCGGTGTCAGCTTGTTGTTCTCGCCATGCACCACGCTGTAAGGGACGATTGAGCCGTAGACTGGTGACGATGCCTCTGACTCCATCTTTGCCAGCATGTTCACCGATGACAATGTGCCAGACTTTCTCATCAGCAACAGTGAGCGACAAAAGTCTGGACGATCCAATGGTGATGTACTTGGTCCAACCTTTGACTCTTCCTTTGGTGTCTCTCCACTATACATATCGAGATACTTGTCGCCAGTGCCCTTTGGTGGAGGTGTCTGTGTCTTTGTATTTGTATTCATATCCTGTGCACCTTTTGGCGGTGTTGTAGTTGTAGTGAATCTACATCGTTGTACATTGTTGTTTAAGTGACGATGATTTATGTATGAAGATGAAGAAGTGGCGAATGCATTGGTAGTATTGATAATCCTGACCTTTGTCAGTACATTCATGTGAAGTCTTTGTAACATGTTATCTCTCTCTCGCACTCTATTTATACACTAACAACTCAATCCAATGCCACCCTCCTTTCATTCGTTTAGCTCGTGTGTTTGGCAACACTTGTGTCGCTTGTTTGTTTGGCGACGAAGTTCATGTTTTCAAAGAAGAAGTAACGAACCCTCAATCATACACTCAACCATTCAATTCATTCTTGCACTCATTCACTTATTCAAACCCTCTATCTATCTCTATATCTTATATTTGGAAACAACTACGAGATAACTTGAAGTGAATGAAGTTTGCGATGATCGTCTTAGCGTAGAAAGTGGGAAGTAGATGTTGTGTAGATTGACCATTATTTACTCAACCTTACACCAAAGTGACATGCCCAGGTCATTCTACAAAGCCAAAGACCAACAACAAGCCAATGAAAAAGCCAAAGCCAACCAAGCCATGTCAGTCCATCCAAGATGATCGCGATCTCCAACACACATGACACAAACGCGCAAGTTTGATTGGCAGTAGTTGTATGTTGGGTTGCAGGTGTACTCGTCCGCTTTAATGGATGTATAACTACAAACCAGAAGTTTGTCCGATAGACTCCAGACGTCAGCCAACTCTGCAACAAACAAACAAACACTTTGGGTCCAACCTTTGACCAATGCCATGCATCCTTGGCAAGGGTCTCATCCCAAAGGTGTTGTCAACAACGACTGTCTTCCATCACGTTCTTCGCCAAATGTGGATGTCAACACAGCTTCGTACAGACTTACATTTATACATCAAATATCTGTTGATGGCTGGATGGTAAATGATTCATGAATGCCCAACATACCAAGACACATTTAAGTAAGCAATAAGACATCGGGCCTGACCTGGCCTCGAACATGGCTACCCTTTGACTGGTAAGAGGGGTACGAATCACGATGGGACTTTCATACAACCATTCAAATTATTCATTCATTCATTAATTTGGTCAGTCGAGTCCACTGGCTGTTCTGAACGAGGACCCGACACCAACTTCACCATCCATCTCTCCTGCGATGGTCTGGTCGACCTGACCAAAAATATCTCTCTCTGAATGACGTTCACTTTCCTAAACATCGCGCGAGCGTGCTGTGCCTATCGATGTCTGTTGGCAAATTGAAAGGTTCACGCTCAGTGTTGTGATTGAATGCATCACCGAGCCATCACACATACAACACACACAATCACCAGCCGACATTCTGATTGGCTGTTAGATGGAGGCGCTCATCACACACAAAAAACTTCAAAAAATCGGCTCTGGTGCAAAGCCCAACACTCGACGGGACATCAGCAGAGACAGACCACCGGAAGTGCAGCCAGGTGAGGTGTGAGTGTGGGCCTTCCACTAGCCATAATGCAAACATTGCCAGCCAGTAGATGCGTCGAAAGCACAACGAGTGTTGGCGAAACAGGACAGGAGCCTTGTGGGGAGCTTTGCGTGATTCTCAACCAAACAACTCCAGACAGCAAGGAATGCAAGCAAGCAAGTTGCATCAAACAACAACAACATCACCAAAACAACAAGGAGTATTATCACGTGCCCTCCCGTACAGGCAGGTCATGATGGCTGCCATCGTGTGTGATCAAGATGGAACGAAAGGACCTCCCCCAATCAACAACCAAGCAGGGAATATTATTATTCAATATGGGAAGAAGGTTATGTACATCATCATAAGTTTTATCAAATATCTGTCTCCTTCATCTGCGTCAGCGACGCCAGGACTAACGCTGGAGTCCTATGAGCGCGGGGGGCAGCGGGCACCCTCGAAACCCTTGGCCTCTGGGTACTAAGGTAGTGACAAGTAATCATTCATTTAAGCACGTCGTGTTGTTGGGATGGGAGCGGGCGGGCCCATCAGGTGATTGCTTGGTTGATTGGCAACACAGTGTCGCGGGCGCGCCGTCGTTGCATTTAGGGGAAGCGTCCACATACACAAGCAACCTATTATAGGTCTTCAATTTACACAACCTAATCAAAATCACCAATGCCCAAACGCCTCCCCAACATTGTAGTACATACCTTATCATTCATACAATCATATATTCATACATATACTATACATAGATAGACATAATAATTCAAGGCCCTACTCCTTCCTTCCTTCCTTCTCAAAAAACATATATTCACTCACAATTATAACTTATTACCTGTTGATCATCTTTGGCCCAATCAAACATTGAGACCTGTGGCCCACAAGTTCATCAATCCTAATATTCTCCGGACAGGCGAGGCGCGATTGTTTGACGTTTAACAGACTGACAGACAAACAGACAGACATACAGACAGATAAACAATAACAACAACAACCCAACAACAAACAGTCAGACAGTCAAACAGTCAAACTGTAGTGTGAACAATACAATGTCCACAGCCACCACAGGCGGTGTCTATTTGTTGGCGAAGCCACACAACAATGGTGTGGTTGTCACTTCCCCTGCTGCACATGCTACAGCAACTGCCACCACCACTGGTACTATCACTACCAACCAACAACAACAACAACAACATGCCAACACACATCAACATCATCATCATCATCATGCCAACAACTCAATTGTTGTTGACAGAGATGTAGTTGTTGGAGGAGATGGAGGAGGCCCGATGATCGTGCGGGGCATGTACCCACCACAACCTGGCCTCAACCCACCACAACATGCAGCATTTCCAACACACACATCATCAATCAATCAGACGCCAACAACAAATCACCACCACCTCCACCACCACGCGCCCCCACCAATCATGGCGGCACCAACCACGCACTTCATCAATCACAGTAGTGGTGAGAACAATACCAATAATGGAAATAGTAAGGCGACAACCGTGTCCATCACCGATCCAGAGGACATCAGAGGAAACAACACCAACAGTAACAGCACCAACAGCATCAGCAGTAGCAGTAGTATTAGAAGTAGTAGTAGTAGAGGAGGTAGTAATAATCAGGCGAGGATTAGTAGTGGCATGCAGTCAAACCACGCGCCGCCTTCATACCCAACCGACGTCCATTTTGCCAATCACACGGGCGACCCTGTACCGCCCCAGTCCACGATGAACAATCATCCATCTCAGTATGGTCACACCAACAGCAGTCATATTAATATTAATAATACCAGTACAAGTCCGCTGCAACCACCACTCGCTTTAAGTTGTTATAGTGGTGATGGCAGTGGCAGTGGCAGCAGCAACAGCTGCCAGGGCGTCACGACATGGAACGGCCACAGCAACTGTGGTGGAGATTGTTGTTGTGCAGATGCTGATGGATGTGGTCAGCGAGACCTGACCACAACCAGTGAACAACATCAAGTTACATTAGATGTTGGTGGAGTTGTTGGTGGAGTTGGTGGAGTTGTTGGAGGAGTTGGAGTTGGAGTGGAAGTATGCGAAGCCTCAACTCTATCATCATCCATAATCAATAATAATAATAATAATATTAGTAATAATAATAATATTAATAATAGTAATAATAATAATAGTAATAATAATAATATCGCCAATAATCACCAACATCACCATCATCAACATCAACAAAGTTGTAATAATAGTCACCAAAAGGACATAGTAGTTGAGGACTCTGAAAGGCCCCTCACTGCCAGTCACTACCAGTCTCAAAGTAGCATCAGCCACAGCAACAGCAACAGTATCATCGCCAATGACATTAGCGTCAGTGGAGACACAGACAACAAACCAAACAACAACAACAATATGTTAAATCGTCCGGCTATGGCCGGCTCAATGTCGGTCATCATCCCGTCGACTTCCTTCAACATGACGCCAGTCATGCTCAACTCACAGCAATTCTCTCCCAACTATGCCCTGCGTTGTCAAAAGTCTACAGTACCATATTTCCATGGAACAGTTCATAGGTAGGTACAGTTCATCCCGTGTGGCGGTGATCACATGATATTGGAAGACCTCAGCCCAGGCCCGAATTGGGGCCTCGCCCCCTCACCCCCACTCTCTACAAAACATTTCCATTTCCAAAGAGGGTGGGGTAAAGCACCCCTCCATGCTCGCCAATCATCACGCGTGATTCGCTTTCAAACTTGAATCAAATCACTGACGCTTTGCTCTCTCTTCCACTTCCACTCTACCTTTACATCTACCTCTAACATCCTACAACTACAACAAACCACACAACATCCATCCATCTAGTCCATGCTCAATCAGTGATAGTTCAGCAGCAGCGATCAATGTCAACCAGGCCAATGCACAGTTGTCCCCTCATGTGATCTACAGTCCGCATCATCCACAATCACAGCCACTATACACATTTAATCATCCACCACCACAACAACAACAACAGCAGCAGCAACAGCAACAGCAGTACTATACCACGCCTACCACTTCAATATCATCGACTACTCAATCATCATCACAATCACAACACATGCAACAGCAGCAAGTACTGCACCCACAAAACACACAGACTCAGACACAGACTCAGACCCAGACTCAGACTCAGACACAGACACCACAACCCCTGAATCAAAGCTCACCGATACATTCACCACCGCCACACCAAACACCATACAGCGAGTTGGACAGCGATGCATCACACTCAGCGTTTGGTGGAGACGACACCGATCCATACTCTGTGAGCGACTTTGGCAGCACACCAAGTTTGATGAGCACACCATATGGCCAGACGCCACCCTATCCATTCTCGTCGTCCACGTCGTCGGCACACCATCAGGCACAGCTTATGTCGTCCACGGGCGCCCCCATCATCAACAGCTTTGGCTACCAGATATGCGGCTTCCTGAACCAACACGATCGCCCATGCCAGAGGATTGGCCGCTGTCCATTCCACGATGCCAAGAAGACCCAGATGCAGCAATCGCAGCAGCAGGTGCAGACAAACGGACAACTGGACCAATCAGTCGACGGCCACCAGTCTCCATCGACCGACCCACTCTCCCCAGGCACCAATCAGCAGCAGCAACAACAGCAGCACCAACAGCAACAGCAACAACTTGGCACACATTCTTCGTCATTGTCCTCTCCCAACATGGAGCAGTACAATGATCAGGGCGCCGCGCAAGACGACCAGGCACAACAACAAAAGGCTGATCAACCAAAGAAGAAGACAAAGAAGAAGAAGGATAAGGATGCACCACCCTTTAAGCAGGGATGGTCGCAAGAGGAGCACATCAGATTCCTTCATGGCATCAGCATGCATGGCAAGGGTTCGTGGAAGGACATCGCATGTGTGGTCGGCACTCGCACGCCCACGCAGATCCAATCGCATGCCCAAAAGTATTATCTCCGTCAGAAGCAGACCACAAAGAACAAGCGCAGTATCCATGATCTGTCCCTAGACGAGTTGTTACAAATAGAGAGTACAAGTATGATTGATTGGATGGAAGAATGGAATGATTCCACCCTCATAACTAACATCTCTTTCCACAAACCTTAGACTTGAGTGGCGCGTCCCAGACCAAGTCCAAGAAGAGCAAGTCCAAGTCAAAGAAGAAGGCGAAGCATGTATCTGATGATGATGAAGAAGTTGGCGAACAACAGAAGCAACAGCAACAACATAGGGCACCACAGGACACATATCCTCAGTCCAACGGCAAGGGCCTAAATGTTAGTACCTATGCATATCCGATGCATCAGTCGCATCCAGGAGGCAACTATTACCATGGCAATGGCAGTATAAGTTGTCCGACCACACCATCGGTGATCCCCACACCGATCATCTATGGCGTCAGCAACTCGAGTCCAGAGTTGTCCAACCCGTCGCCCCTGCATATTGCCGCGCCTGGACACTATACCACACCGCCCCTCCTCTCGCCAACCTCTCCGCCACCTCAATCAATGACACGCTACTCAGTTCCAAATCATCCACCCTTCCCTCTTTACGTGCAGAGCCAACAACATCAACATCCACAACACCCACACCACGCGATGTCTCAATCACATCCACTTCCTCAACATCATCAACAGCTTCTTCATCAACAGCACCAACAACAACAGCAGCACAATCTTCATCGGTATTATTCAAACGCGTCAACAGCGCCAACAACACCAACTCAAGTTCCACTCAACCCAAACGTGATGATGAGGTCCACGACGACGACGTCTGGAACAGCGCTGCCGCCATACCCAACATACTATGGTGCGCCTCAGGACATGTACTTCAACGGAAGTTACCCAAGCTCTCCAACCTCTGCTCAAGCGCCAACCATTCAGTACTACACATCACAGCAGCTTCAACAACATCAACAACAACAGCAACAACAACTACAACAACAACAACAACAACAGCAACAGCAACAGCATATGGCATCGACGTCAGCCAACCAACATCCTCCATCATATCAGCCAAACAATGGCCGTGAGAAGCTCGTACATCCAACCAGTGATACCCAGCAATCAAGTGCCGGTAACAATTAACCAAGTAGAGTTCACTGGCTATGGAACTATTCCCGCCAGTTTCCCTGACCCTTTCGTTGGATTGGTGTGGGTTGGGTGGTCCAGTCCAATCCAGACCATCCGGTCATCAATCAAGTTTGTGATTGTGGCCTCGTTGGACATTCACTCGCCCACTCACTCACTGATTCCATGTCGCACGCATGGAAAGACAGTTCGTCGTCCATTCATTGGCATTCTGTCCGTAGTGGCAGGCATGACATTGTGGTGTTATTGTTGCCAACACCGACCAGAGACCCAAGAGTTCATTAAACAAACAGCAATAGCATATACATATTTAAAACTTGATTTACAAGATGTTGGATGTGTCCTCACATCAACTCGCAATGTTGGCAGGTAGGGTACTTTAGTGAATGAATGAATGATTGAATGGATAATGATGGTTGACCCAATGGGGGTGCGGATGTAACTGACGCTTAAACAGATGGAGTGAATGACCATCATTGGTCTTGATGGAGTCCATCACCACAACCACTCACATGCTGCAAACAATGCAAAGATGTCAAAACGACAAAATCGACTTGGATTGCTAAATCGGCCTATTTTGATTGTTTTTGACATCTTGTGACATCCGTTGACAGTTTTGCGTCAGGTCAACACAGATTGATGACTGGTTGTTTGTCATCTATATTTAACGATTACACGATAGAGTAGTCTGTCTCTCTCAATATGTGTGTATGGTTGATATTACCTAAATTAAAGGACGATTGATTGATTGATTGAATGAATGTTACTTGTCTTGGTTGAATTCCAAAATATCCTGCTATGTTGACATGTCAAGTTAATGGGTCCTACAGTGTGAGGATGTGTTTGTCCGATTGCTTTCAGGATAATGGCCTCTTGCCCTTTAGTGGGGACCAAGACGACTTGTCCCCTCCCATCACCAACCCACTTAAACACTAACTTGACACTTACTTCTCCTTTTGCTTTCAGCTGCAAAGATACATTAATATCAATTGATACCAAGTGTACTGTTCTGTTCACAATGACACGATGACACAATGTACCTAGTGTTCAAGTTGGTGTTTGTGTACAACATAGCGATGTATTATGATTTATATGTTGTTAGCCATATAGAATGTATGTAAATGATATGATTGAGGATGATTGTCAAGGGGTGGACCATCCAGTGATGGATAGCACATGAGTGCACTCTCACACTGACCCAGGGGTTCTTGCGTAGTGCAGCTCTGGGGAGGTGAAGGAACAACTCGTGGACCGACCCTATTTATTCTAAGTTCTTGTGTAAGGTCTGAAACTACACCAATCATTATTATTATTTGTTACCATCAATACATTATCTCTATATTACTATATTTGTATATATACATATCAAATTAATATTATTAATATTTCTAATTAATTACTTACTTTTTAAATGGTTGCCTCACAACTTGAAAGCATTGGATTGGATCCGATGCAGGAAGAGTTCCAGATCGATTTGGAAACTCTGGGACAACTTGTCGATGTGCCAAAGAATCCAGAATTGTTAAAAGAGTTGGGTGGACGTGATGGACTAGCCATCAAACTGCGCACCTCAGTGACCAATGGTCTTCCAAACGAGTACAACTCAACCGAAGCCGCTCGTGTACAAAAGTATGTATCCTCTGTCAATCAATCACTCGATCACTCATTCATACATCATACTTACATACATTTGCCAATCAATCAATCAATCCAGGTTTGGAAAGAATATATTGCCACCACCTCCACATACCCCATTATATAGTATCATCTTGGATGCCTTGAAGGACCATATTCTGATCCTCCTTATTGTTGCTGCAGTCGTCTCTATTGTGCTTGGTGCCATTCCATATACTACCGATGATCCCAAGACTGGCTGGATTGATGGTGTTGCCATTCTCGTGGCCGTCATCATTGTCGTGGCCGTTACCTCCTTCAATGACTTTAAGAACCAAGCTCGCTTCCGTGACCTCAACGAGAAGACCTCTGACAAGCAGATCAAGGCCATCCGTTCTGGTGAGCAGTGCCAGATCTCCATCTTTGACGTTCGCGTTGGAGACATCCTTGTCGTCGACACTGGAGACATTGTGTGCGCCGACGGTGTCTACGTCGACGGCCACTCAATCTCTTGTGACGAGTCATCCATTACTGGCGAGTCCAATCCAATCAAGAAGGGCAATGATGGCCATGATCCATTCTTCATCTCTGGAAGCCAGGTTCTCGAGGGCTTTGGCAAGATGATGGTTACCGCAGTCGGCGTCAACTCCTTCAATGGCAAGACCATGATGTCCCTGCGTGTTGAGTCCGAGGACACCCCACTCCAGAAGAAGCTCGCCCACCTTGCCGGCAACATTGGAAAGTTTGGTATGACTGCAGCCGTCCTGTTGTTGCTCATCATCATTCCCAAATACTTCATCGAGATCAAGGTCGACAGGAGAGACATGCCAAAGGAAGCGGCCAGTGAGGTCACCACCATGGTGATCGGTGCCATCACAATCATTGTCGTAGCCGTGCCAGAAGGTCTACCTTTGGCCGTCACCATGGCTCTGGCTTACGGTATGCTCAAGATGTTCAAGGAGAACAACCTGGTGCGTAACCTTGCGAGCTGTGAGACGATGGGCTCAGCCACACAGATCTGCTCCGACAAGACTGGCACCCTGACTCAGAACGTCATGACCGTCGTGACCGGATTCGTCGGCTCACTGTTCTCCGACTGCAACGACATCCAGAGCAAGGTTCCCAAGGAGCTGGCCACCATCCTCACAGACGGCATCGCCATCAACTCCAACGCCTACGAAGGCGTGTCGACCAAGGGCAAGATGGAGTTCATTGGCTCCAAGACTGAGTGCGCTCTGTTGAACTTTGCCAAGTTGTTTGGATGCGATTACCAAGAGGTCCGTCGTCGTCTTGAGATCCAGTCCTTGTATCCATTCTCGTCGGCCAGGAAGCGCATGGGTGTGCTCGTCAAGCAGGACCCCGCCACCAAGACCGTCAGGTTCTACCAGAAGGGTGCTTCCGAGATCGTGTTGGCCCAGTGCACAAGATACATTGATGCCACAGGCGAGACCAGGCCACTCACTCCAGAGGTCTACCAAGAGTTGGAGAATGTGATCACCAAGTTTGCCACTGATGCCCTGCGTACCATTGGTCTGGCCTACCGCGACTACATTGATGATGGTTCAATCGACTTCAAGGATGCCCCAGAGCAAGAGTTGATCTTTGTTGGCATCGTTGGCATCATGGACCCATTGAGACCAGAGGTGCCCGAGGCCGTCAGACAATGCCAGAAGGCTGGCATCACCGTGCGCATGGTCACTGGAGACAACATCATCACAGCCCAGAACATCGCCAGAAACTGTGGCATCCTCACGGAGGATGGCATCTGCATGGAGGGTCCCAAGTTCCGCACGTTGACCAAGCAAGAGATGGACGCCATCCTGCCCAAGCTCCAGGTGCTCGCTCGTTCGTCTCCAACTGACAAGCAGCTGCTGGTCGGCCGTCTAAAGGATCTGGGCGAGGTCGTCGCCGTCACTGGTGATGGTACCAACGATGGTCCCGCACTCAAGTTGGCCAATGTCGGTTTCTCCATGGGTATCTCTGGTACTGAGGTTGCTATTGCCGCTTCCGACGTCGTCCTGTTGGACGATAACTTTGCCTCGATCGTCCGTGCTGTTGTCTGGGGTCGCAACATCTATGACGCTATATGCAAGTTCCTCCAGTTCCAGCTCACAGTCAATGTCGTCGCCGTCACTGTTGCCTTTGTCGGTGCCGTCTCGGGAGGTGGTCACTCGCCACTCACTGCCGTCCAGCTTCTCTGGGTCAATCTGATCATGGACACCTTGGCCGCCCTCGCCCTTGCCACTGAGCCACCCACTCCAGAGCTGTTGGACCGCCCACCCAATGGAAAGGAGGCACCTCTGATCACTCGCTCCATGTGGAAGAACATCATCGGACAATCTGTGCTGCAGCTGATCGTCCTCTTCGTCCTGCTCTACAAGGGCCACGACATCTACGGCAACTTTGTCACCTACAAGATCGTCAAGAACTCTGTGCACCACTACACCATCGTCTTCAACACATTCGTCTTCTTGCAGCTCTTCAATGAGATCAACAGCAGAGTGCTGGGCAGGAAGATCAATCCGTTCAAGGGCATGTTCAACAACCCAATCTTCATCATCGTTCTGATTGCCACCGTCATCATCCAGGTGATCTTTGTCACGTTTGGAGGTAGCGCCACCTCCACCGATCCTCTGTCCATCCAAGAGTGGGCCGCCTGTATCATCACTGGTGTGGTCGCATTGCCATGGGGTCTGATGCTTCGTCTGATTCCAATCACCGAGCCAGTCGTCAAGAGGAAGCTGCCTGTCGACGATCCCGAGACCATCTACACTCCACCAACCTCTGTCGATCAGTCCAATCCACACACCGTCACTGTCACCGGTATGACTGTGAACGGTGCACACCTTCACACGTCCAACGAGGACAACAACAATGAGCGCATACCAATGGTTGGCGCCAACAACAGTAGCAACACACTCGATCGAAGCAAGGAGGTGATTGAGGTGGGTCGCGGATGGAAGATCGTCCGTCAGACTCGTCAAAAGATTCGTATCATCAATGCATTCAAGAACAAACTTACCAAGTCCTCAGTTATCTATTCCAACACCAACCAACTTGCGATTGGCAACTAAATATATATTGTTTGCATTAACATGTTAATAAAGTAATTGTAACTAATATTATGTGTGTTAAAGATCTGAACCAAATGGTACCTTATTTGGTTATCTGATTCCTAGAAGTGAATGAATTTATAAACACACTTATACAATATCATTCAACCAATTCATTCATTTACCCTATTATTATCTCTAGATATATAATATATATTTATAAATATGTTATATGATGATATGCATTATTTACCAAGCGAACCACTTGAAGATGGTAAAACATTCAAAAAAACTTTAAAGAACTTTGATCAATTATGTATGGAAGAGTCCTTTAAGGATACTTTTTCACCAAGTTTCTGGAAGAGTGCAGCAATACTGGCTGTTTATAATTCAAATAGACTGGATAATATCGTTAACGATATAGATATTGTTCAAAGTCAAATAACAAAGTATGGAGAATTGGATCAAAGTTATTTGGAGAATTATAAATCTGGTAGTCAGACTACCAGAGACATAGTTCAGAATTACTTTGTCTTGAAAGATATGTATCAAAAGGCCAAAGAAAGTACAACACTTACTGCAGACCTAATCAAGGGTTGGCACCGAATGTTGACCAAGAGTTCTGAATTTAGTAGTTTTATCAACGGTGGAAAGTTCAGGTGCCAAGATGGTATTATTAATAACCATGTTATGATAGGTTCAGAAAAGATTGAAACACTGTTGGACAATCTTGTAAAGTATTACAATGATTTTAGAACATCAAAAATTTATAGTTATTCTCCATTTGCCTTGGCCGGATGGTTCTCTACAATCTTTATGGCATTGCATCCATTCGACAAGGGCACCATTAGGATGTCCTGCTTGCTTACCAACTTCATTTTGTTCTCTCATGGCTTTTCATTTCCGGTCCCTATCTTTAGGAGTCAGAAAGAATATATTGATGCAGACCCTTTTGATTCTAAATCATCAGAGATGATGAGCTGTATTATATTAGATTCTACAATGGTCATCTACCAGAACCATCTATCAAACAAGTATCTTGAGGAAGAGTTCTCTTCATACCAAGCCGTAGAAAATTCAATTAATTAAAGTGATGTTCAATCATCACAAGTCTTTCTTTTTATAGTTCATATTCATTACATACTTTACATTATATATATATATATACATATACATAACAAGAACAACAATGAGATTTGAAGAAGACTTTCTGAGACAGACTGTGAATGGCATAAAGGCTGCAGAGACATACTTTAGTGATAGGGTGGCTGGGAGGTCGGTGCCTTGGTCAGTTCATCTAAAGTCAGGTACCATCACATCAGCCGAGAATGAATTGATTGAGCGATATGACAAGAAGTCCGAAGCAGACAAGAGGGCAATCTTTCAACAGGTACTACTATTACCTGACAGTAATCACTCTCACTCATTCACTAACTACTTAACTCATAGGATGGTGACAGACTAGCCCAGTTCTTTGTTGGCTTCTTGGGCAAGATAACAGACTTGGACTGTATTCAATATATGTTATATCTAGTAAATGAGATCATTCATAGTATGTACACATTCATTCATTCAATCAATCAATCACTCACTCAATCACTCGCTAACTCAATCTCAACAACTTGTAGTCGAACCTAAAGCATTACAATCATTCGTTAAACTGTCCACTGGTGAACCATCATATACAAGCACAATATTCTTTAGATTGCTTGGTCGTGAGGACAACAATGCTTATGTGAATCTATTGGCTGGAATGACATTGGGCAGCATCTTGTCAGCATCGAACGCTTCGTCAAAAGACCTGGAACACTATGTAAATTGGTCACTGCCACTGCTTCGCAAGACAGATGTTCGCGAGGTCGAAGTTGTATTGGTCGCGCTACAATCCTTCCTCTTGAGCGATCATAATAGAGACACGTTCAGACGACTGCAAGGTACCGAACAGCTGGTAGAGATCATCACTGTTCAATCGACTTCGACTACGCCCGTGCTCACATTGCTCTATGAAGTGCTGTACACATTCTGGATGATCACATACAATCAAGCCGTGGCCAATTGGACCAATGGCAAGGACATCATATCGAAGCTCGTACACATTGTCAAGTCGATCACCAAAGAGAAGATCACAAGATTGGCCATCGCGGCACTACGCAATCTGGTCAATCATGGCAACAACAATGAGGAGATGATTGAGTGTGGCAGCATTCGCATGTTGAACCACCTCTCCAGCAAGAAGTGGGGAGATCAAGATATCGTTGATGACATCACCTACCTTTCAGAGGTCCTTTCACTTGATGTCGCCAGGATGAGGTATGCATCATGTCCCAAGTACTCGATTGATCTTGTTCACTCACTCTCACTCTCTTAATCAACTCAATCACATACTTAGTTCATTCGATAAATACAAAGCGGAAGTGTTGGCAAGAGAGTTGGAATGGTCACCTGTACACAAATCAGAGAAGTTCTGGAAAGAGAATGCCTTGCGATTCGAAGAGCAGTCTCATAGCGTACTCAAGTTCTTACATCTCATCCTTCAAAAGTCAGACAATCCACTACACCTCTCTGTTGCCTGCTTTGACTTGGGAGAGTTTGTCCGTTTCCATCCACGTGGAAAGCAGTATGTATCAATCATTCCACATCATCCCACTCATTCACTAATTCTTCATCATAGGATTGTCGAGGCATTGGGCATCAAGAAGGACATTATGGCATTGATGACCAATCCAAATGAAGATGTGAAGAAGAATGCCTTATTTGCACTGCAAAAGATGATGATCAACAACTGGGAGTACTTGGCAAAGTCATAGACTGTGATCGTTTGGCTAGCACAACTACATGTCATGTTATAAATACAATGTACTCTTTATCTAACTATCTATCTCCCTATCTATAATAAGATGGCGATGATTGCAATGATTGCAATGATCATTCCAATAAGTGATGGAAGAAGGATGTTGGAGCTGGAAGTGGAGCCAGTGGTTGTGGTCATGGTCGTTGTTGTAGGTGCGGCAGAGGTAACCGATGGATTCCTTGCTGATACCATATACTGCTTGATTGTCGAGCTGTATGACTTGCCACCAACAATGTTGTTGTCGGCAACAGTGCAGTCCCAAACCATCACACCCTATGTTATTGAGAGAATGAATGATTGTTAGATCGGGATGTGACCAGTATTGGTTTGATGTACTTACACCAAAGGTTGGATCGTTAATATATTGACCAACGATTGTTTGGAGCTTGGCGACATCGACGTAGCCACTGCCAGCAGCATAGGTATCTCCTGGTGCACCAATGACAATCTTGGTGTTTGGACTCTCAGAGTTGACCCAAATCTTCCATTCATTGTAGTTGAAGTTGTTGCCAGCCAATCCACAGTTGTTATTATAGAACTGAATGTTGATAAAGTCGAACAAACCAGTTGACAAAGCAGTTCCTGTGCCTGGTCCCAAGCTAGCATCGCTATTTCATTGAATGATTGACCAAAGTTAGTGTTTGTTGTTGAGTGATGTGTAATTGATCGAACAACATACGGCTTGGGACACTGTGGAGCACCAGAGATGTAGTACTTCTTGGACTTGTCTGTCTTGGCCAAGTTGTTGAAGGCAACGACAAGGTCGTTGTAATGGGTGGTGTCGCCACCTTCGATGTCAAAGTCGATACCATCGAGTTTGGCATCACCGAATGGTCGTGGGTACTTGGTGTCAGTGCCGCCAAAGAACATGTTCCAGAGGGTGTTGGCAAACTCTTGAGCCTTAGCAGTGGATGCGATTGGATTGTCTCCAGTGGCACCGCCCAAAGACAACATCACAATCTTACCCTGGCTCTGGCAGGACTTGGTGCCCAAACCAACCATTGGACAGTCCATCAACTTTTGATACTGGGAGTTGGGATTGCCGCATTTGTTGGCAGTGTTCAATGTTGGCAACTTGATTGAGGTACCACTTAAGGTATCACCTCCAAAGAATGATACAAGGAAAGCAACATTAATAACATCATAACCAGTACAATAATCGATTAGGTCCAATTGTGACTTTCCTGTTGAGAAGGCTGAGTTCTGGCCCCAATATCTTTGTAATTGATTGAGTAAGTATGATTGATCTTGTGGATTCAGAGTGTGTGATTGAATCATTGTTTGAATAAGTGATGGGTGTGATTGAGTGATGGACTTACCCAACCAAGTTGGTTCCAGAGGCAATGTTGAAGGCTGATGCGGTTGAGGCAAGTATGCCACTTAGTAATAATACAACAACTATATATTTGTACATATTTGTTGATTGAATGTTGATGATTTAATGTTTGATTGAATGAATTGATGAATGTACATGAGGGACAAAATAGTTACGAAATGAGTAGTGTCGCCTAGGCCATTGATGGTATCAGGTAAACCCAATTGGGTCCAATAACGGATCAAACTATTGGATTTATTTGAAATGCCATTCATAGGCCATTATCTTACATCGGGTTCGTGATCAAAAACCGTGCTGCAAATATCAAAAATGATGTTGATCGCGTCAGTGGGCCAAACCACGAACTACTCTGAGTCAAGGGCCTACCCATGGGTCGTGACCATTAATCGATCCAGTCCATTGATCGGGCGAGACTAGCAAATCGAACTTCTTCCAACTATAATTGATTGATGTGATTGATTGACGGAATGATTCCAATCTAGGGCAGTCCAAAGAACTCCCTGGTTGTATTGGTCGTTTGAAGTGCAGCCTCTTGGACTGTGATACCATAGCATTCGGCAAGTGTGGACAATACACATGTTAGGAATGCAGGCTCATTGCGAAGATGTTTGGAACCGGCTTGTGGCTTGGGCTTGTCTTTGGGATCGATGTTGTGCGGTGTCATGTAGGGACAGTCGGTCTCGATCATCACACGACTCAGTGGGATGGTCTTGGATCGCAGTATCTTCCGCAGAGTGTCGCCGCGGCTGCCCTGAGTGATGACGCCCGTGAAACCAAAGTAGAAGCCGGCGGCCAGATAGACGGCAGCCTCCTGCTCCGTGCCTGTGAAACAGTGGATCACTGACTTGGGCATCGTGCCCGTGCTCGTGTACTTGGACACGATCTCCATGAACTTTTGATGAGCGTCGCGCTCGTGAATGAACAGGGGCATCTTCAACTCGATGGCCAACTCGATCTGGCTCCTGAACATGTTGCATTGTGACTCGTGGCTGGAGAAGTTGCGGTTGAAGTCGAGACCGCACTCTCCAAGTGACACAACCACGCCTGGGTTGTTGGTCACCATCGACCTGATATCAGAGATTGTTGTGCGAGGTGCTCGCTCAGCCTCATGTGGATGCACACCAGCCGTGCAATAAAGCTTTGGAGCACCAACAACATTGTTCTTGGCAATGTTTGCAATCAACTCCAATGCTCTCTGGCTTGATCTAATTGATGTACCTGTTATAATAATATGATTGACTCCTTTCTGTTTGATTGATTGAGGTGAGTGAGTGGAATGATTCCAAATGAGTGTGATCGTGTACATACATCAGTGCTCCTTTGTAATATTGATTGGAGGTCACGTTCGAATGACTTGTCAGCCAAGTTTGCGCCAATATCTATAATTGATGGGTAGCGTGCCATTGGCGCGCCTGGAGCTGGTGCTGGTTTGGCTACAACAGCCAAGGGTGGTGCACCAACAGCAGGTACATGTACAGGTACGGGTGCGGGTACATGTACAGGTGCGGGTACAGGTGCAACTCCTTGCACTGGCCTATGTACATTAACTTGTGGTTGATACTGGAATGGCTTGGCATTCTTATCAGGCCTCCTCCTTGACTCCTTTGAACCTAAAACTGGAAAATCGTTATCTGACATCACTTTATATCTCTATCTTTATCTATATACCTATGTATATGTATGTATATGTATGTATATCTTTGGATCATATGACTATTCATCGACTAATCAGCTCGGCCCAGGTGCTCACCCATCATTCATTCACTCACTCACACACTGATCAATCTGCCAATCTTTGACCATTCACAGGAAATTTTGAAGATTGATTGTCGTCAGGTTCGCGACCACTTTGTCGATGTATGAACAAAGTGGTCACAAACAAACAAGACAAGACAGGTTGTAAGTCTGGAGTTTATTAGATCTTTCTCCTTAATAAGAGGTTCTTGGTGACTTGGTAGCCAACGTGATAGCATGCGGTCAACCATGGGATGATGTCAAGAGTTACAAAGATCGAGGAAAAGAGGAAGTATGGCAGAGCGAGTGGGATGATACCACGGCCGTACTCCACCATGTAGCTTTCTCTCTCGCAGCAGTAGCCCTTGGCAACCAGTCTGGGCAGGTAGGAGTAGGTGCCCGCCTTGAACACCTTGGGCGTGAACTCGCCGGGGAAGTAGGTCTTGGTCTCGCCCTGGATCATAAAGTCGTAGACGTCCATCAGGTAGCGGCCCGAGTGGCCCTGCGAGTAGAGTGGCGAGCCGTACAGGATCATGTACTCGGAGAGCGAGCCGTGCAGCACGGCCATCTGGCCCATGGCGCCGCCGCCGTTGAAGAGGATCCATTGGGGCTTGGTGTTGATGAAGCCAGGGTACTTCTTGGCCAGCTCGGCAATGATTGTCTCGAACGCTTGATCGATGGGCTTGCCCACGCCCTTCTTTGTGCACTCGTGCAGGCCCTCAACGTCCAGCACGATACAGCGCAACATTCTGATCTTGATCAACAAGTACACGGACAGTACCAATGCCAGTATACTTGTAGTGATCACAACAACATTCAACTCTTGGTATGCTTGAAGCAAGTCGCTCAAACTATTAATCTTTGGGATATAAGTATCGAAACGATCCATTTTGTTCTTGCTCTCTTTCTATCTATCTGTATTGTTATATGATTGATTGATTGATGTGAGTGTTTGAATTAGTTAGTGTGTTTGATTGATTGGATGGTCTTGGACCTGGGAAAAGAAATGTTGAAAATATCCGTTTGACGAAGAAATCGAAGTTTGATGATCACTCATGAACTTCCTTTTCAGTACAAATGATTTGTCCTGATTGATCAAGATCTATGATCAAGATATATCAGTGCACTGAATGATCAAGATATATGATCAAGATATACAATCAACAAGGGTATTTATTTGAGTGAGATGATATTGAATGATGTTGGATGGAAAGATGGATTGAGTAATAATGCTAGGTACTTCTCGGGTATTGACCTGAATGTTAGTTTGACGTACAGGGGTTCACCCTCTGATTTGTAAGTCCACCAAAGTCTAATGTGATATGTTGTTATATGCTGATTGACCGATACCAATTTCTTGAATAGATTTGTAGCATCCTGTATACATTCTCTCTCATCATTCATTGGTGCTTGGAATTTAAGTGATAAAGTATTGATTGATAATGGCAATAAAGGTATTGTTTCTTTCAATGCTGTTTCAATCCATGTCTCTCTATAAATATGTAAATATTCAACTGACTTTGGAATAGATCCATAATTCAAATAATTCTTTAAATGTAGCCTCTTCAAACTGTTTGGACATACATGATCCTCGCTCCATACATTAATCCTCAACTCTTCCAATCCTTGTGGTAGTGTGCCATCCATCAATTGCAGTTTCCAATTTATATGCTTCAAACGTTTAAGTGAGTTTGGAAGTGTTCCAGGTGCAATGTACTTGGAGTACTTGTTGCCCAAGTCAAGGTATGTGAGTGACTGTGGTAGTGTACCTTTGGTAAATGGTTGATCATATTCTATAAACACCAAATAAGTGATTGATGATGGTAGTGATCCTTCCAACAATGGTTCTTCAAAATCATTACTAAATGTCAATGATTTGAGGCCATTTGGCAGGGTGCCAGGCATCACCATCTTGTTGAAATACTCGCCAAACACAAGTTCAAGCAAGGATGATGGTAGGACGCCATGTCCAATCACATGATCAAACGACCATCCAACGTCGAGATGTGTGAGTGATGTTGGGAGCACACCTGGAAACAATGGATGATTGAACTCTGATCCAAACTTGAGTGAGGTGATTGATGATGGCAGGGAATATTCATTCAATGGTTGATTAAAGTATGAATCCAGAGTCAATGACCTTAGTCCACATGGTAGAGTTCCTTGTTTCAAAGGATGAATATATCGTTTTCCAAAAGTGATTGATTGTAATGATGATGGGAGTGTGTTTGGCATGATCACTCTCTCAAACAAGTCTCCAAATGTAACATCTGTGAGTGATCCAAGCATACTCAGATCAACATCCTTCGAGAAACAATGACCAAACTTCAATGTGGCTAGTGATGCCTTGGGCCTGTCCTCGGCCTCGTCCTCGTCCTCATCAACATCCTGATGATTGAAGACTAGTTTGAAAGATATATGATGATTGAATGAGTGACCAAATGTAAGTTGAGTGAGTGAGAGCGGTAGTGATCGAATTCCCAATGGATGATCAAAGTAAGTTCCAAAGGTGAGAGTGAGGAGTGAAGCTGGGATCATTCCGGCCTCAATCTTCTGATTGAACTTTCCTCCGAATACGAGTGATGTTAAAGAGTCTGGCAGCACATTGGCCATCAGTGAGGCGTTGTACGAATCTCCAAGTATGAGTGATTTGAGTGACGATGGTAATGAACCGATTTGGAACTTTGTGTTGAATGATCGACCCATTGTCAGGGTGATCAATGAGTTGGGCAGCGTGCACTTCTTGATCGACTGATTGAACATGTCGCCAAAGGTCAGCATTTGTAGTGTTGTGGGTAGCGTGCGTGGTCTGATCGCCTGATTGAACTCCTTGCCCAATGTCAATGAGGTGATGGTCGGCGGGATAGAGCCTGCCCATATAGGTTTGTTATATTGATCGCACAACTTCAATGATTTGTATGACTTTGGTATTTGATCTGCTTTGATTGCTGATTTACTTTCCCATATGAATGGTCTGAATATCAAGGTACCATTCATCGACTTGACATATACCCTCCAAACATTCCAACAAGTCAATGACATGCATAGTTTATCGATAAAGTATTCAAGTTCTTCTAATATCTTCTTGATTATTACATGAGGTAATGTATCCATTCATTCAAATGATTAATGGTATATCTTGTTGATTGTGTGTGTTAGCATTAATGATTGATTGATTGATTGAGACTATCCAACTTGATACTTTTGTATCCATAAGCCATCACTTTTGATCAGTTTCTGTTGCAATTCTCAGGAAAATAATTATTTTATTTATTATTATTTGATGAGACTGGATGACCAAAAGCCAAAGTGATGGAACTTGGCGGATAATGAGTAACAATGTCTTTAATAAATTAGGAAACAACTCAACGCAACTCAAAGATAGAGAGTCTAGTCCTTCTTTTTGCGACTTCCATTGGGTGTCAGACTGTTGTTGCGACCGAGTGAGGACGACATACTTGAACCTCCACCGCTGTTCTTCCAATGTACCTCTTGTATCTTTGTAAGTTGTAAACGCACTTCTTTCATCTTGGGACGCTTCTTTGCCTTGTCCACCCAGCATGCTTTCATCAGCTTGCTCAGGTCACTTGGACAGTCGTTTGGAATGGCTGGTCGCTCACCCTTTGTCACCATCACTGGTATTGACCAACTGTTAATGCCACTGTAAGGCTCGGTCCTTGTATATATCTCCCAGAGCACTATACCAAATGAGTATACATCACATGACTCTGTGTACGTATCATTTCTAAACACCTCTGGTGCCATCCAACAACTTGTACCAAGGTTCAACGTCATCTGCTTTGACAAATCAATCGATCTCGATGTACCAAAGTCAATCACCTTTGCCTTTATATCATTGGCGATCAGTACATTGCCACTACATTGGTTTGAGTTGTGTTAATACGTGTCGCTGGCTCCATCTACCTTGGTCTCGCCTGATGACATACCTCTTGAGGTCACGATGAATGATACCATGTGAATGAAGGTATTCCATGGCATTGGCTACATCGATGGCTATTGAGAGCTTCAATGAGTAGGGTAACTCAATATCTTTGTTCAACAGGATGTCTCTCAGACTGCCCTTGGCCACCAACTCGCTAACATGGAACAGGTACGACACCTTCTCAGTGTTGGCGCCATAGAACTTGGTGAAGCATTCATGTTCCAGAAGTCTAGAGAAGGTGTCAGTCAGTCATCGGAAGTGATTGATTGAGTGAATAAGTGATGATGTACATACCCCATGATGGCCACCTCTCTGTCAAACTCTTGTCGACTGAAGCATATGTTCTCCTCGCAGTAGACTTTGACGGCGACGTCGATGCCGCGATAGACTCCTTTGTAGACTTTGCCAGAGGCACCAGCGGCGATTAGGTCACCAAGTACCACCTCGTTGGAAGGTATCTCATTGTACACTTTGATGTTGTTCTCTAGGACGTTGGAGACTATCTCGTCGAATGTCTGATACCTTAACAACTCACCAAGTGTCTTGCCATTGATTAATGCCCTACCTCCTGCAGTTGTGGACTGTGCTGGTAACGGTGTTATGGACGCCATATCGAACACTGGTGCACCAGTTGGGTTGGTCGCCCTGGACCATGTACCAGATGATGAGCTACCAATACTGCTGGTTGAACTTCTTCTTGAAGTTGTCGGTGATGAGTTTGTCGATGATGGAGTAGATGAAGGTGACAACATTGGTGATCCATTATTATTGTTGTTATTGTTGTTGATTGGTGATGTAATTGCAGAGGATGGTGATGGATCACTAAGTATTATGGTACATGTAGGAGTAGGAGTTGTAGTTGTTGTTGTTGATGTTGATGTTGATGTTGAAGTGGTTGATGTATCTGGTATTGGAGAAGTGGTCAATGGCTCAGACAATGGAGACAAGGTAGGTGTTGGAGTTTGTGATGATGGTTCAGTGATTGTAATGGGTGTCTGTTTCTGTGGCTGTGGCTGAGGTTGTACCTGTACCTGTGGTGGCTGTGGCTGTGGCGGTAGCTGTGGCTGTGTCTGTGGCTGTGTCTGAGTTGGCTGTGGCTGAGGTTGAGTTGGTTGTGTCTTTGGCTCTGGTATAGTCTTTGCCTGAGTCTCTGGAGACTGTGGCTGTGGCTGTGGCTTTGGTTGTTGTGGCTGTGTCTGAGTTGGCTGTGGTTGAGGAGATGGTTGTGTTTTAGGCTGAGGTGGAGATGGAAGTGCATCACAATCATCACACATGAATTTATTGTTGGTAAAGAAGTATCCACCTTCGATTGGTAAGGTACACTATATATATATGAGGACTGGCAATGTTAGATACCTCCTCATCTAAGATGGTGAGTGGCCATCAGTGATCGCGACTTACATAATCACATATGAAACATTCTGCATGGTATGACTTGTCACGAGACTTGATTGATGTGTCCAGGATCACATTGGTACATCTGGCACATTTAAGTCCGTACAGGTCCAACTCGCATGGATCACACAACAACTTTCCATCTCTAAAGAAGAATGAATCCAATGATGACTTGCAATTACTACAAACAAAACAATGTTCATGGAATAGTCTACCCTTGGATGTAACCTTTGGTGTATTCCTCAATATCTCCAATTTACAACATGTACATGTTGTTGTAGTTGTCGGTGTTGTAACTGTTGTTGTCATTGTTGTATTATTATTATTATGTACAAATAAATAAGTAGTAAATGTAGTAAGTAAATGATGATAATGATGTTGTTGTTGATGATGATGTGGACTTTGATCGGTTGATCATTGCCAGATCATACTCATCAATCGATCCATCAAACATCCATCCATCCCTCACTCAAACGCTAAATTTGAACTGTTGGTGCGGGGTGCACACCAAAAGTGATGGTTCAGGCCTCAAGCCCTTGTGGGTGTCGTTTCATCACGATCAAAACCCAATCGAGACATCTCCAAGGAGAGTTTCTGAAACACCAAACTACACCTGGGTTGCGCAGAATTGAGTAAGAGGGAAAGCCATCAAAGCCTCATGCCCTGTTTGATCGAATGATTGATGACTTTGGTGATGATTGGTGATTGGAGATTGGTGATTGGTGATTGGTGATGGTTTATATTGATTGGTTACTTTCACTCGAGTGCAAGTTCAGTTCGGGCCTACAACCATATTCTGATTGTTCCATCGACTGAGCCTGATGCGAATGATTGTCCGTCGGGTGAGTACCGACAGCAGTTCACTGGTCCGTGATGTCCCTTGTTGACTTCGATCTCGTGTCCAGTGTTAAAATCGTAGACGTGTACCCAAAAGTCGCTTCCACCTGCAATGAACTTTGAGTTGTCTGGATGTAACGATGCGCAGTTGACTTCAAACGGCAGTGAATATACTTTGAGTGGATGGAATCTATATGTGTTGTTGAAGTTTGTTAGCCATCAGATTGGTCGATTGATTGATTGGTTGTGTGGTCTACATACGTTGCAGCGTCCCAGAAGGTTATCTCGGCTCCTGCTGTGGTGATCAAATACTTCTTGTCCTTGCTGAACTCCATGGAAGAGATGGGTGCTTTGGCACACAGTGCCATGTGAGTGCCCGCTCGAAGATCCATTATCCTGATGATTTCATCGCCACCTCCACTCAGCACTACGTCGTCGTTGTACGCGCTCCACATGGCTGCCTTTATCATACTCTGATGGCCTGGTATCTGGAGAAGAGGTTCGTTCGGCTTCTCCAAGTCGTATATTCTCAATATCTTATCTCCTCCTCCTGTCACTATTCTGTTTCCAAACTGATTGATTGGTTGGTTAGTTGATCCTGAATGTTATGTTGGATATCTTGATCGCCTTACTCTGGAGAAGTCCGCTGTCTTTACAATCGATTGATGTTCGAAGGTGTGTAGCTCTGTTCCGTTCAATGTATCCCATAGTTTACTTGAATGATTGATTGGGCATGGTGTGCAATGAAGTGAGTGAGATGTTCAATCAATCAATCAATCAGTATGTTCTATCTGTTCTTACACTGTATAATCTGCTGATGCTGTCAATGCCTGTGTCGCGTTGTTGTTGAATCTTGAAGACCATACAGCACCCTTATGGCCTTCGAATGTACCTATCCAATCTCCATTGTTTCCATCCCTCAGCATTGGCTTTCCATCTGTTTAATTGATTGTTAGAAATGGTCGCCTGTCACCAAATGGAAGTTGTCGGGTACCTACCTAAGCAAGCTGATATAATGAATAGTCCATCTGAACTCTCATTGCTATATGCCAAGTCTGATACAGGTCGAGAATGACCAGAGCATATCAATGGTTGTTTCATCGTATATGTATGGTATGTATGTATTTATGTATGTAATATATATATTATTGTTGTTATATATATAATGGTAATAAGATCTATATGATTAGATTACTAGAAATACAATGGTAGTAGTTGTAGTGATGATAATAAGTGAGTCGCAATGTATACTAGTGTGATTGATTGATTGATTGTTAATTGTCGATTATGATTGCTATTGTGATTGTGATTGTGATTGTGATTATGATCGATTGTAAGTATGTTGACTATGATTATTACAACAATGTATAAATATAATATATATATATATATAATGAATGATATATAAATAAAGAATAGAGATAAGATTATATATTTATAAAGTGAGATAGACAGAGAAATGATGAAGAAGGATGTTGATGAAACGAGTGACAGAGCCACGATTGAACACGCACTTTGCAACAACAAACATTAAATTTAATTTGCGACGACTTCGAAGTCGACCTCATCATTCTCCATCATTTCGGGTTATTGTGTCGTCTTGTTTGATTGATTGATCAACTGAACGAGTGAATGAATGAACGAATGAATGAGCGAATGATAATGAACATCATGATCAGTACTGAGGTGATGGACGGACAGACAGACTTTGGATATATATGATAGAGACTGCGCAGTCATCTAATTAGATGACTTAGGAAAGGAATGCTATGGTTTGGATGATGCTGGTGGCTTGTAATCAGAATGGTAACACTCTCTACACACAGAGATATACTTGTCAGCTCCACCTATAAGTTCAACGCGATCGTCTTGTACTATTCTCTTGGAGAATGGTGCATCTTTGAAACAGATCATACAGACTGCCGACAACTTGGTGACCATCTCAGACTTGGGCACCAGGTCGAGCACTGTACCAAATGGATTCCTCTGGAATGTTCCATCCAATGCTGCTACAATCACAGTCTTTCCATTGTTTGCCAACTCTTCACTAAAGGGTACTACATCTGTGAACTATCATGTTGTTGTTGTTGTTGTTGTTAGCATGGGCCAGGGCATAGTGATCGTCATATCTACATACGAACTGTCCTTCATCGATACCAATGACATCATAGTCTTTAACATGTAAGCGTGCCTCTTCCAATTTAGTACAAGGCAGAGCAGTGTAGTTCAATCTGATTGAGTGTGTCAGTCAGTTAGCGGGAACAACTACAACCCATAGGCGGGCGCTCATACTTACTTATCATGAGTAAATAGTATATTATCTTGAGTCTCTCCTCCATTGTATCTTGTATCTCTACTGTATTTTATGACCAGACACTTCTTGTTTGCAAAGTTGAACCTCTTTATCCTTCTAATAAGCTCTGTAGTCTGTCGTCATGGTACTAAGTACTTTGAGCTTGACCTCTTCAACTTCGAACGACTACCTTGTTCATACCTTTCCACTAAACATCGGTCCCAAGATGACCTGTATCTTTCCAAATACTCTCTGCATTGTCATTGTATGTGTAATTATAATTGTAGTTGTAGTTGTAGTTGTGATCAATGAATGACGAATGATGACATAATTTCAGTGAATATCATTTTCCTGTCATGAGCCAATGATGAGAACTTGTATCTCTCTTTTGGGTTAACTGTACATATGTATATGTTGGTAGATAGGTAGACTTTATCCATCTATCCATCCAACAATCCTAGCTTTGATACTTTTATTCTTGAGGTGGACAAGATCTCTTATAAAAGATTGAATGTTTAACAAAGTATCTATTGTTTGGTAGTAGCCATGTGAATATATAAAAGACCAACTCGGACATGGCCATCAGTAGGAATATAACAAAGAATAGTATAGCAGCTACTGCAGTCCATCCTATAATAAATATAAATATATTGATCACTATCCTATAAATAAAATATAATACTATTGACTCTGTAGTCATACTATCTCCAACTTATTTAATTATGATTGATTGATTATGGTTAATGTAAGTGTATATATATATAAACTAATATCAATATGATATTATAACCTACTTATATCCATTTGATCCACACTTGTGAATAATTCCTTAATAATAAATGACATTATTACTTAATCAATCATTAATACCTATATATATATCTATATTCTGTTGTTGTGATAATCTAATCAAATAGAGTAATGAGATCCTTCTATGGAAAGTGATGTATGTGTCTATAACACATTAATGACTGATTGAGTGCACTGAATCAATCACCTCCAACCCACATACCCACATAAACACACTTATCCATTCTGATCAATCAATCATACACACAATCCTACTCACTACAAATAAGGGCAAAGTCAGAAGTGAAGCCACTATACTCTATTCACTCTCCAATCACTCTTAGGTGACTCAGTCATCATCATTATGTATAATTCCCATCCAATACAAATAATAATGATACAAATAACTAAATAAATGTAAGTAGAGGACGGTATGACTAAAGTCGGATTGACCTGTTTCCAATGAAGCCACAAGGCCTGGAAACAAAGTCTTTTTTATTCATATAATACAACATGGATTCAGCTGCTGCTTGTCTTTGACAAAGTAGCTGATGGTAGTCGATTCACAACGGCTTCTCTTCATCTGGTACATCTTATCGTCGGCATTCTTGATGATTAAATCCATACATTCATGATCGGACTTTTGGAAGATCACTCCTCCATAGCTGATTGAAATCTGGATGTTGACATTGCCGCCCAGTGCATAGGGAGTGGCAGTCAACTGCTGGATGTACTCGCGGATGAAGCTGTCGGCGCTCTCCACCGAAGAGATGTTCCTGGCTACGATGAGGAACTCATCGCCAGACAAACGAATTGGCATGCAGTCATTGCATTGGTACTGCTGAAGACGAGTCGAAAGGTTCTTCAGCAGGGCGTCTCCGCTCTCATGTCCATAAGTGTCGTTGACCAACTTGAACTTGTCGACATCAAGGAAGAACAGGGCACTGACCGCAGCTCCATCACTGACACCCGAGCAGAACTTTTGTATCTTGTTGGTCAACTGGTACCTGTTCTGGAGGCCAGTCAAAGGGTCGTGAGTGAGGCTATGCTTCAATCGCTTGATCTCCAACTCCTGCTGAGTGATGTCCACGACGACGCCCTTGAACGAGCGACTGGCCGAGTCGAAAGTGCCAGTGAATCTAAACTTCTTGTCGCAAGAGGTCTTGACAATGACCGTGCCGCCCTGTCCGCTAACCAAAGATGACTTGAGCAACTCCTGCTCCAGTGTGACTGGGTCCAAACCAAGTTGAGAGCAAAAGGTACCAATGTGCGTCTGGCTGGCAACCTCGGCGTCGGATGAGGTGCCGCGGACAGCAGAGCAGCCATTGCCACCTGCCAAGAAGGTCTTGACAATGCTGTGAAGATTGTCAAAGCTGATCTCGATGAACATCAAGTCGGGTGGTGATAGGTGCAGTATTTCCTTGATTGTGGAGGAGTAGTGAGATAGTAGGCGCTCGCGGCGATATATAATGTACAGTAATAATGCTATGATACATAATGGCCAGACACTATTGGAGCCAGCCAACGATGAAGATGACGACTGATTATAATGTAGGTAATTGTGATGATTGATTTGTTGTTGTGATTGCTGTTGTTGTTGTTGGACCTGGTATTGGTATGGTGATTGGGTTGGCACAAAGACCATCCAGGCAAAGGAATAGATGTCATCGATTATTTCCATCATGGTTGTTCCTTATATATGTGTGTTGTCGTCTAATGTTACAAACAAATATAATCCATACAAACTGGATTGTTGGATAAGTAAGTAAAGTAAACTATATGGAAAGAAAGGAAGGGAAAGTGGAAGAGATAGATAGGTGAGGGGAGGGAGGAGGAAAAGGAAGTGGTTGTTTGGAATTGTTTAAAGGATACTACTGGATTGCCATCCTTCCTTCAATCCATCTGGATGTTATTTTAACCTGACGCCAAGGAGGTGGAGGAGAGGAGGGAAGAGGGAAGAGGAGGGAAAGGTAGGGATAGGGAGGGACGGGCTGATCGACAATGTGGGAAAGAGGAGACGACACACATGTGTGAGTGAGAGAGAGAGAGATGGAGAAGGAGCGGCAGATCGCCTGGAACGTTCTCGTCGTCACCTGGAAGACGGATGTGTAGTGATGTGACTGTCTATTACGCGAAGCTCACAATGAGAGGAGATTTGGATTACAACATATATTTGAATATTCGATGATGGCAGAATGTGGTGTAGTGATCAGGCATGGAGAAGTAGGTGATATGTAGGTAGGGCTGTCACATTGGAGTGATTGTTGATTGGTTATTGATTGATTGATTTGATTGATTTAATTTGATTTGATTTGATTTGATGGATTGATGGATTGATGGACTGATGTTGGTAGGTACATGGATGTATGAGTGAAGTAGTGAGTGATGAGCGAGTGTGCTGGTGCTGCTGTCCGGTCAGCCGAATGGTGGAGGAGGTGCATCACAAGTGGTGATCGTGGTCCACCATCCATCAATCAATCCACAGATCTGGCAAAGTCAACATTAATATGTTCGTCGTTGTTTGTTAATATTAGCTAATTGTAAGTCATGTCGTCCCCGTCGACTTTGATACACTCACCAGACACATGCACTCCTTCCATCCATCCTCTCCGTGGACATCCGCGACCAGACACTTTCACTCACTCTCTCTCAATCAACTTTATTAATGGGTTGAAATATATATATTTATATATATCTATGTTTGATCTGAGACATCAACGGATGTCCCAACTCCTCCAACAAGCCATACATACATCCAACATCCCCGAGTATGTGTATATACACCACACAAGATAACACTTAAGTGATCAGGATTCCATAAGAACTAGAAATGTGTGCTAGTGTGTATCTGTGATTGATTGATTGATTGATAGTATGATTGAATGCTTAAACCAACAATAATGTGGAAGTGTTAGTTAGTGTCACTAAAAGTGTGGGATGATGATCAAGATCGGCTGTCACACACACTGGCACCCATATAAACAATAATAACGATGATCACTCGGTTTATAAAGCCGATCACTTATGAATAGACATTGATTGGCATTGCAATGCAGCATTGGGAGCGCTACACTTGTTACGACGAAATGAATGAATCAATCCAAACGAATCATAATAATAACAATAATTATAATTACTAAACGATTGTTTTAGTAGTGATTGGAATTGACGTGTACATACTTGAAGGGAGTATGGAAATGGTGTGTATGTTGGTATACCTACCTACATCCAGTATCCATCCCCTATTTCAAACTCATGACACTACCTTACTTAAACTCTTTGAATGATTGTTCACGGAGTCATTGATTGATTGACCCACCATTCGTCATTTAGAATGTAAACATTATCATGACGACAACCTTACGCCTGGTTAGTTGAATGTTTGAAATCGCCAAATTGATCTCCATCTCTCTCTATTCACCTCAGATTGATTGATTGACTGAGATTGGTTGATTGATTAATTGTTTGATTGATTAGTGAAGTGATCTGATCATGTGGAACCAGGATGAATCTCACTCGTTTTCAAAAAGTGATCATTTTGAATCAAAGAAAATGTCTGAAAAATCAAAAAAGCCTCTTTTGATCACTTTGGTGTTAATCATACTTCCGACTCACACTCATTCATGACTCAACACTTACACTTTGTTGTAATAATACTTAATTGTTAACAACTACTACTACTTCTTACTTATACAACAATAATAGTAGATAGTATATAGATAAATATATATATCAAATAGAATAATAATGGAGTTGTCAACCACATCTCAAGCGTACAATGCTATGATCTCTGCAGAGAACTCTGTAAAGGGCAATCCAAACACAGTGATTGTATTTCAACCGATTGGATTCGACACTTCACAGATGTTGCCACCAGGCTCCATCATCACTGATGAGGAGCAAGCGGCACGAATCAAAGACAAATCCATGACCCTCATGTACTCCACAAAGGAAGCATCACTCCTCGATACCCTATTCAAGACAATCGCTCACAATCAGATTGAGTAAGTATCATCATGAGTGAGCGGATGGGTGAGGGAGAGGCTGGAATCATTCCACCCCACTACCCCACCACCCCCTTCCCCACACATCACACTTGTCCCATAAATTAACACACTCATCCATCAGCATCCTAAAGCAGCTTTATACCTTTGTGGGACAGGACGAGTACTTGGCCTTGTCAAAGATGTTGGTGACCATCTCGATTGGATGTAATAACTCATTGAGATTGATGAGATACTTTATACATTGTGATTACAAGGGTATAGTGTCGGGAAAGGCCAGTCCGACGCTGGCCGGCCTAGGTGGAGGCAAGCGTATCTTCTCATTGCCACAGTTGATCTCATTCTTCCTGGAGAAGATTGGTCAGCAGTACATCAAAGACATTCTGCGAACATTCATTCTCCAGATCATTCAAGACAAAGGATTGAACTTGCAAGAGGGTGTCGACGCCACGACCGGCGCACAGCTACACGCCTACTCCAAGCAACTGGCCTCCATCATCACATCAGAGGAGTCAATTGGCAAGCTTCCAGTCCCAATCAAGTAGGTATCACATAGATTTCATGGACAAGTGATCACTCTCACTCACTCATTCACTCAATCACTCAATCAATCAGGGTCGTGTCGATGTTCTATCACGAGCTATGGCCACATGAGGAGGACAATCTGGGAGTATCAAACTTCTTGATCAATACGTTCTTCTCGACAGCGTTCACATCGCCCGAGGCATATGACCTCATTCCATCACATATACATATATCAGCACGATCATCAAACAACCTGGTGATCATTGGACGCATGCTATCACATGCTATCACAGGTGCCTCATGGGACTATGGCGAACTCAAAGACATCGAACCCATCAAACAGAGCATCAAACAAATATTCCGCGAGTCCAACTACTTCAAGACTGTACTCGGATCAAGGTTCTCAACTCAAAGTTATCGTATGTTATGTTATGTTATGTGTCCTAGTGCACTCCATCGATCACTTAATCACTCACTCAATCACTCACTCATCACACCCAACCAGAGTTCTCGAATGAGGCCACAATGCAACAATTACACTTGTTCCATCGATTGTTGTGGCAGAACAAGCAGGAGTTGACATCAATGTTCAAGCAACCCGAGTTTGCTGAAGAGTTTGACAAACTGATCACAAAGCTTGGTGACTACAATGCCAAGATATCCTTCCAATTCCTGGCGCCAAACGAGTTGAGTATGTTTATGACACGCGCCAAACACGATCGATCAATCAATCACTTACTCACTCACTCATCCTGGAATCATTCCATCACTCAAACTCACACAGAGGCAATTAAGAATTACATGACACAGAGGAATGAGGACGTATCTTATATTGGATATATAATGAAGAATGGAAAGAGAGGCCCAGTCAAGAGGGTGTTGGTAGTTGGTATTAATAAGATATTCACATTCAAACATACAAATGGAAAGTTAGGCCGCGAGGGCCACCTGCTGGACCTGGTCGAGATCAACAGCACCACACCACAACAGCTGGAGCTGATCTTCAAGCAGCACAGGGTCAATGCACAGAGTGATGACTGCGACCACATCATCACGTGCATACGTCGCATCTACGAGTACTCGTTCAACAACTGGCCCTACCCACTCAAGATGAAGCACAAGGTGTCGCCACCCTCGCGCCTCGAAGCCATCGCGCCACCCGACCACACTCCAACCAGCATAATGGTGGCGGCGTACAAGTCCTTGTGCGCCTACCACCAGACGCCGGTCAAGCAGACGGTGTGCTGGTACATTGAGAATGCGTTTGTGGGCGATGCCAAGCACAAGGTGTTCAACCTGAAGCTATTCACCAAGCACACTCGCGAGCCACTCACCAACCAGGACCTTGTTCCACTGCTACACGCACTGCGCTATGACTGGTACTTCCAAGAGCTCGTGATCAAGAACTACAAAGTAGACCTCAACCTGCTCGTCTCTGAGATGATCGCACTCCTCTCCTCCAACACGACCTTCAACTCAATCACACTTTCCAATCTCACGCTGCCCAAGGAGTCGTATGTATTGACCACGAGCATGTTCGTTTGATTGATCACCTCACTAACTCGCACTTGCTCATTCAAACTCAGCATGATGATGTTGTTCGATGTGATCCAGAACCAAAAGTCACTCAATCTTACAAAGTTGGACGTGTCTAAGAACTTGTTTGATGAGAAGAGTATTAACTCATTCGTGGCATACCTTCAGTATGGTCAGACTGGCGCCATCAAGACATTGAATATCTCATCGATTGGAGTATCACAGACTGCCATCAAGCTAATATTCGAAGCATTGCGTCGTGGAAGCTTTGGATCACTCGAGTCTGTAGACTTCTCTGGCAACAAACTATTGGACAACTGTATTGACGTTGCACGATGGCTGTCAAACGAGGGATCCAGCCTTAAGGAGCTCAACCTTGCCGATACCCAACTGAAGCCCAAGAGTCTAGTCGTTGACTATGGCAAATCCAAGCTTGAAGTGTAAGTCATCCGGCTGGCCTGGCTTGGACTGATCTCACTCACTCACTCACTCACTCAATCAATCAATCAAACAGATTGAACTTATCAAGGAACATACTAAAGACCAAGGAGGACACAGCAGTACTGAGCCAGTTGTTTGCAAACTTGACAAACTTACAGTCGATATTGTTGGTGCGAACACTGATACCTTCCGACAGCATTAAGGAGTTGTTGAGCTTCATTGATAAGCGTAGATTGACAACGTTCAACATTGGCGAGAATCAATTGGTTAGATTGTCAATCACCAACCTGATCGCATGCTCCGCCATTCACAACATCAAGGTATTGGACCTCACAGAGAATGAGATAACTGATGGGGGTGTCAAGGAGTTGGGCCGTGCACTATACGGCAACCAGAGCATCACCAAGCTGGTCCTGGACGGTTGCTTCCGCGGCAGTCCGGGTGCGCAGCGATCCAAAGCCGTGTTGGCCATCTCCAACTTCTTGCAGTCGAGCAAGACGATCGAGGTGCTAAAGATGCGTGGAGGACCCAAGGCCCAACAACAGTTGCAGCGTTGCATACTGCCTCTGCTCCTCTCGCTTGGATCCGTGCAGTCTCTCAAGAAGCTGGATATCTCGTGGCACATGATGGGCAACCAGGGCGCAGTGGCGCTGGCCAAGGCCATCTATCAGAACCGATCGATCAGGACACTGTTGGTGGACAACAATGGCATTGGAAGCATGGGTTTGGCCAACATCAAGAACTCACTCAAACAGAACTATATCATCAAGGAGATGCCCATTCCAATCTATGACATCCACGATATCTATCGCAATGATAGTAGTACCGGAGTTGAACAAAAGAAGACCAGGTCACTCCTACTCAAGATTGAGTTGTATCTGTTGAGGAATCAACAATACTAATCATTCATTCATTCAATAAATCGATCAAATCAGTGCACTAACTATATCTTTATCATAGATCTTGATCATAGATCTTGATCAATCAGTGCACAGCATATGGAATCATTCCATTAGTTAGATAAATAATATGATTGGTCGTGTATTAAAGAATGAGTGAGCCAATAAAAATGATGAGTATGGCTATGTGATAGTTTCCAAGAAGATGGATAGTTGATGATGGTGATCCATTGGAGGTGCTGTTGTTGCGGCTGAGTAGTTTGGTAGCACATTGATAGTTTGTTGCTTGGAGTAGTGGATTGCCACACTTGTAGGCACAGCTCTCTGGTACGATATTCTTGATGTGATGACACTTGTTCTTTTGTAGACATTGGAAGTAGTTGATGTAGTTGTACTTATCCTCTTGATAGATGTTGACATGTGTCAGACACACTCCACTACCAACATTGTAAGTGTCATCACACATGCACATCATCAATCCTTTTGGATCTTCTGGCAACGTCTGGCAATCAGAGAAGGCTGAACATTTCTGGGCCAGGCTCCTACTCTGGCAAGTTCCATTAATGCACTAAGTCATTGATTGATTGATTGATTAGTGTGAGGCGAGGGCTGGAATGGTTCCAATGTTGTTGGATTGAGTGATTGATTGGAGAGTGTGGGTGTGATTGATTGAGGGATGGAGTATATGATTGGAGTGTGGATGTGGGGGGCTGGAATGATTCCAATGTGGGGAGGATACTTACGGTGAGATTCTTGGATACATCACATAGTTGAGCGGATGGAGCACAGTTGCCTCCAAGGTCCAGGGAGAACTTTTGAATACATTTGTTGTTGTAACATGCGCTTGATGGGAAGCAGGTGTCACTGGACTTGCAATCATCACCATCATTGGTGAATGGTACACAGATACCTTGTGATAGATCCGATGTACTACTACCACTACTAATATTATTGCTGCAGGTCTCGTTGTATCTGCACTGATTCGCGTTGCTACAATTTGGATATCGCTCATTCTGGCATATACCCAATTCACCTTTGACAAATGTTTGAAGTGGTATGCATTGGAGACTATCGACACATTGATGGGTGATGTTTGTGTAGCAGTGTTCGCCAAGGCCTAGATAGTACTCGGGTGCACACACGCCATCGATGCACGAGTAGCTCAGTGCACATCTATAGTTGGTGGCCACGCAGTCGCCTCCTAGACCTGGCAGTGCAACACATCTTGCCCTCTTGTCCGCTTGAATAATACAAGTGGACTCTGATGGACATCTTGAGCTGTCTGGCAAACATGAGTCATTCAATTGTAGGCACATCGGACATGTGTCGGTGAAGATTGCTGTGTTGGCTGTGTTGGCTGTGTTGGCTGGACTGGCTGCTGACAAGTTGGATACTGTCAACACCAACAACGTCGTCAACAAAATAATTGATAGTGATTGTGATTGAGATATATATTTATTAATCATTATGTGTATGTATGATTATGATTATGTGTCGGGGATGAATGATTGATTCTCAACGAACATGAACTTGAACCATCGTTTTCCCACGCGGACACGCTTTAATCTTGATGGTTTTTAAAGGGACCTGATCTTGGGAACACCCCAAAATTTTGATGGGTCACTTCATAGGTCCGCCCATCAATCAATCACTCACACACACACCCGTCACTTTAGTCGTGTGATTACCTGAGCGAATTGATTGTTGTAGGGTGGCTGACCAAGAACACTGTCTCCGCGCTCTTGGACGAATCGAAGAAGAATGTTTCGGTGTTGTTCGATGATCTTGGTCAATGTGGGATAGTCAGTGACCTTGGTCAATGCTGCCAGAACTGCATCAGTGAAGTCGGTCGACTTCCCAACCTGATCCTGAACCACAATACAATTCAGATCGATCAGACCATCGATTATCTCTGCCAGCTCCTTGTTTGATATGTCAGGTTGTTTGTGTCCATGTACATTTGGCTTGGCCAAAGAGTTGAAGCTGGTGGCATTGATTGACATTGAATACAACTTGTCCAATAACTTCCTTAATGTTGGTGTATCGTTGTTGTTGTTGTTGTTGTTGTTGGATGATGGTGTTCTTGTTGCTTTTCCAAAGCAATTAATAATACCTTTGAACATAATAAATGTATGTACTCCATTGTCAAGTGTATCAATGATATACTCCTCGCAAAGTTGGTAGTACTACATGTATGATTGAGTGAGTTAGTGAGCGATAGTATATGAATGAATGTATGAATGCATACCTTTAGGAAGGGAGGTCCAATGAGAGTGATCAGAGTGTTGATACTCTGGTGGTCCAGTCGATGGAAGAATTGGAGACATTGTTCAATTGGTTCGATGAATTGATGTAGATGTTCGAACCATGTATCAGGCCAATGATTGGAAGTACTGTTGATCAATGATGTCAACAAATCAATCAAAACTACCTGATTGGCTTCCTTATTCTCTGGATCATTCAATACTACACTCAGCACTCCACTTAGTCTCTGAGGTGATATCCTATCTACACTCTTAAGTAAATGACGTTGATAGAACCTGATTGATTGAGTGATTGATGGAGTGAGTGATGTCAGTGATTGATCGGAATGATTCCAAGATTGATTGAGTGATTGAACTTACTTGAGTATGTATTGTTTGTTTTCTTGTAACAATTTTGATGCTGCCTTGTTGGGTATGGAGTTGAGATAGATTATACGATTGACTGTGAAGCCGACCATCTCTTTTTGCTCGGAATGTGATAGGTAGCCTTCGAAGCGGGGATCGAGTGGTATCATGAACCATTGATCCATGTGAAGCGATATAGCCTCCCAACCAAACAATTGGATCAACATTGGCATTATATCTACACTGTACTCTAGTAGTCGTATATACTTGTTGATGACCAGATTCCTTTTGTGATCATCATTCTCTGTCTCGTTGAGCAACGTGTTGATGTGCTCAGGGGTGGCGAGGAAGGGGAAGGTGTGCTCCTCTGTGCCAAAGTATCGATGAGATGGTATCTTTTCATCATCCAACTGAGACCTCCACAGGTCGAGCAATGCCAGTGTTATGTCCATCAGGTTGACCTTGATACCAGGCAACGTGGACAGTTGTCTCCAGTCCAGAGTGCCATGCTCCACTGGCGGTCTTTGATATCCAAAATGCTGGCTATCTTGGGGCAATGGTTTAGGTGATGTTTGGAAACTCCAAGCATCATTCTTATACTTTACACTGTGTATCAATTGATGGATTTGAGTATGTAGTTGTCCAAAAGTCTGATTGCTTCTAATCTGTTTGATCATGGTGTGTGAGTGTGTGATTGATGATCAATCAGAGTCATAAGCGATGCCTCACTCTCGAGGACTTGTTGAACATACTTGTGAAAGATAAGGAAGTAGATTGAGCAAGATAGCTACTTTGTCTTGATTCAAAGGTTCTAAATATTGTTGAAATGCAAAGAATGCACTATTTATTGTCAAGTGATCCTCGATACTGATTGTTGTCCCATAAGGTATACTGCTCAATCTCTCAATCACATTGATTGAACTTGATATAATCGTATCCATATTATTATTATTATATGTTAAGCTGTGTTGAGTGAATTATTACAATAATACACTTACATAGTTGATTGTCACATCAAATTATACTACCAAATGAGGGAAAAACGAATCCAAGAATATCTAGATTTTGATCAAAAAGTTACAAAGGACCTCAAAAATTTCCATAATATTAGGATGTTATTGATGATTATTGAGTTGGATCGATAGAGATATGCTGGACTTTCCGGGTTGACAAAAATGTAGATAAAAGTGGAGTACACTGCACTGTTTACTGACAACCTAACATCGAATGTTATACTTGTACAGTCTTTATACTTTAAACATAGTTGTTCTATTACTTTGAGTGTTATATCCATTCTTGTTGGTTGATTAATTGAATGAATGAATGATCTTAGAGATCATCAACTGATTGATCAATTTGGTTTCCCTCATTTCATATTTATTATTTTAATTTTGGAGATATTTTGTTTATTGATTGAGTTGGAAAGGACGACAGGGACAACGCTGGAATGATCGATAGAGATTCGGACTATCTGGTTTGACACACATGTATATGGATAAGGTGGTCAGAGTTGAGGAGAATATTGTTTGATCCAAATGATTGAATAGTGTCTGCAATTGATTGTAAAATACACCAGTGACTGAATCTCGGGTCATCATATCTATATCATCTATATATATATTGAGTGTTCGTATTGATGTTGGCCAATACTCTGGAAGCAATGGTATACTATCACCCAATACCTCAACATTCAATCCTAATGTTGTGATCACAATAGCATCTGATGATTGATCACTAAAGTATTGATGGAGGTCTTTGGCATGCCTCTTCAGAGCTTGATAATGTTGAACAATGTCAAAGTCGTTTTTTTTGCGCTGGAAACTTCTTTTAAAGATGATTGGCCAATCAATCTCGCCAACATTGTTGAACATTGTTTATGGCACCTTAATAACTCCGTAGTATTCGTACCCGATCATCAGTCTGCTGACAAGTTGTGGATTGCGTGATGCCTGGATGTCAATGTTAAAGAAATCACGAGGTGAGTGATAATGAACATAATCTACAACTTTTCCTCTGAGAAGGAATTCGTCGTCATAAATAATAATATAATGGCCGTCGTCTATCCATTCCTCGCATTTTGACCTCAAATCCCATGTGAAGTTGAAGCGGCCCTTGAAGTGCTCAGGTGGAGTCGGTGGTCCAGCAGGTGATCGCGAGACAATCTCAATCGATTGAACATTGCTACTGCTGTTGTTGGTGCCATCACCAAGGTAGAACTGGAACAATTGCGTGAAGAATTGGTCAGTGCAGTGACCCTCCACATCTCGATTCACTTGGCTTATTGATATGTTCGTTGTTGCAAACATATCACCGACGTTCACAATAAACATTAGTATTCTCCTTAGGTTCCCTCTGTGAGGGTGATCTCTGTTCCAGATTGGCTCCTCGAACTTGATGTGCTTGACATTTGGTGCTCGAACCTTGATCAAAACAATCCGGCAAATTGTTATGAGACTGATGGGCACCAACAATGATTCAAGTCGATCGAGGCATGTCTCGAGATGTTCTGATGGTATGTACTCCAAGTCAACTGCATTGAGATGAAGTGGTGGTGACTTGAACAGACAATGTTTGGACGGATCCAATGTGAGTGATCATCGATCGAATGCTCAATGTTGGTATCACATTGTTTGACAGAACACTGGACACTGCTTGATGGAACTGTGATGACACGGTGGACAGTGTGACAATCCACTTGGAGTCCCAGGCTCGATCAAACACCAGGAATGTCACAATGTGTTTGATGATCAATCGTGAGAGTGATTGGAGCGTGATTGATGCCACACCATCAATTTGTGTTGAGTTTGGCTTTGATTGTGCCTTTGTGTGGTATGGCCTGGTCGCATTGATGTATGCAGTGGCAGGTGATATCCTCTTGAATTGTTTGTAGAGTTGTTGTTGATGTTCAAACACGTCATCTCGTTGGACATTCTCCAGAAGTTGGCTCTTTGTAGGGATACCTTTTTCGCGACCTTGGAACAGATGTTTGAGGACATGTCGATACTTGAGAAGATGGAAGATTGGTACAGGACGAGTGCATGCATCGGCAATCTCGGTATAACCTTGATCGCCATAACAATCCATGCGAAGCTCACGGTCAATGTACTTCATCCATACTTGTCGGGGTTGGGACAGGCATCAAAGAAATGACCATACTCCTTAAGTCTATGAAGTTGCGCCTCGGTGACCTTGTCTCTGAAGAGTTGTGCGTCCAACAATGAATGACGAGTAATTGCCAATATGAATGGAGTGTCAACAGGTGTCTTTTGGACAATATCTCTATGTCGAACAATGAATGATTCGATTGATTGTCTGTGCTTGTCGATGATGTCATCTTCATTTGGTGCACGGTATTGATTGACTCGCAACAATGCTGTGATGCCAGCATCCATGAAGTCTCTCCATTGATTGTATTTCTCTTGATTCATCATCATCAACTCGGCCACACCAATCAATCCATCGATAATCATGCCAAGTTGAGTGTCCAAGATTCTATCATGGGGTCTGAATGAATATTGTGATCCAGGTTCAATCTTTGCCTTTATGGTCTGTTTGGCTAGAATGGAATATTGGCCCCAAGTTGAACTATATTGATTAGCAAGCTCCAACTGTCGTTGCTGCTCTTGATACTCTTTAAGTGCCTGTTCCTGTGTCTTCAATATTGCTTCCATTCCTTTGTCGGGATAAGACTTGACCAGACAGGCAAAGGTGTTGGTGTTGAGCGGTAGTCCATGAATATAGTTCCAGGATTGCACCACAGTCTTCCTCATTATTCTTGGACCCAAAGGACACTCCCAAGAATTTGGCGATACCTTGGAGCAAGATGAGTTCCTCAAGTCCCTTTTCAAGCGTCCCAACAATGAGTTGTTCGCAATGTTTGTAGTACTGATCATCATGTTAGATTGATTGGTTGATTGATTGATTGAGTAGGTGCGTGATTGAGGGTATGTGAGTGATAAAGTACTACTTACTTGTTTGAATGATGGACCCATGCGAGTGATGATTGTGTTCATGTTGGAGGTGTCGAGCAGATGGAAGAATCGAAGACATTGATCGATTGGTTGGATGAATGGTTGGAGCAGTCTGAAGCTAGGATCGATCGTATAAGTCTTCTCCAACATGTTGATCAACCATCTTTGGTTGATATCATGGTTCTGTGCGTCTTCCAAGACCATGCAGAGCACATCCGACATCTGTTTGAATATACTGTCAACACTGTAGCCATCTTGAAAGAGCAAGAGGTCCAGCACATATTGTTTGTGGTTGGTCAACAATGGTGATGTGCACTTGTCGGGAATGGCCCAAAGGTACTCGAGCCTATCTCTATAATAATGCCTATCTTCGAATGCGTGACTCTTCCACACATCATCAACCGTGGGTTGCTCGAGGAACCATTGATCGAGCTCAGTCTGAACTTTCTCCAATCCAAACACTGATGTCACCTGTTGATACAAGCTCATGTTGAGCTTCAACAACTTGATGTACATGTTGAAAATCTGTTCTCGTTGGGTATCACCATCACCATGTTTGGCGATCAAGAATTTGAATAGCTGATCAGAGAGCAGGTATAACTTGTCATATTGTCCACCCATACCTCGAGTTCCATTGTGTCCATTATTGGACCATATGTTCACAAGTGGAATGGACACATCGATCAAACTGACTTTGATCTCTGGCGTTGATTCGAGGTGACGCCAATCGATTGTGATATCTGGTGTTGTTGGTGGTGGTGGGGGCCAGATGTCCCCTGTTCTTGGTGCCTTTGAGACCCATGCATCGGTTTCGAACTGGATAAGATTGATCATGTCAGTTGTCGCCAATTGATCGTTATGTCGTCTCTATGGACTGCCTGTGTTTGGTTGCGGTATGATGGATACTTGGCCACCCATGCAATCGAATCAAACTGGATGGACATGATCAAACTCTGGATTTGAGTTACCATCATATGATTGATGATCATCGGATCTCTAATCAACTACATTCATCATAGTGGCAATGCATTGATCAAATGCACTGCATTGTTGTTGATTGTTAGATCGGCATGTTTTCATAATGAATGTAATGCGCTGTTAATCGACAACCTATGGGTCAATGTTATACTTGTACTCTCCTTGTACTTGATCCATAACTGTTCTATTTCTTTTAGTGTTATATCCATTCATTCATTCGTTGATAGATTGATCACTCAAATTCAAGGAATTTATTTTTGTTGATTATTTTTGATCGATCACTCGCATAACTTGAGTGCACATCTTGGACAACATCTCTGGAATGATCGAATAAGAATTGGCTGATCTCTTTGGAACATCATGTATAAGGATACATTGGTCAGTGTTGAGAATATTGGTTGATCAAGATGATTGATTAGTGATTGGATTTGAGTTTGAATTGTTCCAGCGATTGATTGTTTGACCAAAGTCTCCTTTTGATGTAAATAGATATTGAGTGACTTGGTCGATGTTGGAACCTCTGGAAGCAATGGTATACAGTCACTCAGCAAATCCACTTTCAATGTCAATGTTGCCAAGTGTTGTGATGCTGATCGATCACCAAGGTATCGATGGAGATCTCGTGCGGAGTCGTGAAGTGCCTGGACTCGATCGTTTTGTGGTTGGCTGTGGTAGTATAATGGCCATTGTAACTCGCGTATATTGCTGAACATGGACAACGACTCTGTATTGATTTCACGGTCTCCAACAATGAGTGTGCTGACATGTTGTGGATTGCGTACAACTAGAACCTCGCCATCTTCCAAGTTAAAGTATTCGTACATTTCACGGTGAAAATTATCGTCGTATTCATCATTGAGACTGTATCTGTCATAGACCCATTCCTCAGAATCCACACGCTCCGACGATGTTTCCAGATCCCATGTGAAGTTGAAGCGGCCTTTGTAGTGCTCGGGTAGTGATGGTGGACCGACAGGTGAACGTGAGACAATCTCAATCGATTGAACACTGCTACTGTTGTTGTTGTTGTTGTTGTTGTCGTTGAGGTAGAACTGGAACAGTTGTGTGAAGAATTGATAGGTGCATTGTTTATCACTATCACGATTTACACTGTTCATTGATACTTGTACACCGAACTTGTGCCAGTGCTGAAGGTCATGTAACAACGCGGACTCTCTGGATTGCGTATTGCGATCCATTGTCTCGTTCCGATCCTCGAACTTGATGTGTTTGACATTGGGCGCGCGAACCTTGACCAACACAATCCGGCTGTATGTAAGGAGACAGATGGGCACCTGCAATGATTCAAGTCGATCGAGGCATGTATCGAGTTGATCTGATGGTATATGTTCCAAGTCAACGGCATTAAGATGAAGTGGCGGTGACTTGAACAGACAATGTTTGGACGACGGCGATCCCAGGTGAGTGATCATCGATCGAATACTCAATGTTGGTATCACATTGTTTGTCAGAACACTGGACACTGCTTGATGGAACTGTGATGACACGGTGGACAGTGTGACAATCCACTTGGAGTCCCAAGCACGATCAAACACCAGGAATGTCACAATGTGTTTGATGATCAATGTTGACAGTGATGGGAGTGCAATCATCGGCACATATTCATCAGTTGGTCCTGATTGTTCCTTGGTGTGTCCAATTCTTGTTGCGTCCAAGTAGGCCCTGGCGGGTGATATCCTCTTGAATTGTTTGTAGAGTTGTTGTTGATGTTCAAACACGTCATCTCGTTGGACATTCTCCAGAAGTTGTATCTTGGTGGGCATGTTCTGACGGCCATTGAACAGATGTTTGTGGATATGTCGATACTTGAGAAGATGGAAGACTGGTACAGGACGGGTGCATACCTTGGCAATATTGGAATAGCTTTGAGTGACAAAATGCCAGTTTATCATTTTGTCGATGTATTTCATCCACACTTGGTCGGCGTTGGGACAGGCATTAAAGAAATGAACATACTGATCGAAGTAATAGTCTGATGCTCGTGAGATAAACTCACTTAGGGTTTGTTCGTCCAACATTGAGTGACGGGCGATAGCCACCAGGAATGGCTTGTCCACCCGAGAATGATGTCACGGTGCGCCACAACGAATCGCTCGATTGATTGTCTGTGTTTGCTAATGATGTCATCCTCATTTGGTGCTCGGTATTGATTGGTTCGCAACAATGCTGTGATGGCTGCGTCCATTATATCGTTGGCTCGATCATACTTCTCGGGACTCTTCAGCATCAAATCTGCCACGCCAAGCAATCCATCGATCATCATGCCCAGTTTAGTGTCCGGGATGAATGCATATGGCTTTAACTCAAACTTTGATGGGGGTGGCTGTGGTACAACTTGTGGAGCCACGAACGGCAGTTGATTCGTTGGTGTCGCTGGTGTCGGTGGTGGTCTATGTGCCCTCGTGCCAATTTGATTACCATAGGTCTCCGATTTCAGACGTTCAAATGTGTTGGCATTGAGTGGCATCCTGTTCATTTGATCCAAGAGTCTGTCAACAGCGTTCTCCTCCAGGATGCCATGCCTCTCATCCATTGCGCACAAGGATTTAATGATACTAGGTAACAGAACCAGTTCATTCCACCCCTTATCAAGAGTCGCCAATATCAATGACTCGCAATGTTTGTAGTAGTGCTATTGATTATGTGGTGGAATGATTCCATGTGAGTCAGTGTTTGAATGATTGAAGGAGTCATTTTACTTACCTGTTTGAATGATGTACCCAGAAGAGTGATGAGCGTGCACATATTTGGTATATCAAATTGGTGGAAGAATCGGAGACATTGATCAATTGATCCAATCTGGGGATGGAGCAGTCTGAATCCAGTGTTGATATGACTCCAAATATGATTCCGCCCAGCCATCTCATCCAGCTTTTTGTTTAACCATCTTTGGTTGGCATCGTAGTTGGGTGCGTCGTCAAGGATGACGTTGAGCACTTTGAATAGTTCATTGAACTCCTCTCTTCCATCGTTGATACCACCTACAAAGCGGTCCAAGAACTCAAGTACCTCTCGTTTGTGATTGATCAACAATCTTGATGTGGCCTTGTTGGGTATGTCCCATAAATATTGTTGTGTTGCCATGTAATAATATCTAGACTTGGATGATAAAGGCTTCACATAATCATGATCATTGTTTGTGTTTGGTTCGAGGAACCATTGAATGAGCTCAGTCTCGACACGCTCCAAACCAAACACCGACGTCACTTTCTTGAACAAGTCCATGTCATTGTTGTGCTTCAACAACTTGATATACATATTGAATATCTGTCCTCGTTGATCGTCATCACCAACTGCATTGGCAAGGAGGATATCGAATAGTTCACTTGTGAACAAGTATAGACATGTGCTTGATCTAGGTGACTCTCCAATGGCCTCCCATATGTCTACAAGTGCCATTGACACTTCGAGCAAACTGACCTTGATGCCAGGTGTCGATGTGATTTGTCGCCAATGGATCGTGCTTTCTAAACTAGTGCTTTCCATCTTCTTTGAAGACTTGGCCACCCAAGCCACTGAGTCGAACTTGATCGAAGTGATCAATCGTTTGACTTTAGATACGAACTGATTGATCATACCACGTCTGATCACCTACATGTATGTGTGTGCAGGGGGAGAGGGTAGGAATGATTCCAATCAATCATTATTGATTAGAAAGAGTTGATGATGATCATAGGCGCAATGTCACAATGTTTATAGTCATACATACATTTGATAGGAGTGGCAATGCATTGATCAAGTGCACTGCATTGTTATCAATTGTTAAATCTGAATGTTTACACAATGAGTACATTGCACTGTTCATTGACAGTCCAACATCAAAAGGTATTCTATCACAGTCTTTGTACTTGATCCATATTTGTTCTATTACTTTGAGTGTTATATCCATTATATGTATGTTTGATTGATTGGTTGAATGAATGAATTATAATTCACGATCGACCAAAACGAATGACCAATCAGTTTCCCTCATTTCAGTGGAATTTATTCTAATTAATTTTGGATATTTTGATCGTGCGCGATCGATCACACATAACTGGAATGGACATCTTGCACAACATCGATTGAATGATAGGAATAGTATTGGCCTATCTCTTGTGGAATTAGTAAATATTGATATGTTGATCATTGACGAGAATATTGGTTGACCCAGATGATTGAATAGTGATTGGATTTGAGTTTGGAGTTCATCGGTGATTGATAGTTTGGACAGTCCGGCCAGATCGTGGATATATATTGAGTGATTGGATTGATGTTTGAATCTTTGGAAGCATTGGTATACAACATGTTATTGTTTTAACATTCAATACCAATGTTCTCAGGTGTTGTGATGCTGGTGACTGATCCTCATTGAAAAAGGACTGATGGAGCTCTGCACGACTTTCCTTTCCACGAGCATTAAATCGACACAAGGGCCATTCTAACTCGCGAACATTGATGAACTCTGTTATTGGACACTTGTTGAATCTGCTATGCTGTCCAACAATGAGTGTGCTGACCAGTTGGAGATTGTTTGGTGTATTATCTTCAAAGTACTCTGATAAATCTATTTTATCATCTTCATCCTCATCTTGATATTCATCATCATCCTCTTCATCTTCATCTTCATCATCTTCATATTCATCTTCATCTTCATGATAGTTATTGTGGTCATAATGCCATTCACTTGTTGAGAGACGATTTGTTGCGGCCTCCATGTCCAAGGTGAAGTTGAAGTGACCTTTGAAGTGATGGGGTGGTGATGGTGGCCCAACAGGTGATCGCAAGACAATCTCAATAGATTGAATACTGTTGGCGCCTTCGTCGTTGAGATAGAACTCGAACAGTTGTGTGAAGAATTGATCGTAGCAGTGACCCTGACGATCTCGCTTCACATGACTCATTGACACATGCGGGCTGAATCGTGTCCATTTAGAGCAACGCGAAAACATGTACTCGTTGGTTCGATGATTCTGATCCTCAAACTTGATGTGCCTGACATTGGGCGCGCGAACCTTGATCAGCACAATCCGTTCGTATGTTAAAAGACTGATGGGCACCAACAATGATTCAAGTCGATCAAGGCATGTCTCGAGATGTTCTGATGGTATATGTTCCAAGTCAATTGCATTGAGATGAAGTGGCGGTGACTTGAAAAGACAATGTTTGGCCATGGATGACGACGATCCAAGGTGAGTGATCATCGATCGAATGCTCAATGTTGGTATCACATTGTTTGACAGAACACTGGACACTGCTTGATGGAACTGTGACGACACGGTGGACAGTGCGACAATCCATTTGGAGTCCCAGGCACGATCAAACACCAGGAATGTCACAATGTGTTTGATGATCAATGTTGATAGTGATGGGAGTGTGATCGATGTCGATGGCACACCATCATCGAGTCTTAGACTTGGGCTTAACTGTTCCTTCTTGGTGTGATATGGCCTTGTTGCGTTAAGATATGCAGTGGCAGGTGATGTCATCTTGAATTGTTTGTAGAGCTGTTGATGTTCAAACATGTCATCTCGTTGGACATTCTCCAGAAGTTGTAGCTTGGTGGGCATTTTCTGACGACCATTGAACAAATGCTTGTAGACATGTCGATACTTGAGAAGATGGAAGATTGGCTTGGCCCAAGTGCAGTTGCCAATAATTTTGGAATACCAATAATATGTGCTAGACCGGAGGGCTGGAAGTTTGTCAATGAATTCGATCCAGACTTGGTCGGCGTTGGGACAGGCATTAAAGAAAGGAACGAAAAGTTCAAAATTAAAGGTCGATGACTGGGAGCTGATGTCTATGATGAGTTGTGTATCCAACATTGAGTGACGGGTGATGGCCAACAGGAATGGATTGTCAGCTGGTGTCTTTAGAATGATATCTCTTTGCTCCACAATGTATCTCTCAATTGATTATCTGTGTCTGTTGATAATGTCCTCTTCGTTTGGTGCACGGTATTGATTGACACGCAACAATCCTGTGATGGCTGCATCCATGAGGTGGTGGAGTCGACCATACTTCTCTCTGTGTTGAGGATCGGCCATCATCAACTCGGCCACGCCCATCAATCCATCTATGATCGTACCTAGTTGATTGTCAATGATGTGTTCATACGATTTAAATACAAACTGTGATATGATCGGCTGGAGTGGAGTGTTCGGTGTTGGTGGCGGTCTTTCTGCCCTCATGCCACCACTGACTTTGATTAGACATGCAAAAGTGTTGGCATCAAGAGGTATTGAGTTCATATGATCCAGGAGTAGCACTGATGAAGATACTATTGCATCCACTCCAAAGCACTTAATGATGCATGGTAACAGTATGAGATTCTTCAATCCCCCATCAAGCGCCGACAAGATGTATGGCTCACATTGTTTGTAGTACTGATTGACCATCATCAGATTGGTTGATTGATTGGAAGTTAGTGATTAAAGTGATGATAATAATATCTACTGCTTGCAGTAGATACATACCTGTTTGAATGCTGGACCAAGACGAATGATGAGAGTGTTGATGTTTGGTGCGAGCAGTCGATGGAAGAATTTGAGACATTGATCGATTGGTTGGATGAGGGGATGGAGGAGTTTGAATCCGTTGTTGATACAACACCAAGTATTATGCTGCAGCCCAGCCATCTCATCTAGCTTGTGGATCAACCATCTTTGGTTGGCATCCTTGTTGGGGGCGTCGTCAAATATAATGCTCAGGACATTGCAAAGTTGTTTGTACTCTTCATTTTCTTCATAGTATAAGCCTCTCACATTGCGGTCAACGAATGCGAGGACATATTGTTTGTGATTGATCAACAGCTGTGAAGTGGACTTGTTGGGGATGGCCCATAGGTGCTCCAGTCTTGCATTGACATAATGATCCTTGTTGAATGACTTCTTGTCACCATTACATAACGGTGGTCGTTCCATGAACCATTGAACCAGCTCAGTCTCGACACGCTCCAAACCAAACACTGTCGACACCTGTTGATACAGGACCATGTTGAGCTTCAACAACTTGATGTACATATTGAATATTCGCTCACGTTGATCATCACCATCAACATTGTCTTGCATGTTGATGTTTGCAAGCAGGAAGTCCAAGAGCTCACTTGAGATCAGGTAGAAGTCGGTTTGTGATTGACCAACCCACGGTCGGTTACTTGGCTTCCCAGCAGTCCATATGTCTACAAGTGCAATGGACACCTCGAGTAGACTGACTTTGATGGCTTGTGTCAATTTGAGGTGTCGCCAATCAATCGAAACTTGAGGATACAATCCTACATGTGTCTTTGTCCTGACTTGCCAAACTTCTCTATTGAACTGTATACATGGTATCAAATCATGTACTCTATAAGATATATGATAATGGATCAGATTACTACTCAACACCTTCACAGTGATTGAGTGATTTGAGTGATTGAGTGTTTGAATGGGTGGGGGTAGGTGTAGGGTGGAATGATTCCAGTACATGATCAGTAAGATAAATACATAATGAAAGATTATAATGTGATGAGAGGCGAGATTGGTGAACAACATACATTTGAGAGGAGTGGCAAAGCATTGATCAAGTGTATTGCATTGTTATTGATTGTTAGATCTGTGTATTTAGATAATGAAAGGATTTCACTATTCATTGACAATCGTGCATCAAAGGGTATGCTTGTATAGTCTTTGTACTTTAACCATAGCTGCTCTATTACTTTGAGTGTTGTGTCCATTCATTCATTCATTCATTAATGAAGTAGTTTGATCAAATTTGTTTGTTTTGTAGTGATCAAATAAGGTGTCTAGCAAGCAGTTCCCTAATTTCCAGATATTTATTAGATTTGATCAATCAATGAATCTTAGAATTCAAGGTGTAGTTGTAATGGACAACTTTGGCAACATCGCTGGATTGATGAACAGAGTAGAGGCACACGAAGTTGATCAAATATATAGATGGATACTTTGACAAGTGTTGAGAAAATAGGTTGATTCAGATGATCCAGTAGTGATCTCAATTGAGCGATTAGTGTTCCATTGATAGAGTCTCTGGCCACACTGTGTACTTTGTTGATATATATGTCCAATGATTGAATGGTTAACCTTATCGTATTGTGCTCCTCCACATAGTCATTGTAATTGTCATGTGTAAACCATGTAATGCAATCAGACAATGAATCAACATTCATCTTCAATCTGGTCAAGTGTTGAGCTGTTGCAAGGGATTTCATCAGCTCTGATCCATGTTTCTTTGATACTGGTTCGCCATGCTGTCTTTCAACAAATGGCCAATATATCTCTCGAACATTGGGGAACGATGATATTGGAGGGGGATTCTCGATGTTTAATCCCTCGTATGGCAGTTTGAGTTTGGTGACCTGCTGGAGATTGCGCATATTTTGTAGATCTGTCCCAAAGTAATCATTAAATTCAATTACATTATAACCATCTTGATCATCGTTTCTTGGACCTGGCTCGTATATCCAACCACTATCTGTGCGATATTTGTCCAAAGACTCAAGATCCCATGTAAAGTCAATGTTGACGCGGCCATTGAGACGTGACGGTGGTGTTGGTGGGCCAACAGGCGATCGCGAGACGATCTCAATTGACTGAAGAACGGAGGAGCCAGTGTTAATGGCATTTTGGCCGAGGTACAACTGGAACAGAAGTGAGAAGAATTGGTCATTGCAGCGACCCTCGCGATCACGCTTCACCTTGCTAAATCCAACTCGTGAGCCAAACTGTGCCCAATGTTTCCAATCATTCAATAACTTGTACTTGGCGGAACGGTCATTGAGAAAGTACTCCTTGAACTTGATGTGGCGGACATTGGGCGCACGAACCTCGATCAAAACAATGCGATAGTACGACATGAAACACAATGGTATGACCAATGATTCAAGTCGATCGAGGCATGTATTGATGTGAGTCTTAGGAATGTGTGAAAGCTCAAAGGCATCGATATGCAGTGGCGGTGACTTGAACAGGCAGTGATTGGAGCCCAGATGATTGATCGGCGAGTGAATGCGTAGTGTTGGGATCATAAAGTTCGACACGACATAGGACACTGCCTGATGGAACTGTGACGACACGGTGGACAGTGTGACAATCCAATTGGGCTTCGTAGTGCGGTCATCGTTAAACACCAGATACATGACAACGTGCTTGATGATCAATGTTGAGAGCGGTGGCAGAGTGTTGCCATCAACAGGTGGTGGATGTTTCATCTTCCAATCTGGATATATTCTGGCGATTGATGTCTTTTTGAACTGTTTGTAGAGTTGTTGTTGTTGCTCAAACACGCCACCATCATCTCTCTGGACATTCACCAGTAGTTGACTCTTTGTTGGCATTGTTTGTCGATTGAAGAAGACATGCTTCTGGTAATGGCGATACTTGAGAATGTGGAAGATTGGTGCTGCGCGAGTGCACGCCGCAACAAAGTGGAGATACAGCTGATGGTCATGTGCGCTAAACTGAATATGTTTGTCGATTAGATCGATCCATACTCGATCACTGTTTGCAGGGCATGCATCAAGTATTTGTTTGTATGGGGCCAGGTTGTTGACTGCCCCAACGAAACCAATGTCTTTGATGAGTTGTGCGTCTAATAATGAATGGCGAGTAATGGCCAGCAGGAATGGATTGTCGGCCGGTGTCTTTTGAACGACATCTCGATGTTTGGCGACGAATTGTCCAATTGATTGTCTGTGCTTGTTGATGATGTCATATTCGTTTGGTACACGGTATTGGTTGACACGCAACAATGCTGTGATCCAAGCATCCATGATGTCATTGACTCGATCATACTTCTCGGGATGTAGCATCATCAACTCTGCCACGCCAAGCAAACCATCGATTATCATACCAAGCTTAACGTCTGAGATGCCAACATGATGATTCTTGAATACAAATTGTGATCCGGGTCCAGACTGAGGCTTAGCCGTTACTGTGGGTTGAGGCGGGATCGGAGTAGGGGCCGATGTCCGTCCATATGCTGTCTGTGCATTCTTTTTTGGTTGAGGGGTTGGTATTACATTCATTCCAGGTTGATTGCCAAAAAGAGACTTCTTGATCAGAAAGGCAAAGGTGCTGGCGTCGAGTGGCAACCGGTTCACATATTCCAAGAGATCACAAAGAGAATTCTCCGCAACATCTGATACTCCAAAGGATTTGGTAATACCTTGTAACATGGCTAGCCCCTCCAGTCCCCTGTCAAGAGTCACAATGATGAACGGCTCACATTTCTTGTAATGCTATTTGATTGATTGATTGATTGAATGAGTGAGTGAATGAATGAATCCGTGATTGATGGTCAGTAATACTTACTTGTTGGAATGATGGACCAAGACTAGTGATGAGGGTGCACATGTTTGGAGTGTCCAGTTGATGGAAGAATCGGAGAAAATGATCGATTGGTTGAATGAATTGATGGAATAGCCTAAATCCAGCGTTGGTGCGATACCATTGGCGAGACGATTGATTCATCTCCTCCAACATGCTGATTATCCATCTTTGGTTGGCATCGTTGTTGGTTGGATCATCCAAGATCACATTGAACACCTCGGCGAGTAATTGCTCTTGTTGATCTTGGAAATCTCCGGCATATGATTGCAAGAACTCTCTAACATATAGTTTGTGGTTGATCAATAACTGTGATGATGACTTGTTTGGAATTGCCCACAAGTACTGTAGTCTCCTATCAGAGTCTTTGCTTGGGAGCATGAACCATTGAGTGAGCTGTGTCTCAACACGATCCAATCCAAACACGGACGTCACCCGTTGGTACATGTCCAGGTTGTACCTCAGCAGCTTGATGTATATGTTGAATACCTTGCTTCTTTGTTCATCAGCATCGCCATTGTCATTGTCTCGTGTGTTGGCGAGGAGTGTATCAAAGAGCTCAGGAGAGAGTAGGTACATTTTGGTTGTTTGTCCATACATCGACCGGTTTCTTATCTCTCCACTCATGTCCCATACGTCCATCAGTGCAGTGGACACATCAATCAGACTGACCTTGATGTCTGGCATTGAATGTATTTGTCTCCAATCGATTGTAACACCAGGCGTGGGTGGCGATGGCGATACGAATGATCCAGGAGTTTGAAACAAGGCGCCGCCCTGTCTAAAACCTGATGGCGATGGCGATGGTGATGGCGACGGTGATACGAATGATCCAGGAGTTTGGGATGGAGCGGCGCCCTGTCCAACTTCACCCGATGGCGATGACGATGGTGATGCGAATGATCCAGGAGTTTGAAACGGGGCTCCTCCCTGTCCAACTACACCCGATGTTCCTTTGGCACTCCAAGCCACAGTATCATACTGTACAGAATTGATCAAATTCTTGAGGTATTCGCAAAGCATGCCGTTATGATTGAACAAGTCACTGCAGAAGACCTATTGATGCATGGTATGGTGTTGTTGTGTGAGTAGTCTGCAACAACAACGTTGATGTATCGTCTCATCAGTATAATAAGCATACTTGTGAGAGTAATGGCAATGCATTGATCAAATGAACTAGATTGTTGTTATCCAATGTTATTAAGTCTTTGTGTTTGGTCAGTGCATAGACTGCACTGTTCATGGACAACCTAACATCGAATGTTATGCTTGTGCAGTCCTTGTACTTTAGCCATAATTGTTCGATTGACTTCAATGGTATATCCATTAAATGTAATAAAAAGTACAAAGGATAGAATGAATAAATGATTTCAACAACTTGGTCCAAAGAAGAAGGGTGGTCATTTTCTTAGAACTTACCAAAATGGACACAAAGTCCACTTTTGTTCATTTACAAGTCATTCGAATCAATCACTCAAACAGATACTACAACACGATGGACGTGGACAACAACAATAATATCAATAATAATATCTATAACGATGGAGGTAGATCTGCTTTGGATTTACTAAAAGAAGAATCAGAATGTAATCATATTATATCATTCTGTTTGGCATTGGACACGATGCTACGTGGTGGCATACCTTTGAAGAAGATAACAGAGTTTTGTGGAGTACCTGGCGTAGGCAAGACTCAAATGGCCTTCCAACTGGCTGTCAACTGTGCCATACCAATAGAGTTTGATGGCGTTGCTGGAAAATGTCTGTTCATCGACACTGAGGGCTCTTTCGCAGTGTCGCGCATCAGACAGATGGCCACGGCACTGATTGAACACCTGCATCTGGTCGCTGCCGAAGCCACACCAGAGCTACAGAACATTGCCAACAACATGACGGTGGACCAAGTGATGGATTCAATATTCTATTATCGAGTACATCATTACATTGAGCAGATTGCCTTGGTCAACATGCTCCCTTCAATCCTGTCCAATAACCCAGACATCCGATTGATCATCATTGATAGCATAACATATCCGTTCAGACGCGTGTTCAAAGACAACTTCCTAAAGACACGATGTCTGTCGTCAATGGCGCAGAGTCTACACAGTGTCGCGCAACAATACAATGTGGCCGTGGTGATCATGAATCAAGTGACAACCAAGGTCGTGGCCAACAGCGAAGAATCACTGCTCATCCCTACACTGGGCGAGAGTTGGTCACACACATGTACCAACCGAGTCTATCTCTACTTCAAGGAACACCAACGATACTGTCATCTCTACAAGTCACCATCATTCCAATCGACCAACAGCGAGTTCTGCATTGGTCCCAATGGTGTGCGAGGCGCAGACGAAGAGCCACAACCACTGGAAGACGAGGATGACGAGTTTGAATGGGAGGAAGAGGATTTTGGAGTTGGAGTTGGAGCGCCTGATTCTCATTCTCCTACACCGCCTGTACTGTGATGAGTGGCCATCATCATCCTTCACATCTTCAGCCTTCATACCTGGAGACAATCATTCATTCAATCATTCTATCAATCAATCAATCATTCGGATCGATCAAAAATACATTACATTGGATGGATAATAACAAACACTTTTATGTACATATATGGCATTAAACAACAATGTTGACAATCTGAGCCAGCCTTTAGTCTAAGGCTCTAGACACAAACTCTTCGTTGGTATTCTTGTGATCTGACATTTGTGGACGACTTTCGTATACAGTCGTGAAGACCTCGCGTCTGGCATTGGTGTATGTACCCTTCAATCCAATGTACTGGATATTGGTGCTGTCTGCGCCAAAGTTGTCTGGGAAGTACAGCGTCAGAAGGTTGATATTGTTGAACTTTGTAATCCTTAGTTTGGATAATGAACGTCGGTATGAAGTTAGACAAGCTTGGTTCCAAGATACCCCTACTACATCGAACGAACGAACTTACTTGGTGCCATAGGCAATCTTTCCATCTGGATCCTCGTGCAGATTCCATTCTTGGATGGCAGCTGTGTTTGTGATGTTGCCAAAGTCCAAGTTCTCCTTGTTCAGGTATCTGTTGTGTTGAGGGTGGGTCAGTATATCCATCAAGTCAAAGGACTGGATGCGACAAATCAATCAACATACGCTTTCATCTTTGATGGCGATGATTTGTTTGGACCACCAATAACAATAATACTCTTTATCTGACACATTCCATTGAATCTACCATTGTCAAGTAGAGTAGAGTACATGATATTAGCATGTGCCCAACGACGACCACGACCAAGACAACTAGATAATAAACTTACGGTATGTTGATAATGAGTTCAGCATCATCACAACTCTCTACGACTCTGGATGTATCCAATCTATTCTCCCATTGTTTGAATATATTACATGCTGAACCTTTGACCTTCTCATTCAAACAAGTGACACGAGCAGAGTCAATATACTTGTTGAGACTGAACTCAACACCATCTTGAACATCATGTGAGTGATTTGGGTCATTGCAATCATGTGACATTATTCTATATTTCTAATATATCTATGTATCTATGTATCTGTATCTCTATCTCTATCTTGGCTTGATATCAAATGAGATGTTGAAGGATGTTGGAGAATACTTAGTCCTGACCCCCGACCCCACCCCACACACCAACACACTGTTTGGTGATCTTCACACGATTCGTCTGACTTGAAGTCACCCACACCCCCATTGACAGGATGACAAGACGATGTTGATGTTGTTGTTGTTGTTGTTGTTGTTGTCAATCATAACCTTTAATGATGGATGATGCGTGACAGCACTGAAGTGGACAGGAAGGAAGAGACTCAACTTGTCTTACATCTCCTCAACCTCCTCCTCTTGGTCGTCGTTGGCAACCTCTTGGTAGTCCTTCTCGAGGGCCATGAGATCCTCACGAGCCTCAGCGAACTCACCCTCCTCCATACCTTCTCCGACGTACCAGTGAACGAAGGCACGCTTGGTGTACATGAGGTCGAACTTGGTGTTGATGCGGGAGAACACTTGAGAGATGGCGGTGGTGTTGGAAAGCATGCAGACGGCTCTCTCGACCTTGGCCAGATCTCCGTCTGGGATGACGGTTGGGGCCTCGTGGTTGATTCCACACTTGAATCCAGATGGGGACCAGTCGACAAAAGTGACGGTCTTCTTGGTCTTGAGGTCGTTGACGGCCTTCTGGGCGTCCTTTGGAACGACGTTGCCACGGTACATGAGGCAGCAAGCCATGTACTTGCCAAGCTTTGGATCACACTTGGCCATCATGTTGGCCTGCTCAAACACGGCGTTGGTGAGAGCGTTGACAGAGAACTGCTCGTGGTCGGCCTTCTCCTTGTTGATGACTGGGGCGTAAGAGCAGAGCAAGAAATGGATTCTTGGGAATGGAACCAAGTTGGTCTGGAACTCGTTGATGTCAACGTTCAGAGATCCCTCGAATCTGAGCGAGGCGGTCAAAGAGGAGATGACCTGGGCGACCAGACGGTTGAGGTTGGTGTAGGATGGACGATCGATGTTCAATGAGCGACGGCAAATGTCGTAGATGGCCTCATTGTCGAGCATGAAGGCAACGTCGGTGTTCTCGAGCAGCGAGTGGGTGGAGAGCACAGAGTTGTATGGCTCAACGACCGAGGTGGAAACCTGGGGCGATGGGTAGATGCAGAAGTCGAGCTTGGACTTCTTTCCGTAGTGAATGGACAGCTGCTGGAGAAGGAGTGAACCGAAACCAGATCCAGTACCACCACCGACAGAGTGGAAGACCATGAATCCTTGGAGTCCGTCGCACTCGTCGACGAGCTTGCCAATGCGGTCCATGGTGACGTCGATCATCTCCTTGCCGACGGTGTAGTGACCACGAGCGTAGTTGTTGGCGGCATCCTCCTTGCCGGTGATGAGCTGCTCTGGGTGGAACAGCTGTCTGTAGGGACCAGTGCGCACCTCGTCGATGACGGTTGGCTCGAGATCGACAAAGACGGCACGGGGCACGACCTTGTTCTTCTGGGAAGCCTCGCTAAAGAAGGTTCCGAACGAGCTGTTCTTGGAGTGCTGGGCGGTGCCGGCGGTGTTGCCGTCCTTGCCAATGCCGTGCTCCAGACAGTAGAGCTCCCAACAGGCGTTACCGACTTGGACACCAGCCTGACCGATATGAATTGAAACGATTTCACGCATTGTTTGTTAAAGGTATTGAAGATAATAAATTTAATTGTCTTATAATGAAACAAGTAAATTAGATTGATATTGTATGTATGTTATATGATTGATTACAACAAAAAAGATAGAGATAAAGAAGAAGAATGAAGTGAATGTGAAGAGATCAAGTGAGGCTGAGGGAGGGATGAAACGTGAGTTAGAGAGCAAGGAACACACAAAAATCTGAAAAAATGATGAAAACAACAAGTTTACACGAAATCAGGATTGATTAGGTGATGTTCCAACAGTTAGTATCTGTATCTTATATGTAATAATTTATATATCTCAACTATTAATATGAATGAATGAATGTCGGTATTACATTATTTTATATGATAAATAATTTTAAAGTATAAATTACAAGTCTTCATCACTTTATAATTTGTTTAATGAGGAACAAACTTGGCGCCAAGACTTCAAAAAAATTAATAAAATGAACAAAATTTGAACAAACAGTTGATGATCTCTCACTTCATCTTGCAACTTCATTCAATTAAATCGCTTACTTATACAAACATACAGATACAATATATATATTTATATATCATTAGTTTATTCACGTTCATAATCAACTGAATAGGCTTATATCGGATTCAAAGACAACAACAGTTTAACAATCAACAACAATAGAATAGAATAGAATAGAATAGAATATGGCACGTGAGATTATATCAATTCATATTGGTCAGGCTGGTGTACAGCTTGGTAACGCATGTTGGGAGCTCTATTGTATGGAGCACGGCATTGGTAAGGACGGTGTGGTCTCGGAAGCCTCACACAAGAAGGCTAGAGCCGATGTTGAGACCAAGGGCAAGAACACCGCCTCGTACAACACCTTCTTCACCGAGGGCTCAAACACCAACAAGGTGGTGCCCCGCGCTATCTTTGTCGATCTCGAGCCAACCGTTATTGACGAGGTGCGCACTGGCGCATTCCGCAACCTCTTCCATCCAGACCAGCTCATCACCGGCAAGGAGGATGCCGCCAACAACTACGCTCGTGGTCACTACACCGTCGGCAAGGAGATGATCGACAAGACTATGGACCGTGTCGACAAGATGGTCGACGAGTGCGACGGACTCCAGGGCTTCATGGTGTTCCACTCTGTCGGTGGTGGCACTGGATCCGGTTTCGGCTCGCTCCTCCTCCAGCAGCTGTCCACCAAGTATGGCAAGAAGTCCAAGCTCGACTTCTGCATCTACCCATCGCCACAGGTCTCCACCGCCGTCGTAGAGCCATACAACTCTGTGCTCTCCACCCACTCGCTGCTTGAGCATACCGACGTTGCCTTCATGCTCGACAATGAGGCCATCTACGACATTTGCCGTCGCTCATTGAACATCGATCGTCCATCCTACACCAACCTCAACCGTCTGATTGCTCAGGTCATCTCATCGCTGACTGCCTCACTTAGATTCGAGGGATCTCTGAACGTTGACATCAACGAGTTCCAGACCAACTTGGTGCCATTCCCAAGAATCCATTTCTTGCTCTGCTCCTACGCCCCAGTCATCGGCAAGGAGAAGGCTGCCCACGAGCAGTTCTCTGTCAACGCTCTCACCAACGCCGTGTTTGACCAATCCAACATGATGGCCAAGTGTGATCCAAAGCTTGGCAAGTACATGGCTTGCTGCCTCATGTACCGTGGAAACGTTGTCCCCAACGATGCCCAGAAGGCCGTCTCTGACCTCAAGACCAAGAGAACCGTCTCCTTTGTCGACTGGTCCCCATCTGGATTCAAGTGTGGAATCAACCACGAGGCCCCAACCGTCATCCCAGACGGAGATCTGGCCAAGGTCGAGAGAGCCGTCTGCATGCTTTCCAACACCACCGCCATCTCTCAAGTGTTCTCCCGCATCAACACCAAGTTCGACCTCATGTACACCAAGCGTGCCTTCGTTCACTGGTACGTCGGAGAAGGTATGGAGGAGGGTGAGTTCGCTGAGGCTCGTGAGGATCTCATGGCCCTTGAGAAGGACTACCAAGAGGTTGCCAACGACGACCAAGAGGAGGAGGTTGAGGAGATGTAAATGTAGTGTAGCAGTGTAGTAGAGCCGAGGGTCGGCAACAACAAACAAATCAATCAACAACAACAACATCAATGCAACATAAACATACAGCACAAGGTGAGGAAGTGTTTCCCCTTCAATAAATCAACCATCAACGTTGCACCAGTGTATCCCTTGAACGCCAGCTTATCAGATTGTTGATGTTCAATCAATGGTCCACACGATATACCTATCTTTATTGACGACTGGCGATGTTCAATCGCCAATCCAGTGTCCCTAATATGAGTGATGATGACGAATGTCTAATCGATGGCATTACATGTACCATCCATCCTAACAACTTGTGAAGTTTACAATGCATTGTTTAGTGATTGGCGAAGGAGATGTGAGCGGCAACAAGGTGTAACTTAACTTTGATGCATCGTTGTCTGTCTCTCGCGACAGACAAGTAGGCTTCTACTTCTTGGCGGCAGACCCCGACGATAATGGAGTGACGGACTCTGCACGGTCCTTCCAGGAGGACTTCCTCAGCTTGATTGGTCGATTGCCAACGTATTTGCCATTCATCTCGCGCATCGCCTTGACATAGTCGGTGGAGTCTGAGAAGGAGACAAAGCCAAAGCCTTTGGACTTGAGGGTGCGCTTGTCACGCAGCACCTTGGCCTTGAGGAACGAGGGGTACTTGCAGAAGGACTGTCTGAGCATGTCATCGGTCACGTCATTGCCGAGATCTCCAACAAAGATGCGGTAGTCGTTCGGGTCCCATTCAGACAGCGAGGGGTCCTCCCACGTCTGGCCCGCAGCGCCCATCGTGTACTTTAACTTCTTAGGCTGCTCCATGGTGACCAATGGCTTCTCCCTTGTGATGTGCGAGTTGTAACTGGGCATCCTGACCTCATTCGACTCTTGTAGCTTTGTAATAGTGTTGGCAGAGTATGTCACAGCCTTTGATGAAATGACTGCTGGTGATGATAATATCGCTGATGATGAAACCATTGGTTTCTTGATCACTGCCGATGATGCTGCTGCTGCTTTCTTCCTCATCAGACTTGGTGGGATCATCCTTGCATTGCTAATTGTTGATGTTGATGTTGATGTTGTGGGTGTAGATGTAGTTGTAGTAGTTGTGCCAGTGCCATTGCCATTGCCATTGCCATTGTCTGTGTTTGATGTTGATGTAGTTGTATCTGTTGTATTATTATCTATATCTTCATGTTTCCTCTTTAATGTTGATGTTGTTGATGTTGATGTACTACTACTTTGTTCATTCGTTGATGTACTGGCTATATCTGATAATGATGAATAGAAGTCATCCAACTCATTAGTCTCTTGTGTATCTGTTGATGACGTCATCTCTGTTTATAAGTATATATATATTATTATCTGTTTGATTATTTACTTCTTCGTCTTTGAGAACAATGAGCCACACACAGGAGCAAAGTGTGACTAACAAACTTTCAACTGTAGTAATGACTTACACCACTCGTTTAGTCATTCTTCAAAGCAAGGAGAAACAAGGTTGTTCTGTTAATCAGAATCAGATTGAGGTCAAGTTCAATTCTTGAATAGGAATACTATCGATAGTATATATGATGTCATTATGTCATGAAAGTAAGACTTGTACTTCATAATGGAAATAACACCCCACAACTAAGATCAGATCTAACTTTACCTGTTTGATCAGAAATATCTGTGAAAGTCAGTTGGGTGTATTCTACAACACAATTCAATTTAATGATCATTAAACATCTTATAACAGATACAGAACCATACTTATATATATACACACATAAATATAAATATACATATATATATAAGCTGATATGTCATACCTGGATTGTCTAACTATACGTTCATCAGCTGAATACTCTGATGACCCAAGTCATCAAGAGTTAGAGGTGCTCAAGACTATCTATGGTGATAGCTTTGTCCAACTAGATGACTACACATTCAATGTATGTCGATCATTCCAACATCCAATGCAATGAATGGCTCTTGGTGACTAACTCAGTTGATTGAATGATTGATTGATTGATTGATTGATGGATGGTGTAGTTACGACTATCAGTCAACTTGCAAGATGGCTTCACTGTTTCAATCAGGAATGACTTGGGACATCCAGACACACAGACTACCTCCACCACATCCACGACTACAACAACAACCACAACAAATACAACCGCGGCAGCAGCTGGAAAGAAGAAGGCAGATGAGCCAAATAAGTACTCGATCGTTGGATTGCCAGTGGTGTCATTGGGCTGGCAGTACCCTGATAGTTATCCATCATTCCCACCATCACTCTTTCTGAGTTGTTGTTGGATGACACCGGCAGACATGGATCGCGTCATAAAGAAGATATACTCAATGTGGGAAGAGGGCGAGTTGGTCATGTTCAAGTACGCCGAATGGATACGCGACGAGCTCATGCCATTCCTCTGCCAGGGCGGCGAGGACAACGAGTACCTACTCTCAAACAAGCCAATCACAATAAGACATCCCGAAGATGATGACGATGTCGACGTCGCCACCATCGACGAGTCTGTCGACTCGGCCTCCAAGTCGGTGTATTGGGAGCACCAGGAGGGCTGGAGCTCCCTGGCCAGTGCACTGCCGTCGCTGCTGCAGTTCAACCGCCACGAGGCCAAGCAGCGCTTCCTGCAGACTTACCACACCTGCCCCGTGTGCTTTGATGAGCTGCCTGGCGCAGAGTTCAACTTGCTGGCGTGCGGACACCACCTGTGCACGGGATGCACCAAGCAGATCTGCCTGATCAACACAGACTCGGGCGACATCCAACACATCAGATGCACAGAGCACAATTGCAATCAGCCACTCGATCAACAGGTCATCAAGCAGTACTTGGGCGCCGAGGCATACGCAGCCTACGAGAAGATGATGTCCATGTTCAAGGGCTACCGCGAGTGTCTGCGATGCCACGCGTTCACCGCGCGATTCGACAAGATCGCAGTGTCTTTCTGGTGCGAGACTTGCACATACTCCTCGTGCCCGCTGTGCTCAAGGAGCTGGCATCCTGGTGTGCCATGTAACTACCAGCCACCCAAGCGCGAGATCAACGTCGAGGAGAGCCGCCCATCAATGAACCTTGACAACTTTGTCACGCGCCAGATCAAAGAGACTGTGGGCATAATCGAGGGCGACACAGGCAAGTACCTGGCGGAGACCAACAGCAGAATGTGTCCAAACTGCGGCGTCATCGTCACCAAGGTGGAGGGTTGCAACAAGGTGGTGTGCGCACTGTGCAAGAAGTACTTCTGTTGGAAGTGCCTCAGCATCATCGATGGATACAGCCACTTTGGCGGAGATTGTGGCACGTTTGAGACCACCACGGCGATGAGCAATGGTCAGCTAGTGGGCGTGTGGAGTGCTCGATTGATGCGCGAGAAGAATAAGTTGCGCGAAGCCTTTGCCAAGGAGTTCCGTGAAAAGGTCAAACTGATGCCCGCCGTTCTAAAGTGTGTCAACTGCAAGACATTGATAGGACGCACCAACAACAACAATCATCTGAAATGCTACAACTGCAGCACACAGATGTGTTACATGTGCAAGCAGGCCATCCAGGGTACCAAACACTATTCAACCTCAGGATGCAAACAACATGGCGATCAATAGTTTGTCCATTGACTTCATTCACATGATCACTCAAACTCATACTGGCATCCACTCAATGTACAATCTCCAAACTCAAACTCGAATTCGAACTCAATCAATCAACCCTGGCACGACATAGATAATATTGATGGATAAACATGTTGAATGTTTACTTAATCATCATATGACGATGATTCTTCATCGGAGTATGAGGACTCGTAATAGTCATCATAATAAATATCCGTGGTAGGGGCGGAGGAGTATGATGAATCATCATATTCATCATCATCAGAGTTCCAAGACGAAGCCACTCCAAAGGTACTAATTAGAAGAAAGGAATAATTGATGGTCAATATTCCGTAAGGAATTAATTATTGTAATATTCCAACTTACTTGGTTGGAGATGTTGGTGCCTCCTGAGCCATTACAACAATGCTGAATAAAAGGAATATGATTGTAAACAAACAAATAAAAAACTTTGTATTTAACTTAATCATTCTATTATATTATTATACTTTTAATATTTATATATTATACAAGTTTGATATATCTTCCTAAGAGTTTATGTTTGGTATTTATAACATAATCAGTATTTGTTTAAATGATTGATTGACATATATGTATGAATTAGTCCATCAATAAATATGAATGTCTGAAGAAGATTGAATTGATTTTCATCCTCCACTCTTGCTTCCCATGATTGTTAAAATACTTTGAATCAGATAAACCAAGGTTGGATCTTGATTAATGTATCTCTGGAAGTTATCCAATCCAATCGGTAATATTGATTGACATCATAGTGTTAGTGATGATGAGTGGTGCCAAGTGAGTGTGAGCGAGTGCGTGTGTGAGTGAATGATCGAGACAATCAGACTAATGTTTGTAAATAAGTTCAATGTCATCAACACCATCATCTATTATTGATGTTCAAACAATGAATGATCATATGATGATATGTTTGTCTTTGGGTTTGGATAAGGTTTGGAGGTGATGTTGCGATACGCATACATCACCACTGCCACAAATTAAAAGTCCAACCAGTCTAACGAACTGGTCGCCACAACTAGTACCAAGGAGTGCAAGTTTGGTACGTGACGTTGCGTGAGACAATGGCCTGTATGATCACCACTGTCCCAACAATTGGTAAGTATGATTTACTTCAACAACATAATCAACCATTATCTTAAACAATCCTAATCTCCAATATTATGGTTTATATTTAATTGATCACTTTTCCAGAATATATTATTATCATCGTCCACAGTCAATCAAATAAATATTTATCAATGTAATTGATGAGATTGTTTGAATGGTATTATAATACCATTCATGGTTTATACATAGGCTGAGGAGGACTCCTCTGCGGCTAACTTGAGGTCACCTTCTTGACTATCGATCAGTTTGAGATACTTGTGAATGGCCTCTGTTAACACCTCAAACAACATCTTGCCCTCGCCCTCGCGACAGATGATCTTGCGCTTCTGTGGCTCTGACTTGTACTTGAGCCAAACAATGTCCTGGTTCTCAAAGTCCAGTGCCACCTCATCGATACCTGCAAACGAGTTCTCGCTCTTGATTCGCTGCTGATCGAGGTTGAGCAACGAGTCGATGGTCAACTTGAATGTGCGCTCCTGGTGTTTGCCAGCGTTGTTCACCTTGATCACTCTATACTCTGTGGGCAGGGGATATCCGAGGTGGCCGAATGATGAGTTTGGCGGAGGGTACTTTGCCAGGCCAACCTTGAAGCCTGCCTCAAATATGTCCTGAACGATGTGGTCTCGTTCCAGCTCATCATTGCACACGTATCGTCTGTTTCCATCTGTCTGTGCCGCCGCCACTGCTGCCACCTTTGCTCCAATGTTCAAGAATCCAATCCTTGATTTACTCGTGCTGGTGTTGTTGCCATTGGTGTTTCCGCTATTACTTTGATTGTCTGACAATGATGTACTTGAGTTTGACGAGTCTTTGAACTTCATTGTCATCTCGATTGAGCCTCGTGCAGACGTTATCTCCTCAATGTCATATATCCTCTTCTCATTCTGTATTCTCTTTGTACCTGGGTCGATATTCAATAATGAGTTGCTTGTGAACTTAATCAATCTATGATGATCATCATCGATGAGTTAGTGTCCTTGTACCTTCATCCATCCATCAGTCCAAATGACACACATACCTCTCTTGCCTCTTTCCCTTGGAGTTGACCTTGACTACTCGATAACTCTTGGTGATGTAGTCCTTGCTCGTCTCTGGTAGTGCTATATTCTCTGTATCTATATATGTTGCCAACTGTTTCCAATTGTATACCTCGTGTATCTTACGCTTCAGCTTCCTACTTGTGAACGCCCTCATAAAGTAGACCACTGCTCTTGTATATGCTGATGGATGTACAATGAACATCTTATCAATGTTCTTCTTATATCTGTTGTGGCGGGGCATGTGTCAATCAATCAATCAATGAACATGACAACCATGATTAGGATACATACTTCCTCGAGAACACCTCTGCCAACTTGGGAAGATGAGTGAATATGCCACGCTTCATGTCTGGTGAGATGCTGGCCCAGGACATATCGACGATTAGTGTGTATGATGATGTGTTGACACAGACATCCATGACCTTGAAGATGTGAGCGATCAGTGGATTGACATTGTCGAATACCTCGGGCTTGATTCGATTGACTATGAGGTAGAACACTGGCTTGTCATGCTTGTCATTTGGTCCTTGGAAGAGGAAACGTGCGCGCTCCAGCATAAAGGTCAGGTCGTCAAATGATCCTGAGCCACCATTGATCAGGCCTGCTTGCTGCTTATCAAACACCTCGTCCGTCGTGTCATGTTTCCTCTTTCTCTCCACCTTTGTCTTTGGTGATGGACCAAGCTGCTTGAGTATATCCAACACACTAGACACGGTGGGGTTGGTCGCCAACTGTGTTGCCAGCTTCTCCTTGTTCATGTCCAGTATACGATGTAGTTCAAACAGGTCTTGAATCTCAATGTTGCGCATATATGTCTCCCAGGGAGGTGGTTGTGTCACCTGTTTGGATGCTGCTGCCGCTGCCGCCGCTGCTGCTGCTGCTTGCTGTTGTTGTTGTTGCTGCTGTAGTAGTTGTTGTTGTTGAAGTTGAAGTTGTTGACTGTTTGGGAATGATGATGGTATTGTTACTGTCCATTTGGAGACTGGTGGTGTGGTGGAGGACGTTGCAGGAGACTTGGGTCCGCCACGAGAGTTGCCTTCCAGATCCCTCCACTTTTGAACGCGATTGAGTGGGTCAGTACAGATGAGGTTGAAGTATTGAGTCAGCTTTGTCCTGTTCTCCACGATGAAGCCATTCATACAAGTCATAAAGTCCTCCTTGACTCCAAACTCTATGCCATTCGATGTGTTCTGTAGTACCTTGGCCAGGAGCACCAGGTTGCGCTTTGCCCTCCGCGAAGGCACTATCTCGGGCGCGATCAACTTTGAGTACTCGGGCGTGACGATCGCCGGACAGAAGAACCGCAGCATGAGGAAGCCACCAACAAGCGGCGCTAGAGACTCTGGTGCATACTTGAGTGCCGACTCGGCCGTGTAGTCAGCAATGGCACGAATCTCACGCGGCATCTCCTCGACGACCATCGGGTCTGTGATGCGATCGATGAATGCCTGAGCCATGTCGATCAATGTCTTTTGATTCTGAATGATGGCCAACTCTGGATTGATCAAGTTGACCTCATTGCCCTTGTCGTCCTGATCCTCCTCATCATCGCCATCGCCCGTTATCTTGCGCGGGTCAATCTCCATCCGCAAGTCTTTGTCCTGTACGATGCTTGTAACAAGATCTGAGAGTACGAAGCGCAGGTAGTTCGCGCCTACCAGTCTAACGTATGCTCCCTCAATCTTGTTGACCACATTGTTGCCACGTAGTATGCAGCCCTCTCCCTCTGAACACATCTTTGAGTTGAACTCATCATATATCAGATGTTTGATTAATGACAATGTCTGTGACGCTGGTGTATACAAGTTTACAATGTTCTTTGCAAATGCATCCACCTCTGACATATCCAACAAGCCTGCTAATCCACTTGTGAATCTATAATGTATAAGTTATGTATTAGAACATGATATGACCAAAGATGTTATTGTCGTTGTCATCATACATACTCTTTATCATTAACACATAGTTTAACCAAGTCATTATATAGTGTTGTTGAGTTTATCCAAGCATTACTACGCCATATCAATGACTTTGTATCATCCATGTTGTTATCTATCTGTATATATAATATGTATTAAACCATGAAGTGTATGAATGAATGAAAGAATGGCACTCAGACGAAGGGGCATTGCCCCATCATCTTGAATTTCAAACAAAGGGGGAATGAAATGAATGGGTGGGTTCGTCATCAACTCCGACATTTTTTGTCGGGATGGGATGGCATGGGTTGGGCAAGGGGATGGTGATGTCATGCACCCTTCATTCATTTATAATTAATTGATGTTCATTGTGTTTGGGATTAATGATTGTATACATATAAGTTCCAAAAGCTGATATCTTCAATCCAAACTTATAAAATATTGATACTCTTGGAGTTGTCTCAATAACTTCTTGTTGTAATTTAGATGGTTGAGGTGTCCTTGAGGTAGGACACTGGTTAGGATAATAGAATATTGATTGATTGATTGATGTTTACCTTTTAGATTTAATATCTAGAAATACTGATTCCAACATCTGATGGACATTATAACCAGTCTTGGAACTGCATTCATAATGTTTAATACTTTGATTTGATATTGCTGTTAAAGGGTATGACATATTGACCTTTTTATCATCATATTTAGTACCAACAATGGCTATAGTACTTTTGGTACCGAATGGTGATAATGATATAATTGAATACCACCTTAATAAAGAATCTAATGATTTCTCATTAGATTGATCATATGTCAATATTATTGCATCTGGTATTATACTAATAATTGAGAATGCATTGTTTCCCTCGATCAATTGAAAGTTGATACAATATTCCTCTTTAACTAATACTCCAAGTGAGTCATCTCTACCTCCACATGAAGGTTCAAACCTATTAGTTATACATCTCTTTAACAATGACCTCTTCAGACTATGATTAATAAAGGTATATCTTTGTTCTAAGTGTATTCAACTTACCTTGCCACTATATTTAGCTCCTATTATTAATATACTTATATTTATCTTTGGTGATACCATTTATTTGTTTAACAATAGTAACTTAGCATCATATAAATTTATTTAATATATCAGCTCTGACTTTTAAGTTGGTACTGTATATTTAAGTGATCCTTCACCTGAAGATGACCAAATCCATCAACTTATAAAATTATGATCATCAACTTCATCATCATTCATAACCATGGACAACAACTAATACTTTTTTTCTCAGTTGACCTAAATAATAATAAAATTAATGAATATGTAATATATTTATAAATAATAATACTTACGCCTCTATTTCTACTACTCCTTCCTTTGACATATTCTTCAGTTTCAGTTGTTTCCTAAAATGATTAATATTAATAAACCATTGAAAATAATTGATTATATGTATTAGTAATACTTACCAATTCTCAAACAGTTCAACAACTTTGTCAAACACCTCAGTGACTCCAGTGTTTGTTGCCGAACTAACCTCCATGTAGGTCAGTCCAAGTTTCCTCACCTTGTACTCTACTTCTTGTTGACTCACTTCTCTGTTATCAACAAGATCAATCTTTGCTCCAACTATAATGACAGCAGCATTCTGCTCGGCACTGTATAATCTCTCCATCCATGCCTCTATCTTGTAACATCAAACAATAATAGTACAACATGTGTACCTCTATAATATCCTTTTGCCAATGAATGGTATCTCTCTTGGCCTGCAGTATCCCATATGCTTAACTTGTATGATTGATCATCTGGCATTCCAGTAGGTATGTAAACTTTTGAACAAAAGTCTACACCAATAGTGAGTCCTTTGGTATATTTGAACTCATCAAATACAAATCTTCGAATAAGTGCACTCTAATAATATGATAAGTTATTATTAGTGGAAATAATTAAACTATATAAATATTAAATAATACCTTTCCAACAGCCATGTCACCTATTAATATAGTCTTGATCAAATGCATCCTACTAATTTATTATTAATAAAAAAGTATTCCAGCTTATCAACTTCTAGAATACTTACGCATCATGTTTACCCATTGTTTTATTATTCTATTATTTTTAATATTACTATTACTATTTCTATTACTACTAGATTAATTTAATTTATAATGATCATTTTAAATGACTGTTGAAAGAATAAATAGATGTGTGTATGATAAATGATCAGTAACTTCTGATCTCAAGTTGTAAAACTCAATCCAAGAGTTGTGATTTGTGATCACAAATCCAATTTTGAGTTTCCCCTGGATGATCACCTCGTCAATTTCCATGATACAATACTTACCATGGTAACAAAGAATTAAATATAATTATTTAATAATTTCTTTWAATAWTTTTAATTGCAACACTTCTTCTTTTCTTCGAGAGTTAGATCCACTTTCTCAGGTGGAACTGTCGGGCCGGTAGTCCTAGGTATTGGTGATGTAGTTGGAGAAGTAGGAGTATGTGATGGACTACTTTGGACTCTAGTAGGAGCAATGCTTGGTATTTGGAAAGAGTTTGTATGTTGCAATTTGGCTGTGTTGTAATTCCTAATAATAAAAATAATAAATTAATTTGAATAAAGGGGAATACTTTAAATCAATCAAATATATACATACCAATCAATTTGATCACATGATTTCAAACAGAGATTAATGAAGAACTCTTGAATCTTGAATCGTCCTTCTTCACCTCTGGAGTTTGATTCATAGTAGAGGAAGCCTAGATCTTCGGCCAACTTGAGGCCTTCCTCCTTACTGACCATTCTTCCCTTTAGATCAATCTTATTTGCAATAAGGATCTTTATAGTTGGTTTCCTTTCACCACAATTTTCCAACATATCCTTTGCCCACCATCTACAATTGTCAAATGTATCTCTACGTGTTGCCTCATAGAGTAGGAATACTATATGTTTGTCCCTATAGTATGCTCTTGTGATTGCTCTAAACTTCTCTTGACCTGCTGTATCATACATTGTAACCTTTTTATCGTTTGGCAATGTAATACTATTCATCTCAATACCAATCGTAGACATATCATCATAGAAAGGTTTCTTAAGGCATGCTGTACTAAATGCAGTCTAAATCATAATGATTGAATATTAATATATAATTGTTATCAATGATTAAAAATATATACCTTTCCAACTCCAGAATCACCTAACATCAAACACTTTAACATTCTATGTTAGTCTCAAATATATGTTGTAGTAAATTATAAGTATGGTTTAATGAATGAATTGGTAGTGAGGCTTAGGGTATAAAACATTAAATGGTAAAAGTGATCAGTGATCAATCAATACTTCAAGTTTGGTGATGTAGTTTGACAACTTGGAAACAGGAGTATGAAGTTTGAGACCGCACTTCCAAGTTTGTTGTTGTTGACCAAAATTGACTCCAAGCACATCTTTGCTCAACCCCTTCCTTGTTTTGAACCGACACTTCCAAAGCCTAAGTCGAAGCAAAGGTTGTTAACATGTAGAGAAAGAGATAGGAGATGATTATCATTTAATGTATTAGATCTATTTATAAATAATAATTGATTACTATATATTGTATATATGAAAGTGAATAGAACATGGATTTTGGAGAATGGTGATAAGATCAATGTACTACATACTATATTCAAGACTGTTGTGACTGTCAATGATCAACAGGTCAAGCATGACTATGACTATAAGATGTTAGAGTATTCAATATGTGTATTCACATGGCAAACAGATAACTTCGCTGTAACTTGGGGACCTGCCAAACACTTTGTATGAATCTATCTCATTCAATCACTCAATCATTCAATCACTCAATCTAACTCATTCAACTCAATCAATATAGGGATATGGTCTTCATCTTTATAGAAACAATATTGATGTTATGGATAAGAGGACTTATGATGTATATAGAGTTGGACAGCAACAACGTAATGAAGTCTATCTTAAGATTGGTCTTGGAGCACTCATCTTGCCACTATTGGTCTACTATCCAGCCGTACTATTAATACAAAATAATAGGACAATCAAGGTTAAACCTTGATCAATGTATGGACAAACAACACGACGAATGAACATTGGCCACTCACTCATTCATTCATTCATTCATTCATTCATTCAATCAATCAAACAATCATTGGATCATTCAACTTTTAAAGACACTCTCAGTTTATTACTTATGCCTCTTGTGGTTGAACCTCTTKGCTTCACCTCTTGGTCGTTCATCTTGAATGGGTAGAAATTGGGATAGGTGAATGGTGGATTTGGAAGTGGAACTGGAACTGGTACTTGGGGAAGGGATCCAATCTGCATGTTTTGAGCCTGGCAAATACCATCGGTGATCAATGTGGTCCAGTAGTAGTTCATACCGTCAAAGACAACGCCAACACCGAGCTCTCTGGCCAATGGGTTCAGCAGCACCTGGAGATTGCTGTAGTTCTGTGAGTAGAAGTAGACCACTTGGTTGTCGGAAACGTAGCCAGACGCCACGTTGATGCCGTAGGACGAAGAGATTTGGCCGTAGGCAGAGACCAGGTTGTAGGTGTTGCCATAGGTGTCGAACAAGGTCATCTGGTGAATGGATGCCATGTAGTTGGAGTGGAACATGGCGGCGTTCTGAAGACATGAACTGAGCACCAGTGGATTAAGTCCACGCGACGCACGAACTTGGTTGACCAATGCAAGGTGTACACGTGGATCATGTTGCTGCATTGGGACAATGTCAGTGTCGGCCATAACAACCACCGACGATGCCACGAACATCACTGTTGCCAGGAATATGAATAATTTATAATTAAACATTGATTGATTGATTGATTCGTTGATTGAGGGAAACAAAGATATTATTATTTAGTTGGATATAAATAAATAAATAAATAAATAAATAAATAAATAAATAAATAAATAAATAGACTATTTTAAAGATTGGTTGGATGCGTAAATGATAAAGGTTACATTTATAAGTAAGTACTTATTATTATTACATCAAGTGGTAAGCTCATTGATATATCTTAATCTTAGATATAGCACCAATTGAGATGCGGGTGGATGAGTGTGAGGGATGAGGGTTGTACAGTGAACATTGGTGAAGTGAGTGTGAGTTGGATGAATGAGTGATAGTGTGTGAGTGTGTTGACGACGATAATGACAATGACAATGAATTGAAGAATTACGTATCTGTTGAATGGAACAGATACATGTTGTAGACAGTGGGAAGAAGAGGGTGGGGTGATGGTGAATGTCGACATTATTCAGGGCAACATATGATCTCAATGGTCCGTCCATTAACTTTGACATTGCTTGCCAGCTCATCTTCCATTCATTCATACATCCATCTATTCGATCTACTTACTGACTTCCCCTCCCCAGACTAACAAAGTGTACATACATACTCTGAATACCTTAATGGACACGTTAGGTGAATGGGTGATAGATTCCGATCGATGACTGTTAGAGTCGGTCAATGTCAGTGTCATTCGGGTCGGTCATTCCTTTAGCCATCTTACAATGCAATCTGACCGGCAAGCTACTCCTTCATATACCCTTCTTCAATGAATCTGAACAGATGTACAATCTCTCCCCAACAATTAGTAATACAAACATCTGTGTTCTTGTGTCGACAGAAACAAACAGGGGCGATGAAGGATGACAGGATATCAGATGTTCATCTCATCCCCTTCATCGATTCAGTTCATCGATCGACTTACCAACCCTCATCTTCGTAGACAAGTACTTGAATAGTTGGAGAGAAGTATCCGAACAGGACATGGCGGAGAGGAGAGAGATACACATATCATATGAGTGAGAGGAGACAGAAGAGAGGAGTTTGGAATGACAAGCCATTGGGATCAGGTTTATTCAGGTGAACGAATTGGTTTAGTTGATTCTGGACTTGGCGGTGGCCTCCTTGTTGGCAGCCTTGAGACGCTTGGCAATCATGGCACGGGTTGGGCCAGACAGGATGTTTCCACCCCACTGCTTGCGGTGGTCAACGTTGTTGTTGTACATCTGCTTGGCAGCCTCGACGAGCAGACCGAGGTCGTGCTGGTCAGCCTGGGCGACAGAGGTGATGGCAACACACGAGGTCTTCTTCATGTGGACAACCTTGCCCAATCTGGACTTGGACTTGACGATGCAGTATGGGACGTCCATACGGCGGCAGAGGGCTGGGAGCCAGAGGACAACCTTTAATGATTGGCGAATGATGATTGTTGATTAGAACACGTGGACTGATGTGTGGTGATGGGAAAAGAATGGCAAGAGCAAAGGGCGGAAGACTTGGTTCGCGTACCATCTCTCATAGAGAGATGGCAGCGGTCACCAACCCCATCGACCAGGTTCTAACTACATAATCAGCAATGATGATGACCACTTTGGGGGAGGAGAATGGTAACATCATATCACCTAGTAGTGCAATCCCAGTCGATTGGTACCTTCGACAATGTCCTTGGACATCATCTAACTGATACAACTTCTTATCGTGGTCGAATAACAAGCGATACGCTACGTTTAAGGTGCATACGCTGGTACTTGACGATGATAGAACAACCTAGATACCAAAGCCCTACCGAAGTAGTGACTTAAAGTAAGGCTGTACAAGAAGTATCACAGCACCGGTAAGTCCATTGTACGAATACAATGACTTGGCCGTACCATTTAAAGTGGATAGGATAGAGAGTGTATGAAGTGGTGGATGGATAGAGGGTGGCGTAGGATGATGCATGCGAATGCTCGGTGAATGTGATTATACATACCTCAACTGGGTCGACGTCGTGGGCAATGACGACCAACTTGGCCTTCTTCTTCTCGACCAAACGGGTGACCAAGTCGATTCCGTGACGGACGGAGAGTGGCTTGGCGTCCTTGGTTGGCTTGGTTGGCTTCTCACCCTTTGGGGCGGCAGCCTTCTCGGAAGCAGCCTTCAGGAGACGGGCCTTCTTGGCGGCGGCCTCCTCTGGACGGTACTTGTCGAGCAACTTGAACAAGTTGGTGGCGGTGTTTTTGTCGAGGACACGGGTGAACTGGTTGATGGTTGGGGGAACCTTCAAACGTCTCAACAACACACGTCTCTGGCGCTGGATGCGCACGTAACGTGGCCACTTAACGAAATGGGTCAAGTCGTGCTTGGGGATGACACCGAAACCAGTTCCGAAGACACGGACCTTCTTGGTGTACAAGTTGTTGAACAAAGTTCTTGGCTTCTTGGCACCCTTCTTGGCTGGGGCAGCAGTCTTGGCGACTGGCTTGGCGGCAGTCTTGGCGGCTGGCTTAACAGCGGCGGCTGGCTTCTTGTTCTTGTCAGTCTATAAATGATTATGAAGATGATACTAATGTCAACATCTTCATGTTCTTTCTTTTTTTCTTTCTTGACTATTCTCCATCTATTCATCATCCATCCTGTATCGATATCGATGATAGAGCGAGGATACACATACCATTCCTTCCTTGTTGTTGTGTGATCTAAACCTGTGTGACGAGATGGATAGGTATGTGATGAATGAATGAAACGTGGTGTTTGGTCGAGCCAAGGTGTGTTCGTCGTCTTCTCTTCTCGCTTGAAATGATTAAAAACTCAAATAAAATTGAAAGAATTCAAAAACCAAAAGTGACACAGATGTAACGTTTTCCAAAACTAAAGTTCAAAGATCTCCAAGATTGTGTCTCTTCGACATGAAGCAAGACAATTGCAAAGGTGTGTTTGAGTTAAGATTAATGAATTGTTCATTCATTTGATTGATTAGTGATTGATCATACATATATATACATATACATATACTTATAATATAACAACAATGTCAGGTTGTGGTAAATCACAATGTTGTGGAGGTGGAGGATGTGGAAAACAACAACAACAACAGCCTGCAACTGCAGCACAATCACAAGAGGCATCAACGCCAAAGCCAACTATACTACCACCTGCTGATACATTGATTGCAAGTGATTCAGTGGAGATAAAGTATGGAGCAACAGATCAAATGGTTGCATTCAAAGGATGTCCATCTTCACAACAATCAGTCGGTGGCGAATCAGTCTGTCAAAGCTGTCCCGGCAAAGACACATGTAGTTCACAATCAGCAAACACTGGTATGTCCATGTACATGTATTTACATGATTGGAAGGCCAATACTAACACTCATACAAACAAACAGATAAGAGATCAATTGATATAAGAATGAAAGTTATAAAGCATAAGATATTTATAATGTCTGGAAAGGGAGGTGTTGGAAAGAGTTCAATTGCTTCTTTGTTGGCATATTCATTGGCGAGTAGATCAAAGAAGGTGGCGATATTGGATGTTGATATATGTGGACCATCAATTCCAAAGTTGATGGCTGTCGAGGGTCAGTCCATCGTGAACTCGGATGCTGGATGGCTGCCGCTCAAACCCACAAATGGACACGATGACAACATTCGAGTCATGTCCATTGGTTCAATGCTGGCATCACAAGACGCCAGTGTGGTGTGGCGTGGACCGAGGAAGACCAACATCATCAACAGATTCCTAAAGGATACGTACTGGGGTCGTCAGGACTTTCTCTTGGTGGACACGCCACCAGGCACCAGCGACGAGCATCTGTCCATCGTCACGGCACTGTCCAGTTGCAAGCCGGATGGTGCAGTCATTGTAACATCACCACAGAACCTATCAGTGGACACTGTCAAACGCGAGATCACCTTTTGTAAAAAGATGGGCGTTCCAATACTTGGCATCGTTGAGAACCTCAGTGGATATGCTTGTCCATGCTGTGATGAAGTGACCGATATATTCAGCAGTGATGGTGGCATTAAGCTTGCTGCCCAATTCAACATACCATTCCTGGGCAAAGTACCAATCGATACTGTAAGTTGGTCATGAGATGATGTTGATGTCACAACCATGCTAATCAAACTTGGGATGATTCCAATCAATCAATCAATCAATCAATCATAGAATATTGGACACTGTATGGAGAATGGTAAATGTTTGATTTGTGATTGTCCCAACTCATCTGGTGCCAAGTCAATACAGTCCATCACTGACAAGTTGTTGGACATACTTAGTGGCGGAGCAGGAGTGTCCACGGCAACACCATCCAACAACACTTGATATAACTTGTATATATTTGTAATTAATTAATACATAGTACTTTACTTTAATCTTAGGCCATGTAGTTGTAAATCTTTCTGTCTTGCTTTGATCTCTCTAAGTACTCTCGTTCGATGAGCGACTCGATTCTCTTCTTTACAATAATTGGATTGGGCACGAATCTTGATTGGAGCTGCTTGATCACCTCTGAAATCAAGTTGGAGTGGTCCATGGTCTTGCGAGCCTTCATAATACGTACAATGGAAGCCTCGATCTGGTGCTTCCTGTCCTCGTCGACCTTTTGTCTGGTCTCGGTTGCCTCGACCGGTGTCTCCTTCTGCACCACCGACATGATCTTGACCCTGAACAGCTTGCTCTTGAACTTGGAATTGAATATAAATACATCGGACTCCTCGATGGTCTTGTTCTGTGATTCCTTCTCCAATATCTTGTTCTTGGCACTTGTCAATGCCAGCAAGTTCCTCTTCAAGTCAGGTGGAGGTATGCCTGTTTGTTCAGCGATTTCTCTGTTGGTAGGTAGTTGAGCGAGTGAGTATGGTTGGTCTGTCTTCGATCAATCAATCATTAGCAACTTACTTGAATGTAAACTTAATGGCATCATTGAAGAGAAGTAGGATGACCATTTGGTAGGTGGATACTTGGAGTTCGTGTGTCTTTGATGGGAATGATGCCTTGAGTTCGGCGGTACCCATGTTGGTCTGCCAGATCAACAGACGTCCATTGTGGTTAGACAGGTAGTAGGCCTTGAATGCTTCGCAGCAGTGCAGTATCTCGCGTTGTAGGTTGCAGTTGGATGCGTTCTGTGTGGGCCAGAAGCCGGTGGTCAGCACGTTGACACTCAGGTCGAACGCCAATGGCTTCTGCAGGTTCTGGATGTATGATTTGAAGCCGGTCATCGTGTCGACTGACAGCCTCATGTCGGTGAACATGCCCTCGAGCTTCGATGTGAACTGGTAGCCGCACTCGGTCTTGAGCTTGGCGATCATGTTCCTCTCGGCATCGTCCGACACGCTGCGGCCCAGCAGCAGACGCTTGGCCAAATGCTGCTTGTAGTACTTCTCAAACACGTCCTTCTCTTGGATGAAGCGGAACAGCATCAGGATCTTGTCCAACAAGATATCCACCTCCTCCTCGCTCACACCTTTCAATCCCTTCTTCAACTTCTCATCGATGAACAGTGAAATGTACTCTGGCGACTTTGGATTGAGATTGATAAAGTACTCAAATGCCTATGTTGTCGGTTGTTGGTTGTTGTGCGTGTCAGTTACTAGTTGCCATCAATCAATCAATTGAACTACATACCCTGTAGAGTGAGTTCTGGAACTGCTTGTCATTGTAGAAGGCTTCAACGTGAAGTCGGTCATATTTGTCTTTGAGATCCAGCAGGTTCTGGAAGTATGTGCCCTGCTCCTTTGTCTTCTCCTCGTCCATAACAATCTGTTTACCAATGTCTCTGATGTGATTGCTGATCACCTCCTTCATCAAGTTGAGTCCATCAGACACTCGACCAAACAAGTTATACATTCTCTTCAAGTCCTCTATCTTGTCCTCCTGGAGCATACTGATCAATCCAGAGTTCTCCATCTTTTCATATGATTGAGTTAGTGATTGAGCGAATGAGTGGATCACTCAAGAGTCACGTGTATACATACATGTATCAATGTCTTCATGTGATTGGAGATCAATTGCTTCTCGGTCACCTCCTTTACTCTGGCCTCTGAGCTGCTGTCGAGGTAGTGTGAGACTCTCTCCATCTCCTCCTTGAGACACACCTCAACCTTCTTCATATAGTCAGGACAGCTACACGACGAGATGAACGCCTGTGAACCCATCTGATAGTGAGTGGCGGTGGTCGTCAAGAAGTGACTCTCAAAGTCCTCCTCATACACAATCTTGGAGTTGACACCAAGATCGATAAGCATCTGTGTGATGTTCTTTACCAGGCCCCTATATATGTATGTTGATCAATCAATCAAACATGTTAGTATACGATGATGCCCAACTACATCACATCCTCACTCATTCACTCACCTGTCAATCATCTCTCCAGTTCTCTCTTGTTGTATTAATGAGAGTAGGGTCTTGAGAAGACGGTCTTTGATCGATTTGGAATGGACGACGTCGTTGCGGAAGAGGATGAGACCCATTTCGTAGACGGTGGGTATCTTTGATTGCTCGACGTAGGTCCTGTCCATGTACATGAGGATGTCGCGCACCATTATCATTGAGGTCTTGTGATCGTTCCAGCTGGTGTTGAGCTCGCCCAAGAACGCCTCCTCCTTGGCGGCCTCGACGCGCTTGGCCACGTCCTTCAGGTGGCCATCGATCAGCTTGCTGAGGTTATTGTAGAGGAACTCACCGTTCTTGTGCAGCACCAGGTTGTAGGCGTTGCGATATAGTTCCTCGAATGACAATGAAGATGCATTCTTTAGATGTATAGTCTTTATAGCGTCCTCTAGCAGCTTCCATGCCTTCATATTTGCCTGAGGATCGGCATTACCTGCACCTGGGAAGAATGACTTTGATGACGTAGGTAACAATTTGCCTGGCTTTGTAGACATCTTGTAACTATTATCTATATTCTCTATATCTATATATATGTACTATTATATGTTTGTTGTGACTTGTATGATTGAGTTGAGTTGAGTTGAGTTGAGTTGAGTTGAGTTGAGTTGAGTTGAGTTGAGTTGAGTTGAGTTGAGTTGAGTTGAGTTGATGTTGATTGAGTTGATGCCTGTTATGTTATATTCTATACTGATACTACATGTATAAGTTAGTTAATTAGTTTGTTTGTTGATAAGTATGATTAATGTGCACAATCCAATCAATTCAATTCAATTCAATCCAATCAATAATAATAATTATAATTATGTTTGGTGAATGTAAACAGAACAGAGTTGAGTTGTTGTGTTGGTGAATGAATGAATGAATGAGTGAATGAGTGAGGTAGGTAGGTGTGGATGGTTGAATGGATTGATTGATGGACGGTGCTTTTTAAATGGCACACCACTCCTTTCTTAAACACAACATGTGCACTGCATACACATAGTATGTCAACAACCCTGAGTGTGATCAAACATCTAAACAAACACACACAACATACACATAGACCACGCGTAACCACATCGATCAATCAATCAATTACCACTATAACTACTACTATTACTAATACTCACATTTAATAATGATGATTACTATTGTTCTTCGTCTTTGAGATAAATAATATAAATAAATAAGATTGAGTTTTGTTGTTATATGTTATATGATATGATGGTGTAAATAATAATAAAGGGTCATAATATTAATGGTAAAGTGAACGGATATGGATGAAGAAAGGTGTTTTAATTTAGCAACTTTTGGTTCCCTTCCCCTTCATTTCACCGATTTGGACAATAATAACCAAGTGGTTGTGTTTTGATTCATACACTTCTTTTTTTATACTTATTTCCATTCACACCACGAATGATCAACCACGCGTGTGTGTCCACATCGATCACAATGACAAAGGCATGCCATCTTCAACAGTGTCATCAGGTACACCAGGCCACCCAATGCCCAATAACAACAATGCAAAGGTTGATATCAGAGGAGTATTTATTATTTACATGTATACATCTGATCTGACTGATCGATCAGTCAGTCATCCATTATGATCATCCGACAAGTTGTTCAATATCTTTGATACTCTGTGATAGTTTACCAAAGTCAACGAGTGACACTGAACTTGGTCGACCACTTGATTGATTGAGTGAGTGAGAAAGTGAGTTAGTGAATGTGATCACAATGAATGATTGATCGAGTGACCGAACTTAAAGATACATACTGAGCACAGTGGAATGGATCGCCACATTTGGAAAGCTCTTTGAGCAAGGTGACCGCTCGCTCATTGGTGACCTTGTGACCGAATTTGATGGCTCGGGTACAGGCATGGGTTTGGCGAATGCGATGGAATGCTGGTGGAGCGTTGACAACGCGATCACTCAGCGCAGACAAGAACTCGTGTAGATGGTCGACGTTGAGTGACTGCGAGCATACTTTGGGCACAGTCTCCACAGTGATCGTGGACTTGTGTGATTGCCAACGGAAGCCATACTTCTCAATGGCCGACTTATGCGATGCCAGCGTGTGCATCTCGTCGGGCGTCAGCGACCAGCGTGTGCCATGCGGCATGGTCTGCGTGTCAAACTCTGGATCGAGCTTTGTGTAGTATTCCAGCTTGATGCGCTCAGACACTGCGTGCTGATCTAGTACAAATAGAAGGCCCTTTGAGGCACACAACAAGAACTTCTTGTCCACCTGTGCGATGAATCGGACGTCGTCCAAGTGTGAGCGGGCCACCCTGTCGCCATCCTTTCGCAGCCGCTCCATTATCTTGCGCACCGCTTCACTGCGTTCTTTCATTCGTCTGGCCTTCTCTTGGTACTCCCTGGCAATCCTCTCCTTGGCCTCCTGGTCGTGGCCCTCGGGTGATCGATCAAAGTATGGGCTGAGTCGTGTTCCATCCTCCAGCTGCACAACTGGGCGCAGTTCAAATAGTGGCGCAGACATCATGATTTGAGGTGTAGTTGGTAGGGCGGGCATACCACCGTCATTGCTGTTGTTGATGCCAGAGTTTGGCGAGTATGTGAACGACATGATTGATGGCGTAGATGACACTGATTGACTAGGGCTGGACATGTTTGATAATGGCTGTGATTGTGGCTGGGATGGGCTCTCACCCTCTTCCTCTGTGCTGTCATCTTCGTCTTGTTCGATTGGTGTCATGATTGTGTCGTGATGATGATGGACGTCATCACAGAATGATGAGTCGTGCTCCTCAAACTCTTGGTCTGGCACCCATTCCAAATCAATGATGTCCTCTTCACCATCCAGTGCAATTGGGTTCTCGCTCGAATTTGGGACGAATGGTGACATCTTCTGATCCTCACTTTTGACCAACTCGCTCTTGATAGCAATGTCGTCGCGATTGAATGGTCTAACTTTCTCAATCGAGGCGAATCTTAGGCTCTTTGGTGACTTGGCGTGTTTGGAAACACCAATTGGAGAGGCTGTGGATGTAGCTGTGTTGTCATTGTCTGCGACCTTTGGCTGGTATTGGTCTTGGATTTTGACTGTTGGTGATATTGGAGTAGTTGGTGTTGTTGGAATTGTTGATGCTGTGGGTGTTGTTGGTGTGGATGGAGTCGAAGGGTATGTTGTTGCAAGGATAGATGTGATTGATTGTTGTTTCAGAGCTGGTTGAGTTGATGCAGGTGGAGGAGGAGTTGATTGGCTTGGACTTTTAAAGAACTTGGATGACGCGCCACCACCGCCAACAACATCAAAGTGTGGTGAGGTAGTGGTTGTTGGACCATTGTCAAAGTACTTGGATCTTTGCTTCTTGTTGGGTGATGGACTTGTCTTCTTGAGAAGGAGACCACCTGCACCACCTGGTGACCTCTGAGTGATTGGTGACATACCACCAAACGACCACGATGGATCTGTCGATGGCCATCCTGTGTTGATTGATGGCCATCCAGGGTCTCCACCAGAGTCCGGTGCAGGTGATGGACTGCGATCGGACGTAGAGAACATTGGCGGAGAGTGGGGCGGGGAGTCATTGAACAGGATGTCACTATCAATGTGCGACCTCTTTGGTGATTTTGACTTTGGTGAGGGAGTGCTGTTGAGGCCACCGCCGCTATGATTGTGAGATTCGTCTACACTGCTATCCATCTCCATCTTGACTTGTGTGAGGGGTGCGGGTGGTGGCGTGAGAGTTAGGTCGAGAGGCTTTGACACCACCTTTTTGTTTGTCATTGTCTTGATCACCGTTGTGATTGTTTTGATGTCAAGTGAATCGACATCAATCACCTCATTCACCAGTGTCTCAGTCGTGCACTCCTCCAACTCCTCAACCTCTGAGTATAGTCTTGGTCCAATATCATACACTGGCTCGTCTTTGACCTTGATATCCTCTTGGCTGGACTGATGTTGATGCTGCTGTTTCAGATGTGAGTTGGGTGTGGCTGGACTTGGCGGTACGCTACCGACACTACCACTATCAATGATTGAGTGTGAATGTTGTGAGTCCATTGCGTCTCCATCATCACTCATATTGTTGATGTTGCCATCAGCACCAGTCGATGATGATGGAGTGCTGTTGGCGACAATATTTGCCTGAGGTTGATGCTTGACCAGAACAGAGTGAGTGGAGAGAATGGATAGTGGTCTGATGTCAGATGCTTGAGAGAGTTGAGATAGAGGCACTGGCTCCAATGGCATTGCCTCATCTTCATCGTCACTATGATGTGTGGACCCTGAAAGGTTGCCAACATTGTCATCTACGTCCATGTCGAATCCACCTCCCATGTGATCATGTGACACTCCCTCGCTATCAGACAACGCATGACCATCACGATCACCATCATGATCGTGGTCATTGTCACTGTTCTCCAACAACATTGATTGTTTGTCCAACAGCTCTTCGTTTGAGGTGTTGTGCGATACAGTGTCGACACGGTTCTTTGTCAAGAAGCGTGTGAGTGCCGAGCGGATCAGGTCTGTGGGGATGTTCCAATTCTTGAACTCGAGGAATGTCCTTCCAGATGGATCATATGATCGCTCGTACTCTGTGAATGGGCACTCGATGAACAATACAAACAATGGATATACATCAATGACCTCTCGTCTAATCTTTCCACCATTCATCTGTGCCATCTTTTGTCCATTGAACATCCTAAAGTCCTTGTACAACTGGTTGATCTGTCGATGTATCTTTGTCGCGAGTACTACCCTTTGATTGATGACTGGAGATGTTGTTGTTGATGTTGGGTCAGTTCAATGAATGATCGAACGATTGAATGAGCCTGGCGACACGTACAAACAAATTGGAGTGATTGATTGGGATGACCTTTCTTTGTGGGGATTGAGCAGTATCCTTTGATCTTGAAATCTGATGTGCGGCCATCTGTTTCGACGAGCTCCATCATGTCTGCTTTGTCAGGACCGTAGAACTTAGAGAACAGTGAGAGGAAGCTGTTGCGTTCGTGTGGCATCATTGATGGCGTTATGAGTGGACCCTTGGACTCCTCAAACAGTGTGATGCTGATGTGTGGATGTGACAGTGCGATGATCTCCATGCGCTTGCGTACAGATTGTCTGAGCGTGGAGAAGTTGATGCTCTGGCGTCGAACGGGTACGAAGCGGAACAGGTCTCGGACCTTGACCAGCGTGCCATAGTCCTTGAGTGAATCGAGTTGCTTGACCTCCTCCTCGTTGCCAAAGCGTATCAGCTTGCTGCATGTTTGATTGGTCTCGCGTGGTGTTGTGACGATCTCCAGTGCAGAGATCAGGCCTATCGATGCCAACGATTCGCCGCGGAATCCAAACGTGGCTAGATGTGCCAGGTCTTCGGTACTGTTGAGCTTGGACGTGCAGTTGCGGCTGCCAATCAACTTTAGATCTTCATATACTATTGCATTGCCGTCGTCCTTTACGTCGAATGACCATTGTGTCAAGTTGACATTTACAAATATAGTATGTGAACATGCATCTATTGCATTATACACCACCTCTTCCAACGCCTGTTCATAAGATACAATTGACAATGTTGATCTTATTGCCTGAGCAACATCATCTGGTAATCTATTTATCATTCTGTGTTTGGTTGGTATATTGTTGTTGTAGTATACTTATGGTGATGTTGTTGGATAGCTATTCATGAATGATTGGCCTTGTCGTGTATGTCTCTATCTCTGTTGCAATGAGGCAAGTCCATTCATTAAACACTGTTGTTCATCATTTCTGAGAACATGTATGACTGAATTTCGGATTTGTGATCCCAGCGCCAATGTTTTTTTTTTTGAACCCCAACACTCTTGTGGAAGATCGATTCTCTCTGAGTCCACTGACTGCAGACAACTTGAAGCCTGAACATCAGTTGATTGATAGACTACTCACACCTTACCCTACCCTTTATAACTTAACTTTGATTCAAAGTAGTAATAGTAGTAATATTACAAAACTACAATGTTGTCAAGATTCGTCTCAAGATGTAAGTAACTACACTACATGACCACTCAATCAATCAATCAGTCAAATCAATCAAAGTCATGTGTTAGACAGATCAATGAATGCAGACATGATGTCACCTCTTACGAACAACGATCAACAATTACGAAATATATGAAGATGACAACAACAACAACAACAACAGCAACAATGACCTCGATCAACAGCCAGCGCAATATTGAATGAATGATGAGTGAACGAATGATCAGATGATTAACATGGCTACCAACCAACACCCAATCAATCAAACGACCGAACGAATGAACGAACGAACGAACGAATGAACGAACATACAATTACAGGCAATGCATCATTGGTCAGAAACTATTCGACCTCTCACTTTATGACCAACAACACAACTACATTCCCAACTGGTCACTTTGAGAAGTACAAGACTGAGCCACAGACACTCGACCCAGAGGGACGCGGTTACTCCTACCTGGTGGTTGGTGGCGCTGCCGCCGGTCTGGCCGCGATGGCCAAGAACACCGTCGTCTCCGCTCTGTCGACAATGTCGCCAGGTCAAGATATTCTGGCGCTGTCCTCCGTGGAGATCGACCTGTCCTCGATCCCCGAGGCCACCGCCGTCACTTTGAAGTGGCGTGGAAAGCCTCTGTTTGTGCGTCATCGCTCTGCAGAGGAGATCGCCTTGGCCCAATCGGTCGATGTCAGCTCCCTTGTCGATAAGGAGGCAGACAACGTTCGTGCCAAGGACCCAGAGTGGGTCATCCTGATTGGAGTGTGCACACATTTGGGTTGCATCCCCATTGCTGGAGGTGGTGACTTTGCCGGCTGGTACTGTCCATGTCACGGCAGTCACTATGACAATGCCGGACGTATTCGCAAGGGTCCAGCTCCACAAAACCTCATCATCCCACCATACAAGTTCATTGGACCACAACAGATCATTGTTGGAGACGAATAAGCAATATCAAAGATCTGCGTAGTTGCAACATTTCAGTGACCGAACGTCACATCCTTCAATTCATTTACTTCACCTTCAATGCTCGACATCGAACGAATCAATCATATCCAGCACCACCAACAATAACCAACATGTTACTATAACCTCACTCAATCAATCAATCAATCAATCATTTTATCACCATCATTCACAACCAAGCCTCTGTCTTGCGTGCGCAACAGAGGGAAGTATGCCATCGCAACATCATACAAGACGATTGAATGGCCCTGTATCAATCAAGGTCACAACATCATTAATTAAACTTTTTTCTCTCTCTCTTTCCCTCTTCACAATACCAAAGTAATAATTTATTAATAATAATGTAATCTACAATAATTATCGGTAAGTCATAGATAGACATTGATTCAAAGAGTAGTTTGTTGGTGTGATGTATAACGGTGTTTGTAGTTGGGGCCAATCGAGTTTGATCACTCGCTCGAATAACACAACATCGATACAAATCATTTGTAGATTGATTGTATATTTAAATTTCCGGTGTTTATTATTATTATGTCATATTGCCAAAGTATTTAATGTGATATATAATAGTATTTAGATTTCAAGTGTTGGAATAATTATTATTATTATTACTAAATATATATATAATGAAGTTATTTATTTTATTACTAATAATGTTTGTTGCAACTACGATAATAAGAGCAGAAGAAATGTAAGTACTTGATCTAAATAATAATATTAAAGATATATATTAATCATATCATATTTTATATTTATAGGAACTATAAATACAAACCAGGTACAGTCAATTAAGTATATGATAGTGATGTTGGAAGTGCTATAAACCATATGGCCAATTTAATCCAAGGTGAACCCGACAATCCTAATGTTGCACAAAGTTCTATTGACAATACCATCAACAACAATAATATTAATAACTATAACAATTTTCAACAATATAATGGAGGAGCAAACGTACTTAGTCAGCATACTGATTCCCAAAGTTCATAATAATAAACTACTTTATTCTTCAAATACCAATACATTGCCCGTGAAATCAATTCCCATTAAGTAGCTGAACACAATCATTCGGATTTCGAGTGTGATCGAAGAAGAGTTATGTTTGTAGATAGTAGTGGATAACGGGTGTTGTAGTTGTAGTTGGGCCCAAGGAGTTTGGTTAACCCTAGTGATCCTGGAAGTAATAGTAGAAATAACAATTATTTTCCCCGCCAAGGTAGTGGCGCCAACTCTCTTAATTATGATCAAACTTCTAATGATAATTCAAACGACAACTACAACAGTAAATACAATGTTGATTACTAATAGTACTTAGGATTCCCAATGTTCTTAATAATAAACAATAATAATAATTATTATTATTATTAAAAGATATCACATTTTTATATCAATGCCCGGGCAATCAATTCGAAAAGATGAAGCTAAAATTGGTAGGTCGTACTTCGAGTGTGATCGAGAAAGTTAATGAAAATGTATTTTTTTCAATTCTTTTTCATTTTTGAACGAGATGTGGGCGATAGTCGACTAACTCCCATCCAAGCTCGAGCTTGAAGTGAATCGTGCAAGACATTTGTATTCTTCCTTTACCTTACTTGTGATACAACGAACAGAGATATGTCGGCCTCAACCACCACCACTACCACTGCCACCGCTGCCCCAGCCAAGAAGTGTGTCCAGACACACGGAAAGAAGGTACAGTACAAAGATTGACATGTGATGCGATGCGATACGCTATGCGGCGATGACAACACAACACAACAATCCTATTCCCCTTCCCAAGTAGCATAGGCAAGCAAACAGCAATGGGCGCTTGTTGCAAGCAGCCATCTCTGCTACACAGCGAGCACGCACATCGAGCCAGCAGCCAGCGACGCACTCTTTTATACTATAGAAGCAGCAGCGAGCAGCAGCAGCCAGCCGCATGCAACAAGCGCCTACTACTGTGCGCAAGCACACGTCACTTGGGTAGTGGATTGTGTCGTTGTGTCTGTCGGAGAGTGGAGAAGAAGACAACACATATTGCTTAGGAACAGTCGTAACTCACACTTGTGTTCATTCACACATCTATTAGAGAAACGCTGTTGCCGTTGCTTACACTACCCCAGGTAAGGGCTTAATCCGCGTCAACGGTGTCCCCCTCGAGTTGATCCAGCCAACCACCCTCAGACTGAAGGTCTACGAGCCACTCGTCCTCTTGCCACCAGCTGCCTACAACCAGATTGACATCCGTGTCCGCGTCAAGGGTGGAGGTCCCGTCTCCCAGATCTACGCCGTGCGTCTGTCCATCGCCAAGGCCATCGTTGCCTTCCACCAGAAGTACGTCGACGAGCAGTCCAAGAACGAGATCAAGAAGGTTCTCCTCGCCTACGACCGCTCCCTCCTCGTTGCTGACCCACGTCGCTGTGAGCCAAAGAAGTTCGGAGGTCGTGGTGCCCGCGCGAGATTCCAGAAGTCCTACCGTTAAGCCCCTGTACCTACCTCAGGTCACAGAAGGTTATATCGGTTTGGTTCATCTGTCCAATCACAATATACTCTCTCACATATCCTCTATGTGTGTTCACAAACAATCCATTCAATCGTTCATTCGTTCGTTCATTCTTTCGTTTTATTCATTCTTTCATTCAATCAATCATTCGATCGATCAATCACTTTGTTTGTATTGTCTCAAAGTATTGTAGACGATTGAGAAGGCTTGCAGATATAGTTCGTCGAGGGCCAGGGGGCGAGAGTGAGGATGGACGGGATGATTCCATTGGTGGCGTGATTGAGCAACAAAGCTCACCAGAGTCGCCTCGCCACAGTTGGCGTGGTGGTGAGCTGGCTGATCCCGAGCCATCGCTGCCCGTCTCCATGTGAATATGTACAGATGTTGTTGTTGTGGAGCATTGTTCACCAGTCTCGGATGGTGACTCCATTAAGTTGTTGAGTGAATGTACATTGACTTGTGGGAGTGGACACCAGTATTGGCCGTGATACTGGACGTCTCCCACTCCCATCGTGTTGCCCATGTTCTCGAGGTAGAATGACCGCATGATCTCGACGTCCAGGGTCTTTAGTTGGTACTCCTTGGCATTGGCAACACTCCTACAATAAAGATGATCGTACAATATCTTTCGGAACTGTTGTTTGGTCAACAGGCTATGTGGCGAAACAGAGAAATACAGGTCCTCACGTCCATTATCACACAACAATATTGGGCGGCCATCAGTCGTGAATCGATCGAAACCAAAGTAGAACGATACCTCTTCCACCTCAACTTGGTAGTATTGCTTTATCAGTTCCTTCTTGGTTGGTGCTATAATATTTGATTGATTTAGTGAGTGGGATTCCTGATGATTACTTCGAAAGAATACATACCTCTATTATATTTACAGTAATGTTCGGTCGTTAGTTGGATGATGGTCTCGGATGGATCTTGGATAATGGTGCCCAGGAGTACTACTTTCTTGGTGTTGTGCTTGGTCAACTCCATGATGGTCTCAAACGTGTTGAGTAGTTTATAATCATTGACTCTCATCAGTAATTGTTTGTAATCACCATAGAATATTATACGAACGCCAGAGTTGAGGTAGGCCTCTAGTAACAGGGCATTGTTGAGTAGTTCACCTAAGCCGCGGAGGTATCCAATGAACTTGGGCAGGTACTCTGGACCGCGTTGTTCCAAGGTGTAGAACCACATTGGATAGATGATGGTGTGGATGCCCTGATCAAACATCATCAACAGGTGGTCCAATAACTTTCGGATGGCACTCTGGGAGTAGATGTCATAGTCGATGCGTACATTGTCGTCGTGTGGATTTGAGTTTGAATTTAGGCCATGCTCCATCAGGTAACTTCGTCTTGTTCCATCGAACGCATAGACCACGGACTTTTTGGATCCGGTCGACGATACCAATTTGGCCACAGACTGATCAGATTGTTCCAGAAATTGAGTAAGCTCCATGATGTTGATATTATTGGATTGGAAAATGTTGGTTGAATAATTATTGATTTGTTGATTGAGTGATTGGTGGAATAATTATTGATTGTTTGAATGAATGATTGGATTTAAAGGAGTTAAAGTTGAATGTGGTTGATCAGAATAAACTGATTGATGGACAGTGAGTGACGGTGACAGTGACAGTTGGCTGATTGGATTATGTTATGTATATTTAGTTGTTGTTGGCGAATATTCAGATTGATGGTTGACTACTACTTATTTGGATGGTTGACTGATTGACTACGTGATCAAACAATCAATCAATCAAATGGCAAGTTGGCAATGAGTAATAATATGTTGGTAGGAGTATACACTTGGGAAAGTAAATTGATGGATGGATGGTGCTGCTTTCCAGAGTTGATTATGAGTGAATCTGCCACAACTACACACCTCACTCTCACTTGCTCTCTTTGGTCAACTCCTCACTCACCCTCAAGTTGCTACACTCACTGTCTATTCACTCTCTCTCACTCACACTCTTTCTATCACCTAGGTGTCCCCGCCCACGATAATATTGCAGTGACTCTCAGTATCTCGAGGTGACCTGGCCAAACCTAACCCGACTGAATGACTAGGACTATTATGAACTGACTAACTGAGACTGACTGTGGGTGGTACTGGATGGATGGATGATGACGATTAACTGAATAGGTTGTGTTGTGTTGTGTGTCTATGTGATGATGTGAGATGAGATTGATGGATTATGAGGGTGGACTGGATTGATGTAGTTGACAAATACAATTGTGTACTGGATTGTTAGTTTGATTGATTGATTGATTGATGGAATGGCGGGCACGTACTATAATGTGATGGTAATGAATGGTGTTGTTGGTCGATGATGCAGTCAGTCAGTACACGGTATAATAATGTAAGATTGGAATTAAGAGATGCATAGCATTCATCCATCCATCCATCAGTCTACCATTGTCACCTTCCTTCTCCTTTCCACCCATCATCATCTTTCAATCAATCCAACGATCATCATTGTTTTTGCCAATGTTGCCAACACATTGTAGCGATCATTCTTTCATTCTTTCCTTTCTTTCATTCATTCATTCACCTTGGCGGGCAATAACAAAACAAACACTTTGGCAAAGGAAAGGAGGGGGTAGACGGTAAGAAGGGGAGGGGATGCGACCTTAGTCTGGTACATTCGCACTTGTGCTCCACAATCTGTATATTGAATGAACGACATCCACATCAATCAAAGTGCGAGATTTAACTTGTTGATTGGAGCACGGGTGATTGACGGAGGGAGGGGGAGGATGTGGCGCCGCGGCCAATGTCAGAGTGATTGTTTCCCCTGGTGTGGTGGTGTCAGCTGATGGGGTAGTGTGAGTGTGTGTGGTAGTGAATGAGTGATCACAAGTGATCACCCCCCGTCATGGCATTGCGTGTCCACTTGCCACCTATCCCAAGGTGATCGCATCGATGCGATGGAATGGCATCGCGGTGCGCCTCACACTGCGCCTCTTTGCAATCTTGTATAACAACTATAAGCACACTACCCCCTTAGGACAGGGTTTTAAACTTGATGTTCTGTTAATCGTTAATGTAGTCTTGTGAGTTAAGTGTTGTGTGTGTTATCTGTGTTGGTTGTGGATTGTGGTAGTTGTTGAGATTGAGTTGCAATCATGTGATTGAGTGAATTAGACCTGTGTGCGTGTGTGTGAGAATGATCAAAGTGATCAGAGCGTGGTTATTTGTTGTCCATATCAATGGAGTTGGCGGGCAACCTGTAATATGATGGATGCCCTGTCAGAACTCTTAGTTTTGTTTGACGACACGGTATTTATGATCGGGTGTATTTGATTGATTGTTTGATTGGTTGGTTGAATAAGCACCCGCAATATGGTTGGTAACAATTTTATTATTATTATTATACACACCTTCCATCCAATCCAGTGGTGTTACCAATTGAGAACTGGGAATTATTAATATATAGGGTTGTTGTTGTCGATTCCCTTCATTACAATGACCTGATATTGACTACCCTTATACCCTTATGGCCATACTCTTACCTTAACCCCCCCCCC